AAAAAGACTGATTGGTCTTCACTAGATCATACAGACCAATCGCTCTCCTATCAGTACTTGGCAAAGGACTGGAGCGCTTGGTGGCACGGAATATGGCATGGATCTCTATACACTACAAAGTATTAGCAAGGCAACAGTTTGGGGCTCTCCCACTAAGATCTGCAAATGATCTAACCACATGCCTAACACATGATGTTGAACAAGCACTAAATCAAGGCATGACTGCCTCACTCCTTACCCTAGATGTCAAAGGCGCTTTTGATGCCGTGCTTCCCGGCAGACTCATCCGCAGATTACGTGAGCAGGGCTGGCCCACTAATCTTGTTCTCTGGATTGCCTCCTTTGCTACTGGGCGATCAGTCCAGATCCGACTTGATGGAGAGATTGGCCCCTCAATAGACATTGCCTGCGGTCTCCCACAAGGATCCCCAGTATCTGGCATTCTTTTCATGCTCTACATAGCGCCCCTATTCTGTCTAGGAAACCCAAGGAACAGATTTGGTTACGCAGACGACGCAGCTAACCTGGCAATCTCAACATCTCTTGCTACTAACTGCGAAGCATTATCAGACTCACTACAAGAAGCTCTAAACTGGGGCGCTGCAGAGGGCATTACATTTGCACCAGATAAATACGAGCTTCTTCACTTCTCCCGACATAAAGCAGACCAGGACCCAACCTGCACACCTTCAGTAAAAGCTGGATCTATCATAATCTCAGAAAATACTAAGCGGCTATATCTACGCTGGCTAGGAATCCTCTTTGACAAAAAGCTAACATTTAAATGGCATGTTGGTGAAACAGCATCTAAAGCCCTCACTGTGGCTAATGCCCTTCGCTCTCTAGGGAATACTATCCGTGGAGTCAAACCTCATTTACTACAGCAGGCTGTATCAGCCTGTGTACTCCATAAAGCATACTATGGCGCAGAAACCTGGTGGCCAGGACGTACTCGCCCTGGATCTTCCCAAATCTCAAATCGAGTTGGAGAACATCTTGAGAAACTAACCAAAGTAATACTAGCAGGCGCAAGAGCAGTCCTTCCAGTTTTCCGCACAACCCCAATATCTGTTCTATACCGAGAGTCTGGATTCTCTCCGCCAGAAATTGAACTAGATCAAATAGCCCTCCAAACATCTGTCCGCCTACGGCGTCTTGATCCATACCACCCACTCCGAAGACGCGCAGAACAGATAGCCAGAGACGGCCGACAAACCAGTCGATTTGCCCGCCGAGTGCTGGCGCTCCCTAACTCTGAACAAATAAACCCTCTACAACATGCTCCCTGGTACCCTCGTGAGTCACGCAAGAGTGCCCTAGCCCGAATAGGAGCTCCTATGGGACGCACTAAGGAACAGGCAGCGGCTGATTTCACGGCTTTTCAACGCACCATCCCTAGCTCGGATATTGTAATCTTTTCAGATGGATCTAGGCTGATAGACGGACGTGCAGGGGGTGGCTATATTGGATTTCAAGCACACCATCAGTTCCTCCGCTCCTCACTCTCATACGGACATGGGAAAGAGGTCTTTGACACAGAAGCAGAAGCTGCCCTAGCTGGTGCTCAAGCAGCAATAACATACCCAACAGCTCAATTTGCTACCAACCTATGGATCTGCCTTGACAACCTGGAAGTTGCCACGCGCCTCCTATCCCCCTCTACAGGATCCTCCCAAGAGGTCTTTGAATCCTTCCGCACCCTTGCAGCCGCCTGGCCACTACGCGAAAGGCTTCCACACACCAAAAGTGGATCAATCCAAATCCGATGGGTCCCTGGACACGCTAAAATCCCTGAGAACGAAGCGGCTGATCTCGCTGCCAAAGAGGGAGCTGCCTCAACCCCTCCTGCTCCTCAGAAATCCTCATACGCCTCGCTAAAGAGACACGCCAAGACTCAATCCCTATCCGCTGCTCAGTCACAATGGCAGAAGGTGGCACCACAGAGTTATCAAGATCTAGAAATAACTACTTCTCCTAAGCGCCCTGGGGAGCTTCAACTCAACCGACTTGACCTTGGCCGTATTATTGCGGCCCGTACTGGTCATGGAGACTTTGCAGACTACCATGAACGCTTTAATCATGATGATGCTTATCTTCTCTGTCGGTGTAGAGCACGAAAAGCACCTCTACATTTCTTCTTCTGCCATATAGCTAAGAGACGAGCTCCTCGTCCACCTGGACCCCCTTCTGAAGTTATCTCTTTTCTTTTAGGTACTGCGAAAGGAACACGAAAACTAGCCTCATGGCTAGCAGAGACCCGTTTCTTTGAGGATATCTGTCCTCGCCAACCTCTCCTTAGCACCTAGCTAAGTCAGCCCTACTTCCCCCTTATATCTCTCTTTTCCTTCGTTCTTTCTTTCTTTCTTTCCTTCTTTCCTTCTTCCCTTTTTCTTTTCAAACTCACTGCTTAAGTATGATAGTGGTAGAATGATGGGTCATGGAGCGTAGGTGGACCATTGCAGCTGGCAAATACCCAAAACCCACTAGGAAGTGGATCTCCCTTTAAGACCACGGCAGCTATGGAAATGCGCCAAAGAGTCTCTTATCTGTATATAAATCTGATAGGACCTGAAGCCCGAGGCTTAACCCTCGGCGGCCTATGTCCCAGTAGGGATCGGTGGGAAGCGTGCAAGTCACGAACCACGGCCGTTAAATATACACACACACACACACCCCTTACTCTTGGGGGGCAGTCATCAATATCAGGAATCCCATACCATATTGATCAGGCTCGTCAGCTCGTCGGAATAGCTGTTCTACGTGACTAGTGCTAGCGACCTAGACGTAGATAAACCGACACTGATCAGTGGCCGCAGATCAGACATTTATCTACGAGCCCCTATTCCAACGTTAGTGCAAGCGTCCTAACAAAATACACTTTCTTCGACACCCTACAGTATACGTTCACTCGTATATCGACTCACCAATATATTCGACCCCATATATCGACTCTTTTGTGAACTCTTTGCTGAGTCTTACGAACCTACGAACTCCCTGTACGAGCCTACGCACGAAAGATTATTCCTGTACGAATTCTACGCTTAGATCCCCCGTATAAGCCTACGTCACGAACCTACGCTAGAGGCCTACGCGAGAAAACTCTCGGTATTAGCACTAGGTAGGAATCAACGTAGTGAGCCTACGGATTCGGACTTTCCGTCAGAATCGACCTGCAAGAACCTGACGTACGAAGCCTACGTACAACCTACGGTGTGTCGACCCACGCACCGAACAACGCACCAAATCTCTGGATCTGGTCTCGCAGATACAAATCATCAAAATGGCAGGACAAAGTGGCAACGATACCGACCAGGCGATGACAGAAAAGAAGACACTCGACGCTACCGTCAAGGCGAAGATAAAAGAATATACGAACACGTACGATTCACGTCTGTTAAGAGCGTTCAAACAAGACTTCGATAAGTGGACTTTGAATAACTTCAATACCATGTCCGTCACCGAACTCGGGAAACTAGTTGATTTGCTTCAAACCAACGGTGTATATGTTACCAACGATGAACAGGACGATGAAGCTGAAAAACTCTATACTCTACTCTCTACAGAAAAATATCGCCCATGGACTAAGGAGGAAGTCATTCGCCACCTCAGACGAGGCAATACAATTGAGTCGAAGGTGCTCAATGATCAATTCGAAACAGTGATTAATACATATAATTAACCCTCAAACTACGGCACTAATGAGGCACAAAACCAAACTGGAGAGAAACCCCTCACAAGATCTCGAAGTCAACAACAAATCCAATATCTTTCACCCCCGGCAACAAGACATGATACACCACAAGATCAAAGTCAATGGGCGCGAATTGAGCTAGAGCCATCAAATGAAGTCCAACAAGCCCCAAATTTGGCTATCTTCGCACCATCAACACAATCCGTTTCTCAAGCACTTGTTCAACTCACGAAGATGTATTCAGACAACCAAAAGTACAGTGGAAATGAGGATTCCTACAGGTCAAAGCTTTGAATCTTCAACGACTACTGTGAACGTCTATCCCTACCAAAGAATGCGTATAAACTTGCTTTCCCAACAATGCTCAAAGGCCAAGCCTTGGATTTTTACTATGATAACAAGGAAATATGGGAAGCAAGTGACCGTGACCCCGTTGAAGGAATTCGTGCCTATTTCGAAGGCCCAGAATATCATCGAACCGTACTGGATAAGTGGAGCGGAATTTCGCTTCAAAATACAGTCGATGAGAACCCAGAGAAGACATTAAAAGCGTGTCTCAATATGATGCTAACAGAACTTGCAAGTTTATACGACCGTCTAGCTCCAAAACTACGCAACGAAGAATTTTACCTTGCAAGACTTTTACAGGCAACTCGTACACATCTGGCATGCCAACTTGCAACTTCAAAGCAACAAGATACAGTTCCTGGACTAACCCGCGATTTACAATCAGGTGTCAGCCAGTACGAGGACATGATAAAAGCCACGAATAGGCACTGCACTGCAAACCCCAGCACCAACACATACTTTACAGATCGACGGTATTACAACCAACAGTCACGCTCACCCTCTTAAGGCTATTCACCACGATAGCACTCTAATCAAAGAGGCAGGAAAAAGTGCTTTGTATGTCAAAAACCTGACTGCTGGTCAACACGTCACACGCCCAAGGAAAGAGCGGATTCGAAACGCCGTTATTTGGACCACTTTAACAAGCGTATTGATCAATATATTGCCGACTACGAGGGCACAGAGGATGACGATGAGGAACTGCCAGAGGAACTCTTATCAGCTGCTGATGACCTTATTCTGACAGACGATTATAAATCCGGACCTACACACGATGCCTCGTCAACCCTGTTCACAGCTACATTCTTTACAACGCACAACGACAACGACACGAACCATGGTCCGTCAATAACCATGGAACTAGCAAACTGTTCCGCTTCGCACTGGATTGCCTCACTATTCCTGAAGCCTGGCTTGGAAACTGATTTGTACAAAACCAGCAAAGCAACTCTCAAGGTTCTGACCCCCGAGTCAAGTCACGTCTATCTAAATGAGGGCCGCTATTCGTCAGAAAGCTTTAAGGGTATCGTTATCGACACTGGCGCCGCGCAACTCTCTACAGCTGGATATGGGCAATACCTCGCCTACAAGAGAATCGTCAGAAATATCGATATTGATACTACAACGGCTGGCATGGTAATAGTTCAATTTGGACCTAGTGATCCCTATCAGTCAATTAGGTCAATCGACGTGCCTACACCTATTGGTACTATACAGTTCCATATCCTGACAACCACGACACCGTTCCTAATGTCGCTATACGAACTCGACAGACTAAAACTTTATTTTGATAATACCTGCAATCTCCTTGTCAATAAGAAAACGGGAAAAATAACACCAGTTATTCGTCAGTTTGGCCATCCATTTCTTGTATGGGATTACTCCTATCACACTCACTTACTTGCTTCATTTGACCACAACCCCTGCCTTCTCACCGATACCAAATTACGCCGCCTACACCGCCGATTTGGCCACCCTTCAACTGATAGACTTCGCCGTATACTTACACGTGCGGGCCACGAAACCAACAAGGAAGCAATTAAGCACATTCGCAAATTCTGCCACCATTATCAAATGTACGACAAGTCACCTGGACGATTCCGGTTCACACTGCATGAAGATGTTGACTTTAATCACTCTATCATTATTGACATTATGTACCTTGATGGAGACCCTGTACTTCACATTGTCGACGAAGCAACACACTTCAATGCCGCTGCGTGGCTGCTAAATATCTCAACAAAAGTCGTATGGGACACACTCCGAAAGATCTGGATTAACACGTACCTGGGACCCCCAGACTTAGTTATCACAGACGCTGGAAAGACCTTTATAAGCAGGGAATTCTCACAATCTGCTTCAGCTGTAGGCACAATCATCAAAACAGTACCAGTCGAAGCACATTGGTCAATTAGAACTGTTGAACAACACCATGCCATGATTCGCCGCTCATATGAAATCATCAAAAAGGAATTACCAGATTTACCTAAAGACGCTGCCCTATAGATGGCTATCAAGGCTGTCAATGATATAGCCGGCCCAGATGGTTTAGTCCCTACACTTCTTGTTTTTGGAGCTTACCCATAAATGGTAGAATATGACCCTCCTGCACCTACAATTACACAACGTGCCGCTGCACTCAAAAAGGCAATGACAGAGGTCCGAAAACTACACGCCGAATGACAGGTTCGAGATGCCCTTAATACGCGTAACGGTCCTGCGTCTACAGCTGTACATCTTCTGCCAATAAATTCGGATGTACGCATATGGAGGGAAGGAAACACCGGCTACGCAGGAGAGTGGAAAGGCCCGTACAAATTACTAAGTGTTGAGGGCGAGACGTGCACAATTCAGTTTCCAGATGGACCAAAGCAATTCCGTACAACTGTTGTGAGGCTGTATTACAAGGCACCGGATGAGAACAACCAAGACACCAATTCGGAGCATACAAATGAAGAGCCTGAGGCACCTTTAGGCACAAACTCAACACCACCCACACCTCAAGACGACGAGCCAGACACATCTATACCCCAGGCAAGGCCTGCACAGCGCCCCCAACGAAATCGGCAATTACCAGCCCGATATCGAGATGACCTCATACAATCGGTATTCGCTCAATTCGACCAATCACAAGAGAAAGAGATCAACGGCCTATTAGAAAATGGTGTATTCAAAGTGGTCAAAGTAGACGACATCCCAAAAGGCACCCGAATCTTCAATTCGCGGTTCGTCAACGAGATAAAGAATTGGGGCACCGACAAGGCCTTTGAAAAGTCGCGACTAGTCGTACAAGCCTACAACGACAAAGGGAAAGAGATCGTATTGACTCAATTGCCTACAATACAGCGCTGCAGTCAACGCCTGCTTCTGTGCCTTACAATCTGCATTACTGATACTCATCTTTTTCTACGCGACGTCACGCAAGCCTATGTATAGTTAACTACGCCCCTCGCTCGCAACTTCTACATACGACCCCCTCCCGAACTCGTGCACCTGTTCCCTCCAGGCACAATATTGAAAGTTGTCAAGCCTTTGTACGGCATCCCTGAAGCAGGTAATCACTGGTTTCGAACCTATCACGTATATCACATAGACAAACTTAATATGATAACATCCACCTACGATCCATGCCTCTTGCACTGCATTGACTAGTCACAAGGATTTGGCATTGTTGGCATGCAGACCGATGACACCCTCATCCTCGCCAACAACACTTTTGCGAACCGTGAGGAGAATGAGATTAAACAAGCTAATATTCTTTGCAAACCACGAGAGAAGCTTACACCTTCGAACCCGTTAAAATTCAACGGTGGCCTCATTACGGAGGATGCCCAGGGTACTACCCTTACCCAGGAACGCACCTGTAAGCTCATACGGCCTGTACAAGATCGACATGCGGATACAACGAGTTCCCGAGGCAAGGTCCGAAAGGATGTATCGCCGCAGGAACAATATGTGGCTCAGCGCGCACTTGGAGCCTACATTGCCTCCGTATCGCAGCCTGAGGCTTCCTTTGATTTATCGTTCGCTGCCCAGATTACAAATCCAACAAAAGACGATATCAAGTCACTTAATAAGCGCCTCCAATGGCAACTCGATAACGCTGAACGTGGATTACACTTCGTACACCTAGATTTGGATTCACTACGTCTTGTAATCTTTGCAGACTCATCCTTCGCAAACAATAAGGATTTCTCCTCCCAAATTGGCTTTGTTATTGTTCTCGCAGATGCCGCAAATAACGCAAATATTGTATACTGGTCCTCAATCAAGTGCAAGCGCGTCACAAGAAGTGTACTTGCTTCTGAACTTTATGCCATGGTTCATGGCTTCGATTCGGCTGCGTCAATCAAATCAACAACAACGCAACTTCTACATCTTACCAAGCCCCTACCCCTTGTTATCTGCACTGACTCGAAGAGCCTGTATGAATGTCTCGTCAAATTAGGCACTACCCAAGAAAAGCGTCTAATGATTGACCTCATGTGCCTCCGACAGTCATACGAGCGCCAAGAAATTGCAGAGATCAAGTGGATTGACGGTGAAAGCAATCCAGCCGATGCCATGACAAAGAGCAAACCATGTCGCGCTTTACAGGCACTTATCGACACAAATAAGCTTAATATCAATGTGGATGGATGGGTGGAAAGGTCTACAACCCCTCCAACGAAAGCTACACCAATTTCTTTGCTTTGTCAATCCTGTACCGCTCATCATCCTATCCCTATTTCTTAGAGAGTTGCCAGTGTCGGAACGTGAATATCAAACCTAGCGCGTTTCGGCACTGGATATCAGTTAGTCTAACGCGGCACGTGCGTGCCGCGTATATATGTAGTTAGCCACTCCCCGTCCCCCTTACTCTTGGGGGGCAGTCATCAATATCAGGAATCCCATACCATATTGATCAGGCTCGTCAGCTCGTCGGAATAGCTGTTCTACGTGACTAGTGCTAGCGACCTAGACGTAGATAAACCGACACTAGGATTTACAAGGATGGCCTTGTCCTTAGCGAGGCAAACTTGACTGCTCATATGCCCTTTTGGTAAGATAAATTGGTACATCATTGTTGGCGTCGATCTTGGTGGAGCCACCCGTCCTGCACCAATCAAAAGTATCCGGAAGCTTATTGCTTGGTGTAAGATGATTGGATAAAAGCACCGATATGGCGCTCTTATTGGCCGCTACGACCCGCCGTGATGCAAGATCTAAGTGGGTCATAGCCCAATCTAGTACCTGTCTTATCTTATATTGGAGTGGGATTTAACATGGCCTGATGTTGAATCTGGTGCAAGAAGATCGAGTTGCTGGGCAGAAGTATTGAAAATCTTTATGCCTGATTATATGAAACTCCTTCCTGTTGAGAAGACATGCACAATTCAACATAGAGGAGCCCAATTCTCAAGTAAATCTTGGCTAAAAAGTAAAGTAATTGTAAACGTCTGATGACTGTGAGGATGTTGACTAAATTCTCAAACAAATGTTCTGCCTAGTACTACACGTGTACAGAAGTATGGTGTATGAGGAAAATCTCCGAATGCAGTACCAACCAGGACACAGTGTCACGAGCCCGGTTTTGGGGGAAATTTCAGAAGCAGCCAGCGCTGACATCTCTATATTTAGGTGCCGACACGGTATAAAGTGTATTAGAGCAAGATAGTTACTATTCTATAATTGTTCATTTATTTTAAGACCCGAATTGAACCGGAGATCTAAGAGAAGATGCGGCGTCCAGTCTCGATATAGTAACCATGCATAGTTGTGAAACTGACTGGGGTCCAACTCGAATCACAGAAACCAAGACCGAGGGAATAGTTCGCAGATGGTGCACTACTCGAGAAATTCGCGCAACTGGCGGTATCACAATACTAATTTTATCAGTCTACTGTGTGGAGAAAGTGTGTGGCAGTGTACGGCGTCTCTTACCAAGGGATACGCGTTAGGAATGCGCCTAGAAAGATTGCTCTATCTTCTCTCCGTAGAAACTTGTACAACTCCAAGACTCGAAAGTTGCTCTGAGTGAATTAAATGACCAACGTGGGTCCTCATAGATAGGCAGTGATAACTACTAAATAAGACTCCCTGAAAATAGGCTAATACCCCCTGAAAGATGTGTTGAGAAGCTGTTGTCGAATAGAAGGGTTCTAGTTATAAGTGGGTACTGTATCCAGCTCCGTAAATTGACGCTAGAAATTCATCTATCCTGTACCACCAAACCATGAAGCCGAAGCTGTCAGAAATCGGGGCCAACATGTGGTGTTGGTCAAATCATCTACCTCTATATTTTTTATTGGGCTTACGCTGGTGCCTATCGTATCTTAGGGTGCCTGTATTGGCTCTCACAAGAAGCCTTTCCAGTTCGAATCAATTCTTGGGCCATCGAGGACAGGTATGAACGCTGAGATGCACCTGAGAAAAGCTACATGAGTAGCACATCTTAGAATAGTAGCATAGATGTGAGGTAGTTCCGGACCAGGGTGCTCAACCTCAAGGCTACGCAAAAGGATATTACAAAGGATAGATATGCTATGCATACTTGAGGTTATCGACAAGGGTTGCTGGATGAATTTGAAACGTCGAAGCTCCCCGACTACGGTATAAAGCCTACAGAAGGTACTCGGCTTGAGATAGGAATGATTGCAACGCCCTCAAGCAGAATCAACACGTAGTACGACAATCTATATTGCATTTTTATAGGTTCTTCCGAGACTTTCTGCAAGAACCTTTGATATGGTTTTAAGGGGCATTTTACTATTGTCCTATTTCTTGTTTGGCCTTCATATGGTATTCGGAGCAGCAGTACAACCTTGTTCTGGAAATACTGCCGCAGATAGATCCAAATGGTGCACTTACAATATACACACGGATTACTATAATGTGGTGCCAGATACTGGTGTTACTCGGGAATATTGGTTCGATCTTCGTGATCGAGTCTTGGCCCCTGATGGGATTCCTCGATATACTCAAAGTATCAATGGCTCAATTCCAGGGCCTACTATACGCGCCAATTGGGGCGATGAAGTTGTCGTCCATGTTCAAAACAATTTTCAAAACTCCACCAACGGAACCAGTCTCCATTTTCACGGCATTCGGCAGAATTATACGAATCAAAATGACGGTGTAGTCTCTGTAACGGAATGTCCTACTGCTCCCGGTCACAGGACCACCTATAAGTGGCGTGCTGCTCAGTACGGGACTACGTTTTATCACTCTCATTTTTCGTTACAAGCATGGGAAGGGGTTTTTGGAGCCATTGTTATTGATGGTCCTGCAAGCGCAAATTACGATGTGGATCAAGGTGCTCTCATTTTAACCGATTGGGGTCATCAGACCCCTGATGAGATCTTTTATCATGAGTCAAGGCACCCAGGACCTACGTACCTGGAGAACGGTCTGATCAATGGTATGAATATATACAACATTGGTGATAAACAGGTTGGCCAAAGGTTTACTATTGAATTTCAACCTGGCACTTCCTACCGTCTTCGCCTCATTAATGCTGCTCTTGACACTCACTTTACCTTTTCCATTGATCACCATACTATGACTGTTATAGCGGCGGACCTCGTCCCGCTCGAACCATTTACGACAAATGTTATCACTATAGGAATTGGTATGATGAGACTTATACCTGAACGATCAGTTACTGATCTATTTATCTAGGGCAACGGTACGATGTTATCGTTAAGGCAGACCAAGCTCGGATTGCCCACGAATTCTGGATGCGGGCAGTACCCCAGAATGATTGCTCCCGAAATAACAACACAGAGAACATTAGAGGCATCGTCTACTATGGTGAGACTGTACAAGGTCAACCTTCCACATCCGGCTACAACACCACAACAGGTTGTGTCGATCAGACCGACATCGCACCAATTGTGTCAAAGTCTGTTTCCGAGGACTTTGTATACTATGCAAATGAAGCATTGACTATTGGAAAAAATACTGCCGGTCTATTTGTTTGGCAAGTAAACGACGTGTCAATGCAAGTTGAGTGGGAGAACCCTACCTTGCTGCAAATTTATAACAATGTAACGGACTGGTCCAGTACCGAGGGAGTTATACAACTCGACGAAGTTGACAAATGGATTTACGTTCTAATACAGAGCAGTCTGCCAATTTCACATCCAATGCATTTGCATGGCCATGACTTCTTTGTTCTTGCCCAGGGAACAGGAGCTTACGAGCCTAGCGCAGCTGTGAGCAATTTCGATAATCCACCGCGCCGAGATACCGCTATGCTACTAGCGGGGGGTTATCTTCTCCTCGCATTCCAGACAGATAATCCTGGGGCTTGGTTATTGCACTGTCATGTTGGATTTCATGCAACTGGGGGCCTTGCAGTCCAGTTTGTTGAACGATACGACGAGATTCGGGATCTTATTGACTATGAGAGTCTTTCGCAAACATGTAAAGCTTGGGACTCCTGGGAAAAGTCAAAAGGCTTGGTGGAAGTTGACTCTGGAATTTAAATTTAGGAAATACAAACAGAATTGGTGTGCTTGATGTCAAGTATCCCCTACCATCGATGTTTCGTCAAGATCATACGATTCCCAATACGTACTTAGCAGCTACTAATGCCAAGGAATCCTATACAGCTTCCACAGTACCTAGATTAGTGGTGTGAATTGATTAGCTGAATCGTACCTCAGTGTTGCATCTGAATCAATTGTCGACTTGTTTAAGCCAAGTTATTAGTAAAATCTGCTTACTGAAATATGGAAGAACCATGATTGCTACAAGTGATATAGTTAGTGCACGACTCATATAAGGGAGTAACGCGGTAATCAAGGACCCCTAAACAATACAATTTTAAGAAATCATAAATTGCGTGACTGCATGATCAAGATTCTATATCTATCGTGATGGCTTTCTACTCTCTGAGCAAGGTCTTAATATCCATGATTGCAATATCTAGCTGCCTTCTGAACTCGGTCAGGTCAGCATCGTGGCCCCAAATCGAAAAGACGACACTGAAACGGAAAGCAGCAAGAGTCAGTCTCTATTAAACGTTTTAGATGCAGGTGAGAACACATCAGAAGGACCTACCTCTCTTTCAGCACCTGATAGTGAATCCAGATGCTGCCTGGTGGTTCCAGTACAATACCCGACTCAAACACATCTGTATCGAGACAGTCTGTTGTCAGGATGGGTCTTTGACTGCGTTTGTACACATCATCGCTAAACAACGACGGCACTTCGTCTCCATCCTCCAAGAGCCCCTGCAACGCCAGCATGTATCTGAAGAAAGCCCCGCTTTGGAAAGCTCGCGCCAGTCTGTTTGTTAATGTCGCTGCTGCCGCGATGAAAAGTTCTCGGTGCTGGTCCTCAGTAGCATTGTGGTCAGTGTAGAAACTGCAGAAATCTACGACTGCGGGCCACAGAGTTTGCGTAACTGCTGAACGTCCGTGATGATAGTGGGTGAGGGAGACAGTTTCAACAGAGGAAGGATGGTAGCCAAAGAAGCGTTGGCTTGCCAGCTGAATAGCGAGTTGCACTCCTGCCTTGGGAGCAATCTTCGCATTACGGAAGAGCGCCTCACTGACACTGGAAAGCGTGAATCCTTCAAATGTGTAAAGAGGAGTGCGGGCTTCAAAATCACGCTGGATTGCCGAAACACGTCCATCAATAACAGAGTCAGTGATTACGGGCAGCCACTCCATGGGCCCTGCCGTAACTCCGTTTTGGCCGTCTTTCTGACGAGCTATAAAATCTTGTTCTTCTTTGACTCCTTCGATGAGGAATGATTTCAGCGGATTGGTAGAGGTGCCATCGAGCAAAGCATGCTCCATGACATTCCCAGACGCCCCGTTCGTGCACACCACAAACTGCAATGATTTATCATGCCATCTGTTTGTACCATTTCCCCAGAATATTTGCTATGCCCTTTCTGATTGTGTTATGGGTTCGTTATCGTCCAGGGATAGTGTGAACGCTGCTGTCTCAATTGTCTCAAGGAATTTCGCATTTGCTGGATGGACACATCTCAAGTACGCACGCATCTGAAAGATGATTGTCAGCGACATACAGCATTACAGATCTCAGTCTTGACCCAATCATCTGTGTCAACAAAGAGAAAAGCCTACCTCTGCCCAGTTATCACGTTTGTCCATTGTCAAAGCTGGTATGCCAGACTGTTCCCCTTCGGCAGTCCGTATAATCTCCTCAAATGTAGCCTTGAGCGAGTGCCAAGTGACCTCCTTCACGGGTACCTTAAATGCAAGTCCGTTCTTAAATGCCACAATATGGTCGTATCCGTCAAACTTTCTGATTCGATCTTGTCCCTGGTATGGTTCCCGGTACACATTGAAAAGACCGTTATACGAGTTCATATCCAGTGTGTTCTCAGCGATAACATCCGCCGTAATTTCTCCTGCTTCGAGGCTCTTTTTGCATTTGAGAGCCGCTAAAGAGACTGTTGCTGCCCTCTCGACCGCAGTGGGCTGAACGCCATCCATGACTGGGTGAGTTCCAAAGTAATTCTAGAAAGGTACGAGTGTCGTTCTATTACTAAGGAATACTTTCTTTACCAAGATGTCAGAAAACCAATTATCAGTACTTGGATCACTGGCAAATTTAACAAAGCGATCATGCAGTTGTCTTCCGGGACTATCAGGATCCATGAATTCCTGAACGTGTTGTTTCGTTTTCTCTAGCTCCTCTGGAGTCGAAATACATGCCACAGCCGTCAAGAAACTCTGCAGCATTTCTTGCATTTCTGGAATTGGTTGCTTCGGGAGTTCGACGAAAATCTCCTCGGTTGTTCCATCCGACTTGCTTCCTCAAGTGGTCAAAACATATAGTGACGCAGTAACAAAGACATTTCTCCTCCCCACAGCCACAGCAGGTCTGGCATTTTTCGTCACGTTTGGTGTTCGATGGCATAACGTGGGAAATGAAAAATTATTTTAGTTGAATAGAATCCACGAAAACCCTGCCTTTCGCTTGTAGCGCCGTTATGTATTATTACAATAGAGAAATGATTCACAGAAGTATCTGTTGTCCTTTCTTTTTAAACCTTCGATTTGAAAATAGTCCGCTTGAACATACATCAGAGCGTGAAAATGTGACACATTGCGGAAATTGGCCTCCTGTACCTTCCTAGAAATCAACAGTATTATGAGGATTTGACAAGCTGTTCTCTGAATTCTCAAGCTGCTTAATTCGCCATGTTGAAGAAAATCCTTCTGGTGTAGGTCCACCAAATGTGTAACCTTGTTGGGCCGTATTACTCTTCATCTTTTCTTGTTGGAATATCGTTCCATTAATTTCAAGGGTGTAGTCGCCAGTATAAAGGAACTGTAACATTTTTTTTAAAAAGGATCGGTGCTCGATCTTCGAGCTCGATTTTCCCTGAAGCTTCCTACAAGCGCCAGTTCTTAGGGGTTAGTTTAGGTTATTTTCAGAGGAAGAACGACACAAACCTTGAAATCCCCATTGTACGCTCGAGTAAAATAGGCTGACCTAGGACAGACTATATTTTGATGGGCTGAGAAGGTTTCATTACCACAAATTATAGTCAAATCGCTATATTGTGGGCTTAAGTACAGGTTGGTTGATGTCAGTTAGTTTGTTGATGAAACTCAGCGGTATCTTTCTTCCATATACCTCGAAAGGGAATCAAGTAGTTCCCCAGTAGAGTTTTCATCAAACATTGCGACTGTCGTGGCAGGAGTATGCCCCTTCACGATCTTCTTCTTGGGCATTGCGAGTATGTTATACGATCAGCACAATGAACTGCCCATATGATATCTGGATTAAAGGGCTGCTAATCTCTAGTAAATATAGGGTCGATCAATAGCTGGTGGCGTAGTTTTAGAAGTTTGAATTGCACGAAGATAGATGGTTTTTAAGGGAACGAGCTCCGTTCACAAGTTGTTCAATGCGTGCCTATATATTATACACTCAACGCAAATGAGAAAAGTCCAGTAATGGTGGTAAATGGGATTACTGATTGCTTGAATTTATAGAGAACAAAGATATTGATACAGTACACCAAAAGTGTAGACAATAGGAAGTCCGCTTATGATTCCTCACCGGATACTCAGAAGTTGTATATAGCCAAGATGATCATCACTTAGTGTGAGGTGATTCAATCCAAGACTTAAATAGTGCAGAGTCAGTAATGGATGGTGACGATATTTGTTACCAAATAACTCCATGTCCAGAAACGATGCCAAATAAGAATGTCGTATTTATCGTAAAATAGGGATGGTACCGTCAAACGTCAAACAGATGATCCAGTTTGTAGCAGCAAGTCATGCCATTTTCGGAACACATTTCTAGGATCATATTGCTTCTTGAGTTCTTTCAGACGAGATAAGTTGTCCCCAAACAGATCTTTTGCGTTTGCTTCAAACCCTAGAAAACATCATCAGCCTTGAACATCTGAGCCAAGCCCCAGTACGTTGGAATAATATGGACCCACCAGTATAGTTGGCGTACATATTTACCCCATGGCCACTTTTCTTGATATGCTCTTCGCGTATAAGATTCATGAGCCCCTGCTGCAAAGTGCGGACTTTGGAGTCAATTTTTGCGTCGTGCCAATTGAATATAGAGCACACGTTATAGTATGGGCCTCTATTGGCATATGCTGTAGCGTCGTTCGGGACCTCAACCACCTTATTGTAGGGAAGCATCTCAAAAAATAAGAGAGCTTCGCCATCTCCCGGGTAATCATCCAAAACATGGGAGAAGTGTTGGTATACGGTTTGAAAAAAACCCATGTCGAGGGGGAACGTGACACTTGTGCCACTCAGTCGTTTTCGTCCCGCGCTGTCTGCTGTCCTGTTGAGCAGTTCATTTGCCTTGTAGTAAGGCATCATTCCTATTTCTTTGCGACCCGAATCCAATGATAACAACGGGCTGAATATCTTTTCCGCTTGATCTTGGGGCCCATTATAGAACAGAATCAACACTATGTTGGTTCGACCGTTAGAGTTGGTAAAGCCGAAAAATAATCCCTGGTCTTCTTCAAGTTTCGAGTCCAGATCGTTCACATAATCCACCAACTGCGGCAGCTTATCAGGCTCGAGGTATACCATGCCGGCATACACATCATTCTTTTGTGGATGGGCTTTGAATGTGAACCGGGTTATCACGCCGAAATCTTGCCCAGCTCCACGAATGGCCCAGAATAAGTCCGGGTTCTCAGTTTCGGATGCAGTGGTTATGCTGCCGTCCGCCAGCACAATCTGTGCTTCTATTAGATTGTCGACGACCAGTCCGTACTTCCCAGTAAGCCAACCAATGCCCCCGCCTAGGGTTGTACCGCCGACTCCAAGCTGGCTTACTGTCGGACCAACGACAGCGAGGCCATGCTGCGCGGCGGCCGTGTTAACATCGGCCCATTTAGCGCCACCTTCGACTGAGATTGTGCTGGAAGAAGGCTGGACGTCTACTTTATTCATTCTTCCCAGGTCGATCACAATTCCTCCGTAAGTCGATGACGCACCATTCGTACTATACCCACCCGACAATACTGCAAAGGGAACATATCGCTTGGCTGCAAACTCCACGACCGTGGAGACGTCCTCAACAGAAGTGACTCTTACTATGGCGCCCTTGATCAGCATGGTATTGTCAGCATACATCCGGCGATGCTCTTGGATGGATGAAAGATATTTATGAATGCTTTGGTGTGGTGGTGACGAAACACATACAGCCTCTTTCTCGCTGGTTGCGCTCCATCGATCAAGGCTTTCCACATAGTCATCATCGGCAAGGGTGATAACCTCTGCATTTGTTCCGCTGAGCTCCTTCTGGAGTTCTAGAGCAGCCGGGTATGTCAAGAAAGGCATGGCGTATGCTCATTCGCTTGATTCTTTAGTTTCCACTCGGTCGTAAACAGAGATGTTGTAAACATAAAGAGTCTGACTGGTCGGATCACGGAAGAGTTGTCGAGCGATAAATTCTTCATCAATTTATTTCAATCGGTGATATTAACCGATGAATTCCCGAAAAAAAAAACTGGACCCATATGATATCAGCATTACCCACGCAGATTTATGCTGTAGTTCCAGGCTAAGCAGGCATCTATAAAGTGTGGAAGTACTATTGCCACTTATTGGCGATCCAAGCACATAAATCCGGGGGGTGGGAACCAGTCCAAAAAAATCATAGGTAGTAGTACATGTACGCTCGGCTATATTGATCAAAGGCCCCAACGAGGTCACGTTGGATAGAAAGATTTTTTGCTGGTTATACAGTCCAGACAAAAGTCTAGCTGTCATCGTATGATGTCTGCCGACATCCGCTCGGGAGTACTCGGGTCCTTTTGATTCACCAGAAAATAAATAATCGTTAATGATGCGAAAGGCGAATGTACAAGGAGTCACCGGACCAGAAAGTCATGGATTCTTCAGTGTTATTTTTATTGTATGACCGTCATTCCTCGTCATATGTTGCTGGTCTTGCTACCACCAATCACTTGGTAGGGCGTCTTCTCCACCGGTCAGCACGGAGTAAAGGAATCAAGAGAAACTTGCGACAAAAGGTGTTTCTTCTCTCTGAATCCTGTTAAATTGCTTAGAGAAATGTTACCGGTAGGTTGTTTTAGGAATATATGACCCTTCTTCGGCGTTTTGGTTGCGTTCAATGTTTAACAAAAGGGAGCATACCAGCATTGCGATCGAATTTATCTCAGAAATCTCAGACCCTCGGCGAGGATTTTGTTGGAATCTGGTATGTGGCTAGGTGTATGAGTATAGACTTAAGATCTACTCTGATTTAGACTTTTATATTGAGATACTCATATATGAGTAGCGCTATTTTAATGACATATTCTTAGTAGGCGTAATGCTTTTATGGTGTAATATTTTAACCCTAATAAAAAGTTCCAAGATTGATCCGATCATATCTGAGCCTTGCTTGGACAAAAAGCAAAAAACAGACTTAAAAAAGAAAAGAAACAAGACAAAGAAAGTTCACAACTTTCCCAAACAGTCGATCAAGTCGGACTGGAAAATTCAAAGGTAATCCTCGGACCGCGGTAGTTTTTGCGAGCATAAGCAAACCAGTTTACGGTCCCGACAAGCCCCATGACAACTAGAACGGCAGACGAGTAATCTGTGGAAGCAATTGCAATGGTTAGAGAGCGATTATATGAAATCCGGACGGTGACGGAAATGCGAGAGGCACGGGGCAGAAAACTTACTCATCGACGAGCCGGACACCGGAATCACACCTGGGAAATTAAAGAAGACGAGCTCTACTACTGCCCATAGAATTGAGATGATATTGGCCGTCCACCCAAACCATTCTGGAAGCCTAAATGCCCGGTTCTTGGGGAGGAGGCCTGGCGACCGCTTACTCCAGATCAAGAAAAATATCGGAATGGCGAAAGAGAGTATCTGGAGGATGATTGCAGAGCTTACAATAGCATTAAACGCCGCCGACGATCCTAAAAAAATGCAGCCTAGAATAAAAGTAGCAACAAAGTTGAGCAGTAGTGCTGGTCCGGGGACCTCAAGCGTGAGACGTGATAACCAGGGTGACAATAGAAGCGCATCGTCCCGGGCTAATGACCAAATCAAACGAGACGTCGTTTGCTGGATAGAGTTGGATACCAAGAGAACGATGACGACCAGAGCCACCATGAAAGCGGTGCCTGCCGCGATGCTTTTCGTAGCCTGGATCCAAAGCGGATAAATTGGCATTCTACCGTATACTGTATTAGCAAAAAGGGTTTCGAGGTTATTTATCGTCAAGTTAGGTACGTACGGGTTGCTTAATAGATCTTCCAGGTCGGTGATTGTATATGACATCCCAACGCTGAAACAAAAACCGGTGATGAATCCTATTGAGACTGTGCTCATGAGTGCCCGCGGGACATTCCTCTCGGGCTGTTCCACTTCTTCAGCGAGATGAAGAGTGGCATCCAGACCACCGAACATAAAGCATGGAGTGATTAAGCCAGTGAGAAAAGCAATCCCATCGGGCCAGCCGGTGTTATTTTCAAATACCGTCCAGACAGCCTTGCTGCTCTGCTTTTCGGAGCGCACCAGACAGGTTATTAGGGAGATGATGAAGGTGGTTAATGTGAGCATAACTGTTAAAAATGGGTTTAGCTGATTCAATACGAAGCGCCAGTGTCAGGGAGTGGATCAACTGGTACATACAAGCAATATCGTGAATGCGCGGTGTCTTTCTCATCAGGAATATGTTGTAGATAAGGAAAACTGCGTTGATGGCTTGAAACACAAGAAAATAATGCCACGTTTTTGGTACGTAGCCGTCATTGAAGAACGATGCCAGGGCCAATATAGCCTCTGCCCCCAGAATGACCACGGACGCATTCTGTCCCACCCAGGAGAAAGTAGCCATAATCCCGCAGGCATATGATACACCGCGAGACCATCCCACAGGGGCCAAGACAGAGGCAAAGTGGTATTGACCGCCAGCAGTGGGATACACGCTGGCCAATTCAGCAAGGGACAAGGCCACCATAAGATAAACAAACGATGCGACGATGGCACCGTATATGACTGTTACAGTGCCTCCTGCAGCGATCGCGATCGCGATACTGGTTGCGATTGCCACCCAGCTGTTTGCGATATTGAATCCGAGGGCGATAATGCTCAAAGGCCCGAGATGACGCTTGACCTGAGGGCCGACCAAGCCAAGAGCAACGGAGTCAAACACTGCCTCGGTTGTCTTGCTTTCTTCAAAGACTGATGCCTGCTTGCTCGTGCTAGAGCTACCGTCTAGCTTTTCACGTCCTTCCGACATAATGGCGACTTTGGGACGATTTTCTCAATGAGCATCGCTGCGGGAGAGAAGTGAAATGTCGAGAATAGCATGCATTTATAGAAAATGCGTTATCTCTCGACCTAACGCCGGTCCATTGCTTTTCGCAAAGAGCACTGACAGATGGCGTCTGAATAGAAGTTGATGTTTACTGGAATTGGCAATGTTAACGATACCGTAGGTAATGTATCTTATCAGCGTGATCTCTTATCTTGCCGCGTCTATCTACGCCACAACCCTTGGCATGTCCGTAGGGTTAGGGCTAGATCTTCACTGTAGGCATGAATAATGTAGAAACAGAAATAAATACCCCAGGATTGCCGTCCATTTACCAGCTGTCCAAGGACATATTCACTCTTTATTCTTTCTTTCATATACATACAGTCTTTCCGATATCATCATGACTGCTTCGGCTCTTCCGTCGGCCCACCTCCCGCGAGTTGAAGTGTTTGATGCTGGAGATGCACAGGTTCAAGAAGTGGTCGATGCCTTGATCAAGGCAGGTGGCTGTGTTATCAAGAACGCCTTATCGGTGCAAGACGTGAACGCGATTGAGGCCAACGTACGACCTCATATTGAAGCTGATAGCCCATGGAGTGGAAAGTTTTTCCCTGCTGAAACCAGGCGTGTGATGGCGATGCCAGGAAAGTCCAAGCTCTATATGGAGAAGATAGTTTTCAATAAGCTATATCAAGCAGTATGTGATAAACTGTTGAGTAGCGAGTACGGCTGCTGGGTAGGCGATGAGTGGAAACAGAGCTGCTCCAAGCCGCAGCTTAACAACACAGCAGTCCTCTCCATTGGCCCTGGCGCGCGAGACCAGGAGCTCCACCGAGACAGCATGATCCATCACTGCCGAACAAGAAAGATGGATCCCTCTGAATACGTTGTCGGTCAAGAAACTGGAATTGGATTCTTTGTTGCCGGAAAGAAGACTACCGTCGCCAACGGAGCGACCCGTTTCATTCCTGGCTCCCATCTATGGGATCATTCGACACCACCGAAGGAAGACCAGTGTGTTTATGCTGAGTTGGATCCCGGTGATGGATTCATTCTATTAGCATCCGCATTTCACGGGGGTTCTGCCAACAAGACGAAGGACGAAGAAAGGCTCGTATACAGTGTCTTCATGACCAAGGGTTATTTACGCCAGGAAGAAAACCAATACGTGGCAAACAAATTTGAGGATCTTAAAGATATGTACGACGATGCCGCTTTGGAAACGATCGGATACGGGCTCTCTCGGCCTTTCCTAGGATGGATTGACGCTTTGCCACCTTTGGATTGGCTTCGTGGCTCAAGGGAGTTAAAAGATCTATTCTGAGCGCAGTATTCGATCTGCTTTATGTAGGTTTTATTTGTCAAGGTCGCCTTTATTTTACTCCACTAGAGAGCAAGGAAAGGAAGGGAGAAAACAAGACAAATAATAGAATTTATGTTTAGGCAACACAAATGTTGAATTTTTTAGTTCTTATAATACGTTCAATACTGTAGGGCCCATAAGTTGACTGGTCATAATCATAGGCTTCCCAAACCCACTGGATGAATCGAAGCGTGCTATCAACGATACGCATCTGGAAGGTGGACTTGTTCACAATATCAGTAAATATGCGGCGTTGACGGGCAGTTCGTAGGCAAGAGCCGACAATAATCATCGGCCACATCATCGTCGTCCAAGCAGGAGATTCGGTAGATAACTGCCCAAAATAATTCAAGAACTTTTCTGTACAAACATCCACTCTAGCAAACAAATGTGTATCCGGGGGATGGGGTCCGTGGAAGGACGTATGGAGGAAGATAAGACAGGCCTGTTGATAGGCATTTCCAGCTATTTGCAACTCTTCTATCCTCTGGGGACTGTTCAACCATGACTGCTGTAATCCGAGTGTTGGTTGCCAATTCTCTATTCGCCGCTCAAGTATTTCAAAATCCTTCGTGCGTGATTCATTGGCTCGATGGTTTGAAAACGAGTGACACTTTGCCAGGCATGCGATTCGAGGGATGACTTCGAAGAGTTGGTGGGAGCAGCCAAACATACATCCATAAATCTTAGATCCAAAATTTAAATGTCTCAGGGGTATCTCCAAAAATTCGGTATTTCTTTCTCCATTGCAGCTGTTGGCGCCGTGGGTGATGTTAGACACGATTGCTAGATAGCAGTATTGCTCCAAGCAAAACCCAAAAAGCGCCTGGTCCAGTTGAATCTGCTTGGTCTGGAGCTCTGCAATTATAACCCGTGATGCACGAAGATGATGAAATAAAGCGCCCTGACGATTACAGCTGACCACCTGTACCGATGTCAACTCCCAGTGACGTTGCACTACCCGTGGTCCGCGTACCTCAAAGAAGCATAAAGCGAGGATGGTACTTAGCAAATTAAGCTTGCCAGAAGTGTCATCCGGCGGTGTTGCCAATACCTTGTTCAACTTTTTCACGTAGTCGCGTAATATCCCTGGGCAACTAATTCATATTGACTAGAAATATATGCTAAGTGTGACGCGCTTGTGGCAAGAATAACATGCAGCAAAAGGTCATTGGACCAGGCGATAGGGAGATTGTAGGTTACAAACGGATTTTCTGGATCGACTTTCCCCGCAAGTCGAGGAGCAGTACAGTCGATGTAATAGCGAAGGAGGTCAGACGCAGGACCCTGTCCACGCAATGCTTTCGGAAGAGGAGGCAGCTCAGCTCCACTCGAAATCTTCGACGCGGCTGCTGGCCACGAACAGACCAGTTGATTTCGGTCGCAGGCAGAACATAGAGGATGCCGCTCATCGCATTTCTTGTGCCGTGCTCGGCAGACAAAACAACCGAACCGCGAGCGAGGGTGAGGACGGCGGATCACGGGCAAAGGCATAGACGTGCGTGGGAAAAGGAGAGAGTTACACACAGTAAGTAGTAAGTGCTGCTATTGTTTATTTTAACTCGCATCGAGACCAAACAGCGGATTCCTCCCCAGTTCCGGTCCCGGGGGTGATGGCAGATAACAAAAATTTCCTAAAACGGCAACGTTAAGGACTTTGACTTTGATAGGCTCACACGTGCAAACCCAATCGAATAAGCTCAGAATGGAGAATATAGAATCGAAGATGTTATAATCGTAATTATATTATCAATATTATTATTATCAACATCTGAAAAGCAAATACATACTAATTCTTGAATCTAGATTCTTCCAGTACTCCGCGCTATCTGGCCAATGAGAACGCAGTATCAGTCACTTCAGCGCTTCCATATGATTGGCCCGAGGCCTGTTGATAAGAGAGTATCTAATCCATACATATATTCTCCATCTCCGACGGCCCGACCCCGTCTTTTGCTCCCGAATACATTGAGCTTTCCATCTTGACAGCAAGTATGGGGAATACAAGACTGCTGAAGTGGCGGACTGTCGTCAAATCCTCTCCTAGAAGACCGAGGTCATGCACTCCCGATAAAGTCAGAGACAAAGAGGGCACAAAGAAAAAAACCCGGCGCCGCCGGCATCACCACTTCAAAATCGTACAGACAAATTTCCAGAACCGGCACGCGAATGTCATGTGCAATGATTCGGATGAGTCTTGTTCACCCTCGAGCGGCTTGGATAGGGATGCTTCATATGGACCATTCATCATCCAATACACAGATTTGTCGCAAAAGTTCTCGCCACTGCTCGATCTCTGTGAATAAAAATAATGCCCCAATAAGAAACGAGAGGAATTCTAACATTACTATCTAGATGACATCAAACTATGTTCAATCCCATTGACACAAGACTGTATGGCAAATCCCCTCCGTTGTCGGCAAGAGAGCAGCCAGGGATCACGCTTTCTTCTTCACGCCATTCTCGCTCTTTCCCTACATCATATGGCTTTCGAATCTACAGACTCAAAGGATGCGGATCTCTCTCTTGAAGCTGCAAACCACCATTCGTCAGCCTTATTACTATACCAGGCAGCACTGAACAAGCCTAATGTAAACCTTGCGCTGCTAGATACGCTCTTGATACTCATGCACTTTGAAGTTGGTCAACAATCCATTCCAATTAGTTAGAAAGGAAAGGGCTTCATTTACTCACATTAATTAATCAGATGACCCAGTCCGCGATCAGCAAATGGTGTATCCATATCCATGGTGCTTTCAACTTGATTGAAATGTGCGGGGGAGTTGGTATGCTAGACACAATATCGTCCAAGTCTAGAGCCCAAATACTACTGCTTGTGTGGTTAGTTTCCAGGACATAGCCACTCTTTTTGTGACAGCCTAATGTTAATTTTCCTTCTCTTTTAGGCGAGATGTTAGTTTGTCATTCATACATCGCCAAATGCCGGTGTTCTCCAAAACCTACCTTACTCAGCTGTCCAAGTATGATTACACCGACGGCTGGAGTATTTTGGGGCTGACAGGGTGTCCACCATCTGTTGTCCAAGTAATGTATGATCTTTCCCTGCTGGCATTCGAATATGAAAGATCCACGCGTCCGAGTCACAAACCATTCGATCTATCAACTATCCACAAACTTGTGCAAAGGATAACGAGTATGGAAAACGATTATCGCCACATATACAGCCATAATGATATGGGAAATGCAGATGATGTGTCAGTCTCTACAAGTACATATCATCTCTTCGAAGCCTGGAGAAAATGCGTCTTACTTTATGCAAATCGTGTGTTTCTTGAACACGAACGATCGCCGAAGATCATGTATTTTTCCAGATTAATACTTGACCATATCAGCTGCATCCGAGAAGAATCAGATCTACAAAAGCAGGTTCTTCTCCCCCTCTTCCTTGCCGGGGCTGAAACGCAGTCTGAAGATGATCGACATTTTTGCAGAGTATTCTGTGCTAAAATGCTATCTAAAACGACATATTCTCTTTTCACGGACACCCGGTTGATTCTAGAGCAAATATGGGCTCATACTGAGGATAATACCTGGTGGGGATCATTCATATCTGGGAGAAGCCATGAGATACGCGGAACGGTCAATGCTGTCCCTCAACTTCTGATTGCATAGAGATGTCGCCGGAAATTATGAAGTGATTTGTGATCACAATCCTCAAACGTACGGAACCGACTTAGGTCTCATATAGGACGTTATTTATCTTCGTGTCGCGTAAAATACCCTTCGTCAAAGCTTTTGGATGCGTACGAAATGTTTTGGCTAGTTTATGTGTCTCACCGCTCATGGTTCAGGACGTCCTCACAGGGATGAAGTAGGATGCGATAACCAGAGGTGCCACTTCTAGAAGCTTTCACCAGGGGAATTGTTTACCAAGGGAATTTTGGTAATCTCTGGTGAGGCTGCGGTCGACCACCGAACAAACTCTTTGGAGTTGGTGCCACAAGTTGTGGGAGGGCCGATGGAAAAGGTTGTCATGCCAAAGCCGATCCTAGTGTGGAATTTGTATTTCGTAGCATCTGACCAGAGGACATCATCGGTGCCTATTACGCCATTCATGGTGCGTCTACGGGTGATGAGATCGATCGACTGGGGTACATCCGGAAGGCTCAGTCACTTTAGCTTCTTCCGCCTCGTAGGCTGGCATTCCGAAGACTGCGACGTTTGTCCCAAAACCAGAATTGATATGGTGTATTTCCAGACGGCAGAGGGAGGCGCCGCGATCTCACTTGAATCGATGGAATTGTATCATTGGGCTTGCGAACTGGAACTATGACAATGCATTACATTGCTGGTGTCACGTCTAACGTCCTTCAAGAGCTATTACGCAGATCTGCAGAGCGAAACTAATGTCTTCAGCCTATGTCTATTTTCATTTGTGTCACTTTGACATTATGGTTGTTTGGTTTTTTTGTTTTCTGTACAACGCATTTCCTTTCTTTCCATGCAGAACTTATTTTACTTGTAACTATTCACTCCGAAATTTTATATATAAGAACTATGTATGCACCTAGGTGGTAACGGATGCAAAGAATTATGTAGATATATGTGCAAGTAACTGGAAACGGCATTGCGATCGAATTGAGATTTTCTGGGTCTACCTATGTCAGAGTCGGTTATGACAGACTTTACACCTGGATGTTTTCGACATCGCATTACCTGGTAAATAACAAAACAATTTCTCGCTGATGATGCCGTTCCCTAGATATGAAACTCGCTCTCTGAGATACAATGAAAAGATGCTTAACTTATAGGTCTTATCTCCGACGAGATGGAACATCACTTTCAGCGAAGAATTACATATCTAAGTGCATTCTTGGATTCGGGAATACACTGATCCATTATCGCCCATGTCAACGCAGTCAATGACCATGTACTGTCCGATGGTTATGGACGTTAACAATCCAGCAAAGGAGCAGATAAACTACCCACATTATACCCTCATAATTGGAGATGTGGCAGTAGATCCACTCAATAAAACTTTACTCTACGCCCTTTGGATGACATATCCGAACTCCGCATTTGAACAGGGTCCGTTTCGCAATATTGCTAGACCGTTCCTATTTATTGTCCCAAGTCCAGACAACGGTTCGTTATCATTTGCAAGATATTGCGCTCAAATTATACTTATGGCTCAGGTATTATCGTTGATGCGCGGATGCTGAAGCATAACAAACACATACATTAACTGCTCATTAGGAACATAAAATGGATCAATCCACCTCCACCGACGCCACAAAAACAAAAATCGACTTTTTGGCAGATAAAACAGATGCATCACCATTTACTTTGCGGCCTTTTCGCGCCGGAGACTTGGGATACATGGTGCATCGGCAAGGAGTTTTCTACGACGAACAGTATCAATGGGGCATTCGTTTTGAGGGTCTAGTCGCACGGATCGTCGGGGACTTTGTCGATTCTTATGACCCGAGCAAGGAATGTTGCTGGATCGCAGAGAACAAAAGCGACGGAGCGTTCCTGGGTGGTGTGATGGTTGTCAAAGACAAAGAGTCAGTTACTAATTCGAAGATCGCCAAGCTTCGACTCTTATATGTCGAACCGAAATCGCAGGGGATGGGGTTAGGGACGGTCTTGGTTAGACAGTGCACGCGTTTTGCACGGGAAGCTGGTTATACAAAAATAGGACTCTGGACACAAAGTATGCTATTTTCTGCGAGACGAATTTATCAAAGAGAAGGCTATAAGCTGGTACGGTCAGAGAAACACGAATCATTCGGTGTACCACTGACTGGCGAATATTGGGAGTTGACGCTGTAGCGCAGGTGTGGTCATGGAAACGGATAGCTTCACAGATTCGGATCGGTTCCAGCGTTTATACTGCAACGGACAGATTCCACCGGTGTGACAAGGTTGTTGGAAGGCGAAATATACATAACTTGGCCTTTTCACACCCACAGAAATGGTACAGAGTAGCAGACGAGATGTATCGTTCAGCATCCATCATTCGTATGTAGTCTATGCTCTTAATCAACAGAATAACTGATTTTGGATTGTCCTTGTTTGCGCGTTATCTTTCTCACCGTCGTACGACCACACAGATCTGTCGTCTCGACATGTGTCCCACCACAGGGATAGACATCTAGGCCGGCAATATTGACCACGCGAAACTTTTCGCCCGGGGCCACCAGACTACTGTCTGGTATCATATAATCAAGGCCCCTCCTGCGAAATTCATTCTCATCCCACCACTCCACGCTTACGAGCAGTTTAGCGGCGATAGAGTCATCGACCTTCTGCTGGATAGCATCCTTCCATTTGCCGTCAATCAGACCTTGGAACTCGCAAGCTGCCGCGCCTGGAAAATGTGATGCTTTTAGCTCTGCAAAGTCCTTGACCTCATTTTTGACGAGATGCCTAACAGATGCGCCTAGAACATGCCCTGCCGTATGAAGTCGGGAGTATAGTAGGCGCTTGTCAACATCGATAGCTTGTTGAATATTCTCCCCACTGTTGAATGTCTTGACGGATGATGCAGCATCTTCACTTTTGAAGTTCCCTAGATGCATAACCTGCCCATCATACACGGCATCCATACGAACAGCAGTGACCGTAAAAATGAGGCCTGTACTCCCAATCATCGAACCGACATCACACGGTTGGCCGCCACCCTGCGGGTGAAATATTGTTTTTTCAGTCACCACGACATAGTCCTCATTTCCGCCAATTTTGAAAGTCTGACGATTTAACTCTTCGATGTCGCCGAAAGGCCTAACTAATATCACAGTTGTCTCAAGCTGATTGAGCTTGGCATCATGTTGAAAAACCAGGGACGTCCGGGTAGTTGATGCCATTGGGTCTAGTGGACAAGGTAGAAGTACGGAGGGAGAGAGATAAAATGTGCTATACCAATAAGCCTTGGTAGAATTAGTAGTAGAAATATCAATAAACAATGCTTATTTCGACCTTACAGGAATAAATTTAACAGCATAAATTTTCATTCTCCACTGATCGAAGGAGTCCCCCACGCCCTTTGCTTGACATGGTGGGGCCATGGGTGTTAATGCGACGGACTAAATACTCATATGAAAATGAGTCACTTGCAAATCTTTATAAATTCCCAGTGATTGCTCGAATGACATTATGGAAAATTGGATTTCGTTATTTAATCAGTTGGGCTGGCTCTGTTGTTGGAGTATTCATGTCAACAAGCAAGTCATACGTACTCTCCAAAGCTCCTGTTTGGGCAGACCGCACCAGGGCTAGGTAGATGCTCGATAATCGCCGTGGCGGGTAGTGATACCTCTTTATTGCTTTTTATACTCACAGCGCTGATAGTGCCAACTGAAAAAATCGATGAACCTCGACAGGGATGCTTACGATTCGGATGTGTACAGAATGCGTGAGAATAGCGTTGTCTAGCCCAGGCAGCCGAAGACGACACGAGGCTGATTCCCATGTTGCTTGCCGAACTAGCCTGTGCTGTGTGCTCATACTAATCATTCGCGAATTGTTGGACGATACGAGGCCAAGCATGGATTGTGACTGACTGATGGAAAGTTGACAAACATCTAACCTGTCACCCATGACAGCTGTCAGTACTCTATTCCTCGGTATTATCTCAACAGCTAAGCAAACTCTCACTCGAAACTCGAGATGGGAATCTCGTTCGCTTTATACCGAGCCTATGGGCCTTGCATGCATGCTGATCTTGGCTTTTCGGGTGTATGCCTATGTTTCGTGACACTAGGATCTGAAGATGCGATCAGCATAGACTAATGCAGACTCGACCGTGCTTCTATTTCTTAGCCATGCGCCCAAAATTTTGCCAGAAGAATCCTAGGATGATCAGGGACGGACTGCTTTTCGAACTGCATTCAAAGCTGCATACTATTTAGTATGAACCTCAACATGATCTGAGGACACGAAACGACGCGAGCCGTCTGCTACGGGTGCCGGGCTCGCGTGGTTACGCATTTCTATGTTGTGATGGAAATAGGTTTGCGATATCATATCGAACGCTGGTTGGCAGTTTCTCCAGGCGAATCCCAACCCCGGATTACCTACCCAGGAGGGTTAGGGAGAAAGCCACGTTGTGCACTCTAGGACCTGTGAGTGACATTCCGAAACCTCCATCACAAACTCTCATTGTCAACAACCAAGTAGAGCAATCCTCACTACGCCAGAACTGATTGAACAGAGCTAGTACTATCACCGAATCCAACATGCCAAGGCGATAACGGTGAATCTATCAGCCCACTACCAATTCCAAAGTAGCGGAAGTCACAATTCAAGAAGTCAAACCATTGCCATTCAGCTCCAGGTATAGCCGGTCTGACAATGATAAGGATTTTTAGCGCCACTACGTGGTGGCGCTACTAACCCAATTCGCTCTTCTACCAGTTAGGTACAGCATCATCTTCGAACTTGTGTAGTTAGGAAATATCCCTACTCGCATAGTGGGTGATTCCGTGATACACTGCTCAACAGTGATCGCTTAGCCTCGGAGTCTCCGCGTGGCTGATCCTAGCTGCTGTTGATAAGACTGGGTCAGGAGGCTTAACCACCACCATCGCGAATAATTTCGCATTATTGTGGCTAGTCCTTCAGGGTCAGGGGGCGCTTACACCATAGAGGATCACGCGTGATGGCGCAATCGTTGTCACGTCTGCGGGTTTTGGTTTGAAGTAAAAAAGAAGGGAATTTTCAGATGCCGGACAACAGAGTTCCAGGGAACAGGAGATCAGTGGAACAATATTAATCGAAACCCCGAAAGGCTATCCATAATTTCCATCAACATGAGACGAAAATCTGGCGAGCCGCAATTGGCTCGATGAGTGAATATTATTATGGTGAACTTTCGGAGGTCCGCGAAAATAAATTGACCAATTCTATGATTCCTTATCTTCAGAGTGCTAGTACGTAGCGAGTAGTGGCTGCCGTGTTTATCGGAGGATTGATTCATGCTGATACTACTCTATGTATGTGCATGGACCTGTTGTACGATGAATGGGCTTGCTTATCTCATGTTGGTCCTGATCGTCTACCAATTAATATGGAGTCGTGCGGTTACAGTTAGCGGGCTCCGTGTCAAATCCACCAGCCAAACATGATGAGTTTTCTTATCGGAGCTATTTTGAGCGTGGATACAACCTAAATGCGCATTATTGGCTTATTACTTCTAGTGTATTTATACTCCATACTCTCTGTACGTACGTCTCTGTCATTACCTGGATGCCAGCAATTCGTCGGTATTCTATCTGAAATTTCAGTTTTTACTTCTCGCCGTTTTACGCCCCCAAAGAGTCCGTACTCAAATGTCGTATGGTACGTATTATGCGGAGAAGACCCTGAAGGGCACAATTTATTCATTCATAATTTACCGGTTGGGCAAACCCACCATACCTGTCTAAGGAATTGACTGGGATTATAGGGAGAATCTACAGGCAACTGCTTCCTAGCAGTATTGAACACGTCGTCTCTCATCTCAATTTCTCCGTAGAACCAAGAGAATGGTAGATGGGCTCGATAGAAACCTTGACGTCGCTAAAAGTCAAGCTTCAAAATGCACCTACGAATATAAACTTTGACTGTCTTAAGCATACCAAGGGTGTCGATCCACCGGTCTGATAACGACGGGGGATCCGAGTGCTCTATTCATGGTGAAGATCAGGTTATCAACCAGGCCACCACGCATCTGCCACCACCCCATACGCTAGGTACAACCAAGAACGATATTGCACGGGACGGTATCATGCATGACACCGAATTCGCGCCACAGCCTGTTGTACGTACCATCCTCAGTGCTTCGTATACAAACCCCCTTGCTACTAGTATGGAGTTCGTATCACCCAGAACTGGAACAATGCAATCGTCTCGATCTGAGTTTCTGAAGGAATTTAGTGTATTCCGGAATCTTCCCTGATAAGGAAAGGCTTGCTCTAAGCGTGTTAGTACTAAGCCCTCTTTGTTTAACATTTGCCATGAGGTTGTGAAAATAGGAATAGTCTTATCTATGGCTTAAGGCGTGTTCTGTTTCTTCCCACATTGCCACCCATATTTGGCCCGCCATGGCGTCTTTTTAGCCTGCCATTTGGGTGTTAACACAATATCATAGTGCGGTCCGGAGCTTCTTACTGGCTTTTCCCTTGTATCGCGCTCATGGTGAATGCTCCCTTGCGGCTGGGGTCTTATCAGGCCTGATTAAGTATCTCGTCGGCAAGGCTCGAGTGCAAAAGGGCTTGTATATAAGAAGACAGACCCCGGCATCCTAATTACTGCGACTCTTCTTTTTGTTCCCTCCCCGGTCTGACGTTTTCATCCCTCGTCCTCTTACCCTCTCGTCGCCGTTCCACCTGGTTCAAGATGTCGGAAGTCGAACCGGGCCACCAGAAGCCCCCGGTCTATGAATCCAAAGATGTCAACGAGTCGCCTCATAGTGATGTCGAATCAGCAGAGGGGAAAATCGCCCCTCTCCATAGAAACCTTCACAACCGTCACATGCAAATGATTGCTATTGGTGGTGCGATTGGTGCTGGTCTTTTCGTCAATACTGGTGCTGCTTTGCGTGCTGGTGGTCCAGGTTCTCTGGTAAGTGCTTATCAAAATGCAGGAGAAAATGAAAAAAAGCCATCAAATATTTATGGCATGTTCTATTCGGACCATACTAATGCATGTGTAGCTCATTTGCTATCTCATTGTTGGCTTCATGCTTCTCCAGACCATGTGGGCACTGGGTGAATTGGCTGTCATGTATCCGGTTAACGGTGCTTACTTCGATTACTCTCTTCGTTTCCTTGACCCCTCTTGGTGAGTTTCCTTGTATCTACCGCAGTCCCAAGTACATCTTCAACTGACAGATCAACGAAGGGGTTTTGCTATGGGTTGGGACTATGCCATCAATTGGCTGGTTATTCTGCCTTTCGAAATCACTGCTGCTGGTCTCACCATTCGATACTGGCGCGATGATCTCAACATTGGCATCTGGATTGCCGTCTTTCTTACCGTTCTATCCGTCATCCAGGTCTTTGGCGTGCGTGGATATGGTGAAGGTAAGAGAAATTTTTCTGTCTGCTTTCAAAGGTCGGTCTGAATAGCGCTAACACCACGTCTCATACAGTTGAATTCATCCTCAGTATCATCAAAGTTACCGCTTTAACAGGCTTTATCATTCTCGGAATCGTCATTGACTGCGGCGGTGCTCCGGTCGGTGGTTACATTGGCGGAAAATACTGGCATAACCCTGGCGCTTTCACGGATTTTGTTGGTTTCTGCTCTGTGTTTACGACTGCTGCATTTGCCTTCGGAGGTACAGAGATGTCTGGTCTTGCTGCTGCCGAATCCGCCAACCCTGCAAAGTCTATCCCCAAGGCCTGTAAGCAGGTCTTTTGGCGTATCATGCTCTTCTACGTTATCGGCACTCTTATCGTCGGGTTGATCGTTCCACATGATGCTGATTACCTGTTGAATGCTTCCGGTGCTGGCAACACTTCTTACTCGCCATTCGTCGTCTCTATCAAAAATGCCGGTATTAGCGGTTTGCCGTCGGTCATGAATGTTGTCATCACTCTGTCTGTCATCAGCGTTGCAAACTCAGCCACGTTCGGTTCCACACGTACCATTCAAGCCATGGCAGAGAAGGGAATGGCACCAAAATTCTTCGCTTACATCGACAAGCATGGTCGCCCTATCTACTGTGTTTTGCTTCAAATCGCATTTGGTTTCCTTGCTTTCATCAATGAGGCATCTTCTGGTAGCCAGATTTTCACGTGGCTTTTGGCCTTATCTGGTATCTCCAACTTCTTCGTGTGGGGTTCAGTTTGCCTTGCGCACATTCGTTTCCGGGCAGCTTGGAAGTACAACGGTCGTAGTACTGATGAGTTGGCATACGTCGCTCCTTGGGGCGTTTATGGCAGTTACATTGGTCTTGGACTCAACATCCTTTGTCTGATCGCGGAGTTCTACGTCTCGGTTCAGCCATTGGACGTTCAGGCCTTCTTTGAAAACTATCTTGCTGCACCTATTGTCATTGCTCTTTATGCGTTCTGGAGGATTTACAGCGCCTGGACGAAGGACCCCACAGTCGAGAAGCGTGGTTGGAAACTCTGGAGATCTGTTGACGAAATCGACGTCTTCACCGGAATCCGTGATACAGCTCTTGACGTTGATCTTGCGCCTCGCGTCAAATATGACACTTGGGGCGAATGGGTCAAGGCGCTCCCCATGCGACTACTGCGCTCAATCGCTTAGTGTTGAAAGCATGCAGCATCATTATAAGGGTTATTGTTAGTCATCTGCATTTTGATCGGTATTTCTCTACATTGCTATTAATACCTTTTGAATTAGAGTGTCTTGGTTTCAACCACACATTCAACCGCACATTCCATATATACCAATGTATTGGGATTCTACACGAATCATTTTGTATCATATGCACAAACATCATCATAAGTAGCGGGTTACTGTTTATACCCAATATGAATCAATGGCGTTTTGACTGCCCATATATTTGACCTGTTGGTATTTGTCCATGACGAATGTTTTGGTTTGTCCGAGCAGACAGCGGCAAGGATATTATTTGACATAGAAATTTCACCGAACCCAAACGTTGCTCCTCGGGAACAATTAGTGTAGTTTTCATCATCTAAGGACAGTTCAATCGAGTTACGAACAACCGAAGCCTTGTTCTTGAATATTCTAGAGCGAGGCGCATATCTGGAGATATTGGAGCGATCGAGATGTCTTTATCTATCTAGGTACATCAAGACCTCGTGACATTCTCCCATTGTTCGATGAATAAAAGCCTAAACTGATTAAAGGACGGGAGGTCCCACTTCAACTCATCTTCTGATTGGCCTATTGTTTCCGGCTTCTGTAACGAACGAATATGATTGATTGAAATATAGATAAGCTTTGAGTGGGTCCTCTCATAAGAATATGATTCAATCTGATTGGTTGATGGCAAAAGTGACAATCTTTCTGCAAACTCCAGACAAACCACTCCGTAACACCTAAGCGTTCTCTAGGGAAGAGGAAATACTGTCCAGCAACGAGGTAGTGATACTGTTATAGCAGCAGTCCTCCGTCGCATAGAATGCGGCGATACCGGCGCCGACAATAGTGCTTACCAACGACGAGATATCGGCACCGGAAGGAGTATCGTGGAGAATAATAGCAGACTGGTTTCTGTACTGGCTTGGGATAACATCAACCGTGCTGGACTTGGAGTATGACGAATAAGCAATCTCCTCGTTCACAATCAAATCAGCAGCATCATAGTAAGCGGTGGCAGTGGTCAAGGCTCCAGGGTTGAAGATAATACAGTCCAATCCTAGGCCGCGTGCGTATGACGCTGCGTTAGACATATAGTCCGTTGAGGTGGGATCGTCATTGTTAGGTGCTTCGTCGAAGAAGATGCCTTTAACGGCAATGTTGCTTTCAGAGTAGCTAGCCCAGCCGGCGTAGACGCTGACGTTGCTTTCTACTTTGCTGACGCTCTGCGATGCGTAAGATGTGTGTACGTATCCGAGGGTCTGCACGTTGGGGTACGAGTTCAGCTTATTAATCGCTGGAATAGTTGTGCTATCAGGGTACTCTGTTTGAGTGTCACTCAGTATCAAGCAACCATCAATCTCTTCTTTGATAGATGGAAGGCGAAATGATACTCACGCCCAGCTCCAGGTCCAGAGTCAGGGTTCACGATCACGTTGAACGTCACATCTGGGTATGCCGAGGCAGCGTTATAGACTGCGTCCCAGGCACCCGACAGAGGATAAACATATAGAGGTAACAAGACATCGGTCGCCGCGCTGAAAGGCACCAGACAGGCAGCGGATAAAATGGTGGTCTTCATGTTGTAGATGTGATGAAATCTGTAAAGAGGGGAGAATAAAATCGTGGACAAAATTATAATTAAACAAAAAAATACTTTCCAAGTAGGAGAGATCCCTACATATTTATACCCCTGCATGTGGATGTACATTCCGGTCGTTATGTTAGGATGCGTCCAGCCGCAACCAACATAATCTCGGAGTCGGTTACAGAAGTTACAACTAGACCGTGTTTTCAAATCTGTAGTCAACTGGAGGACTCTAGGATTTGTCTCTCGACTAGTCATATTATTGGGCAACTGTTTGCAAGGACCGCTATGGGGCAATGGGGCCGACATGTGCCGAAACAGTGTGGAGATGCGTAGACTCACCCCTAGCAAAAGCGTAATTTGGTACAGAGTAGAGTCTTTTCTATATTTGGTGAAGCAAGTCAATATCGGAAGTTTATATGCAGTTCCTAGACGCTAGCTCAGATCTTGAATAAAAGAGAACCATATATGCGTACAACGTTGTAACGTTACAGACGTTGGGTTTGATACGAACTTCCAGCCCCCACTCATTGTTCAGGCTTTCAAAGACCCGAGGAGATCTCAATTATTGTTCTTCGCAACAAACTTCTTCGGGCTCTTTCTACTTTTGGTGTTCCTTTTGTTTGCAAAAGGACATCGAGCCGCAGACCTGAGGTGGGACACTGGACTCCCTATTAGAATTTCTTCCCACGATAGGTTGACTATGAACAATCCTGTGTCAGGCTATGAGCTCCAGATCCATGGATGTCAATGCCGTTATCCCATCTGGATATTCAGTTTTGGTGCATTTTAATCTAGTGAACCGTATCTTCTCTATGATCCCTCATTATCAGACATCAGGCGTATGTTTCGTCGAACCAAATCCCCTACAAAGCATACGATTCAGCTTATTTCAATATTTCCGGCAATTGATTGTGCTATTTGACCTTGAACTTCGTTCATATGTTCAAATTATTTGAATAGTATACAATCTTGGAAACCTTGGAAACGTGCAAGTAACCGGAACAGAAGTAAAACGAACAAGTTCGATATAGCAACATTTATATCTTCCATCTTGATAGGGTCTACCAACCTGATAAGTAATGCGCCTCTTGCCACCAATCGCATTCTGGGGTAGCCGCATCGTCAGGAACTGGCATACCGCGTTGAATTGACCACAAGGTTGAACTTTCTCCATACAGTGGCAGCTTTGGCACATCCAGTCCGTCCAGGATACCAGATTTGGCAAATTTTGTGAATAGTCGCTGCATTTGTCGTGCTAGTGTAATATTCACTATCCCGTCGTCGTTGAAGAATGTGTAATACAAGTCCCGTGCATGCAGTCCAGGCACGACATCAGATAAGTATCTTCTTGCTCCAATGCGTTTACATGCAAGGTCAATGTACCTCGTGTTGCAGACGAATGCCGCATCAGTCATGGTCTGTATTTCACGAGCGTTTTCAGTTAGGTATTGCTGACTTCCATTGAATACCAGCGGACAAAGAACGGTTTTTACATATTCAATTACTGAATCTGTGGCATCTGGGATAATTTGTTGAAGGCATTCTAGAAAGTAGCCTGATGGATTGAAAACCCAAGGTCAACTATGGGAAGCGAGTTTTATGCTGCACTGTATGATAATGAACTCTTTATATATAGACTTGAGTTTGTAAGAGCAAAGGTAATATGAGAATTGCTGAAGACTTGTGGGTTCACCAGAGAGTTACTTGGGAATTTAAACAGTCCTCTTATTGATATAAATTGGCTTTTATGGCATTGTCTCGGCGATTTATGCGATCAATTTACTAGCGACATCTCCAGTTCTGCTACGCCGGGTAAAACAAAGCCATGGAGGCAAGTAGCATCCATGGATCTAAGGTCGAGTCCATTCTTTTGTACATTCTTCTTTGCCTCCCACGTGTTATCCTGTGTCTCGAGTAGACCAGGACGTGTATTCAGAGTACTGCGGGACTTATTATTTGGAAGTTGTGGTTGTCAGTTCTTGAACAAAGAGACGAAATTATCAAATTAGGAAATTAGGGCTAAATCGACTGGTCTCGAATGTGGTTCGGTGGGTTATCATCTCTTTATTTTTTGTCTTTCACGTTTATTTTCCTACACGCAGTATAACCATATTTTTGAAAGGAGACGATATGCTGAGACGAGCTGATTAATAGAATTTAGTCGGCTAAATATTGCTAGCCGAAGCAAACTCATCCCCTAAAGCCAAGTCACCATGGCATTGGGAACCTCCTAGCATTAGAATCTCGTCACAAAGACCATAATCAAACGGTGTCCACTTTTTACCAGATTTTCCAGTCGTCTTATAGACTCCCAAGCTATCAATTCATCGACAATAATCCTTCATGTGCTACTTACGTCGAACGAGAATACCAAAACATCTACCAGATCATTTCCATGCTGTTCTCAGAGCGTAACCCTTGACCACTGAGCTATTACCGATGAGATCCCTGGCACTTTAGCTATTGTTAGGTTACTTATATGCCCCAAAGTACATAGCAACTGAGTGAGGATATGGAATTGCCTGAAATATAGGATTGGGGTTAGGGCGCACATCATACTGATTTAGAAACCCCTGAAACCATCAAGCTCGACGATCTTCATATCTAAAGCCACCAACACGTGGCCTGTAGAGATGAACGGTGATTTAGGAAGGACTCGATATTCAATATTCCGAGTCAGAAAAGCATGTTGTACTAATCACTGACCGTTGCCAACAATTATTGTGTGGATGTAACCTCCCAATTATCATGAAACTACTAGGTCAGTTATCCTTTTAGACCTCATGCAGGCCATCGGTCTTCTGGAGTCACTCGTATGCCATGGTAGTAATTTGTGCGACTTAGCCGGACAAATCAAAGGGGAGGAAAACAGATTTCCAAGTTATTTTCAGTAGTGGCAAATGATCAACTTAATCAACTCGGAGATGGTTGTTCGGATGCGTCTGTTACACCGTGTTGAGTCATTTACCCCCGTGCCTTATCACAGAATATGCATATTATCATCTCGGGTACCAAGCGCAAGAAGCTGGTCGGCGATGCTAGAGCTTTCGGCAGAATGCGTACATGAGAACATATTATACTGGTCTTGTTTACACTTGGGATTCATCCTCCCTTTGTTGAGTCCCTAGATGGCACTCGACAAGATCTATCTCGTAAGTAGGGTGTGCATGGGGTTTTAAAGTTGACTATGTCCTACGTAGTCATGTCTTCTTTTCACATCGCAATTGCTTACAGCCTAATTTCTGAGGTGATTATGTCAATGGATTGCAAATATTATTTGATTTATACCGTGGGTTTATTGCAAAGCACGTAGTAATTATTTAGTAACGGGTTGTAAGATTTGCGCTGACGGTCCCCCTCGTTCCGGCATCATTGACAAACCAATCAGTGAAAGAACCACAGCGTATGGTTGGATGTCTTGAAAAATGACTTAGAAATACTAGTACGTTTGTACGTAGCGCTTTGGTTAAGGACGTCACCGGTTATTGCTCCAATGACTATACATTAGTACCTGGCACTAGTGCACATGAGGGTCATCCTTGTCCGCGGCGCTAAAATGTTGGTAGGAAGAGTTCATGTTCCTGTTCTTACTCGTCCTCGCTTGGATCTTGTCAGACGGAAAGGAGTCAAGCGAGTGTTGGAATGTAACACACTCATCGCGGGACGTAGAACGCAATACTTGGAATGCGCCACTGCCGGTTTATCTGCTACATGACGCGGAACATGCCACACCATCCATGCCTATGCAAATTTCCGACATACCAGGACCGGTGAATTCTAGCCGCCTAATGACCACGATATTCCCATAAATGGCCAGTTCACAGGAGGACTTGTATAAAAGGCCAAAGAGCTCCTACTCGTAAACATGGATGGGACCAGAGAATGCAAGACAAGCAAAAGTGGCTGCAATGGCACCCAAGTCCAGTTCCCTTGCTTCTGCCGTGCTGTTACTCATAGCAGAGGCCACTGCACAGGTCTCGAATGCACACGTAGCCTTTACAACACTTCAAGAATGGTACAATCCTTCAACTGGTTTGTGGGATACTGCTGGATGGTGGAATGGCGCCAATTCCATGACAGTCATCGCAGACCTTGCGGCAGTTGATGCTAGTATTGTCCAGGATGCAATTCAGATTTTCGAAACAACATTTAGTGTTGCTCCATCGGTTAATCCAAGCGCTGGCATCGAGAAGAATATAACCGCCCATGGCATCATGCAGACAACCTACCCGGCTGGATGGCCTGATGATACGATCGTTGCTACAGCTGACCCTACAAACTCCACGTCCTGGCTGGACGGTGCAAATGACGACGCAGAATGGTGGGGTTTGGCCTGGATTGCTGCGTACGATGTAACGGGGAACGAGACATACTTGAACTTAGCGGAGGGTATTTTCAACCAGATTGTGGGTTTAAAGACCGTCGTATCGTGTCCGCTTGCTGGGTTGAATATACTGACTCAACTCTGCTGTAGGCTAGCGGATGGGGGACGAATTGCGGAAACGGTGGCATCTATTGGGAGACCACTAATCACTATGTCAACGCCATTGCCAGTGAACTCTTTATTTCACTAGCTGCACATCTCGCCAATAGGGTGTCTGATAGCGCTTCGACGTATATTGCATGGGCAGAAGAGGCATGGAATTGGTTTGCAGCCACTGGAATGATTAATTCGGAAGGCACCATCAACGATGGCTTAACAAGCGACTGTGTCAACAATGGACAGCCAGTGTACGTTTCTTGAGCCAAGAGTCATTTCACGATTGATCGATTAACGGAGCTTCACAGATGGTCTTATAACCAAGGCGTTATCCTCGGTGGCCTGGCCGAACTCAATAGAGCGTCACCGAACCAGTCATACATCCACTCAGCGAACACTATTGCTCAAGCCGCCATCGCGGCGCTCGCCGACTCGGACCATGTTATTCATGATACATGTGAACCTAATTGCGCCCCAGACGCCACTCAGTTCAAAGGAATATTCATACGGAACTTACTACTCTTACATCGAGCGTCTCCACATGACCTCTATAGAGAGGTGATTGAAGCCTGCGCGACTAGCATCTGGGCAAATGACCGTGATACATCCACCAATCAACTTAGCATTGACTGGGCAGGACCATATGTGTCCTCAGCCAACTCTTCAACACACAGCTCTGCGATGGACGCACTTGTAGCGGTTATTTCGGTCTAGCTGTTTGTCCGAAATAGTGCTTTTCGCGCTATCGGCATCTAAGCCCGCTGAGGTCATCTTCATTCCAAACTCTGTAAATGATGCGTTGACATTATTGGGATGTCCGAAAGGCAGTCTATTTCTTCATGCAATATTGTTGCTCACATATATTCAATTTAATACGCTTGACGATCTGAACGAGTGACGTTCGGGACATCTGGAGCCTGAAAAGGAACATGAAAACAAGGATGGGGAGCATCGAATGCTACAGTAGCAGCTCGGATGCTAATTTTGTAGACGGGGAAATAACCGAGCAGACTATCTGGGACGTGGTGTATGTTAGACCATGTTCGTAAGCTTTTAGGTTGTGTTTAGATGCATAGACTGAGGCATCCTGAGAGCTAAAAGCTGTTGTATGGATTGGAATGGGGCCCCTAAAGTGACACACCGTGATGGTGACACGCTAACTGTATTCGGCCCTTTAGAATAGTCAACAAAAGCACATGCCAATCGCAAATTCCGTCAAAAAACAACGAATCAGAGCGAAAGACCATAGCCCTAGCCCTAGCCCTAGCCCTAACCTTTTTCGGTGAGATGATTGGATGTGTAATGTATGCAATATGATTGGACAACCGCTGCTCAGTTTGTCTTACCGCCTATGTTGTCATCCAGTCACGTGCTGCTATGGTTTATCAAAAATGGCAGAATAGTTTGCAATTTTCTGCCTGTTTCTTCCGGATGCAGTCACACATTCCAGTCTCAGTTGTGGTATAACAGCAATTGGATCCAGGATTTTATGGACGCTACATCCTCATATTGTCCCGTATGTGGATGACCGCAGTAGAGCACGCCACACCTCGCCAGTCATCAAATACTCTAGCGGAAATCCAACGCATAAATCTTGAAGGAGCCTTTCCGAGGGAACCATGAATGAAATCAAGTTGATTTCCGGGACATCCCATCCCGATCTCAGTGCAAAGGTTGCAGACCGGTACGTCTGACAAAAGGCATCAAAAAGATTTTGCAGTTTTCGAGTCGAGACATGATTGTTCCCTTCGCTGACTTCCAACCCTTCCCATCAGGCTTGGCATCAGTCTGACAAATACCCTTTGTCAACCCTCTTCCATTGGGGAAATTAGCGTCAGTATCGGAGAGTCGGTCCGAGGTGATGATGGTACGCTTCTTTGACGCGGGGTCGAAAACTTCCTCGCTCTTTCCAGCTCCTGATTAATGTCTCAATGAAGTTTATATTCTGCAATCCACCGCTCCTGGAACTGTCAACGATGGACTCATGGAGCTACTTAACCTGATACACGCCTGCCGTACTGCATCAGCACGGTCTATTACTGCTGTAATCCCAAATTACCCCTACGCACGGCAGGATAAGAAAGTATGGTCGCGAATATCTTAACTACTTTCTGTATAAGTTAACTCACACAATCCCTGCTTACGCAAACTTCAGGACAAATCGCGCGCCCCAATCTCTGCGCGATTGGTGGCAAATATGCTGCAGTCAGCAGGGACTGTAAGTGATCCATCACATTTGGCAGAAGACAGTCACCCTGACTTGACATCTCCTGCCAGACACATGTCATTACCATGGATTTGCATGCCTCGCAAATTCAGGGCTTCTTCAACGTGCCCGTTGATAACCTGTTCGCTGAGCCGTGTGTCTTGGATTGGGTAAAGAGAAACGTTGATGCTAGTAACTGTGTTATTGTCTCGCCGGATGCTGGTGGTGCGAAGCGAGTAGCAAGTTTGGCTGACAGACTAGGGGTTGGCTTTGCTCTCATTCATAAAGAACGACCACGACCAAATGTCGTGGGACGCATGATTTTGGTTGGAGACGTTTCCAATAGAACTGCTATTCTCATTGATGATATGGCAGATACTTGTGGAACAGTATGGTAAACGTGTATAGATATTCTTCAAACTGCTAATGTTTGACATAGCTTGCAAAGGCGGCCTCGACACTTGAAGAGCATGGCGCAAGAGAAGTTTATGCCATTGTGACTCACGGGGTTTTGAGCGGGTCAGCGATTGAGACGATCAATAACTCTTGCCTGTCCGGCTTGGTTGTCACCAATAGTATGTCCAGTGGTTTATTCTCTCTTTGCTTGTGTCTGTTGACTTCGTCCTTCTACAACGATGCTAACGTTTCAAATTGTTCCCAGCTGTTCCATGTAAGGATTCTAGGTCAACTTAGGTTCCTAATATTGAATACTAATCGCAATCCTAATGTAGTGGGCGACAAAATTGCACGATGCCCGAAAATTAAGGTTATTGATGTTTCAGGAGTTTTAGCTGAGGTATGTGTGAGGCCTGGTATTCGCTATCCAACGGATGGTAGAGTCGTTCGCATATCAGTGCTAACCGGACACACTCTCATCGTAGGCTGTACGAAGAACTCACAACGGCGAATCCGTTTCATATCTATTCAACAACGTCTCATATTGAGCATCACTCGAGGATGTGGTTGAGCACGCATTTCGCTGATTCGGCTCAGGGAATCATAAAAGGTAGCTTGCTATTTGTCTCATTAGCGTGCGGATGCTTTTAGAATGCACGTACTCAATCAATACGGGACCTGAAATGATCAGTGGAGCCAAGTATAGGAAATTCCTAAAAGGGGTAGCGAATTGCTTGGGATTTTGCTCACACGTTCTCGGTACATTTTACCCAAGCTTCCTTGGTTTTATACACCGAACATGTGTGGAAATGCCATCGTAATGAAAGATCTCGCCTGATTTAGATAAGCGTCATAGAAGAAAAATAGAGAAGGAACATTTTACCGTACGAATAATAATACTTATCAAAGTCGTTGATTGGTCTTTGACTCCATGTAGGCTCTTTTCAGCACCTTGCATATGTATGAGTGATAGATAATATGATACTCTGAATCTTCGAATAGATAACATCAAGTCTAACAACCTCATGTCTGATGTAGTGCCTACGACCGCGGTCCTAGGTAAGGACTCCCTCTGGTTCCCTATAGGGTTGGAGGACGGCAATATTAAAGGTCTTTTCCGACGAGGAGGGTACCGGTGCTGGATGCACGATCCGTGTTTGATCAAAGTGAATGCTGCCATAACGAAGGAAAGCGGCAAATGTTCCTGGTTCAATGTCCTTATCGTGATTGTCCTTGTGGTCCCAAATATCTGCAAGGAAAGAATCGAGAGCACCTGGAGGGCCATGTGAGAGCTTCATTGTCGATGTGTTGGCCAGCAAGTCGAGAACAAAATCATTAGCTTCATGGTACAACTCTGTTTTCTCCGAGTCATCTTCGACATCTTTCTTCGTGCTCAAAAGCTCGAACTGTCTTTTACCATTCCATGCGGTCAGAAGTTGAAACTTCCATGTCTCAGTCATTGCTGGGAGCATAAAAATATTCTCCCGATGATACTTTGGTCCATCAAATCCATCAATATGATCCACGAGCTTGCGTAAACGTTCGAAACACTGGAAATGACCCAGATAATCGGTGAAATCTTCGGGTCCAATTTTCAATGCACCGGGCAGGTTGAGATGGTTAGTTGGTGCGTAAAGGATAGGTAAATGATTTAACAATGGGTGTCTATGTAGACCAGTTTGTTCAGTTCGGCCATTCTTCCAAACTTCCATGTATATATCGTGCCATCGCTTGATAAATCCGTTGCCCCGTTTCGCCGCAATAAAGCCATTGAGCATATTTGTTGCCCCTGGATTGATCTCTATTGACATCCCAGCCATCTCATAAGGATTTAGAGGATCTTCAATAGCATTCCAGCAAATATCGTCCAAATGTCGAAAGAGCATCATGCCCACGTCCATCCAAACACCTCCATATATATATAGAAGTGGTAAACGTACCATATCGCCAGAATGTGGTCCAATATTGGGTCCTGTCATCGATCCGACATTGAAAGCTTCGGGCAGGTATTTGGCCGGCACGAACTTTGAGATATTTACATCTGAACCATGTACTTTGTCCAAAACACGCACTGTCCACGATGGTCCCAGACGGCGAACCCAATTTATGACATTGCGCTGCGTCCATGGGTGCATTGAATCAAATCCTGTATTCCAAAAAGCCCAAACATTCTTATCGGACGATGTCACTTCTTTGAAAGTCTTTAACTGCGCGGCGATATCATCATCAGATCGTAGGTCAATCCTTGATTCGGGTATATACACCAGGCCGGGGCCTGGTGAAGACCCTTGTGTGACCTGGTTCGGCATTAGGTATCTAAAGGAAACAGCGAATATTTCTGGTACTTATTCCTGCAAGGCGTGAATCTCTCCCAGCCATGAGTGGAAGGTTGTTATAAAATAGGTTCCTATGTACTATTTATTCGAAGTCAAACTAGACATACGTAGGTATTTAACGGGAGGGGCGCACTTGCTTCTGTAGTATTCAACCTGCATTATCCAAGTCTCTTGAAACATTACTAGCGTACGAACACCTTCCAGAAAGGATTATAACTTTCGTAAATATGCTCTGGCCCCGAGACGACAGATTCGTATTCTATGAAGCATTGTTGGTTCAAGGTAGGATGGGCAAGGGCTTGAGCTGAGACCTTTCACGTAATTAATGACTGAACTATCTAAGGTGTAACATGTTGTGCTAACCTCAAATACGACAAGACATTCCCTAGATATGGTAGATGTAACATTGATAGCTTTACCTACCTATGTCGCAGCAAAGTACTAGCCCCAACGCCGTTCTTCTCGATCAATAATATTGTACGATTAATAATAAGGTCCTAGAAATTTGACTCACACTCACCTAATTCAATGTAACTCCGCCAGGCCTAGTATTCCATACGTTCTAGTACTCAGACTAAAATAGCGACCATGTACAAATCCCCGCAGATTACGCTGACTTAATATCGTTATCTGAGGCTGTCAGTTCGTAGCCCCACGTTACATGTAGCTCTAATAATCCTGAAGAATAGTACAATAACATGAAAGCTGAGTTAGTCGTAAATTATATTGTGACTTTCTTGGTATTATGGTGATGTTGTCCACTTTTGCTTTTCGAAGAGATACGACATCTTCGCACCTTGCCCAGAGATCTACGCTTGTTGAGCTGTGTTTCGGAATAATCAGAACATGGGCTTTGACCCAACTGTAGTTCCCCTTGTACAACGCAACTCATAGACCTGCTCAATCAAGACTCATACAATCATGGACCTCGAAAACTCACTCGTGTCTACCTTTGGCGCCCTTGCTTTAACAACAGTACTACTTGCGGGAGTGATAATCTGGTCTCTTTTCTTCACCGGTCCGAAAACATTTAATTATCCTATATATGGCGCTGAAGGCGAGAAGCCCAGTACCCTGATGCGTAAATTTCAGCATCAAGCAGACATTCTTTTGGTTGATGCTTACAAGAAGGTATCGAGCCTCATTAAGTCATCTTCTTCAGCATACGAAAACTGGACTAACTACGGCCGATAGTTTCGGGGCGGTATTTTTCAACTGTATACGCCTGATGGGGTTCGTCTTTTTCTACCTAGAAAGTATGCACAGGAACTGAAGGGGTACAATCGAGAGGAACTGAGTGGTATGAAAGCGCTCGCAGATGTGAGTATAAATCCCATCTTAGACAAGGGGTTCAGCTCTGACAAAATTAGCGTCACTTGGGCCAATATACTACCATCGACCACGAAAGCCCATATATGTTGAATGCCATAAAACTTGACCTAAACCAAAAATTAGGTATTTATTCCCAGTGATTCGCTAGTTCTCAATACCATAATGCTAAAAGAGTACAAATAACCAGGGCAATTCGTTACCGATGTGCAAAATGAAGTTGCCCAGGTTATTAATACTACATTTCCGGCTTGTGAAGGTAACAACCCCAATGTTCCAGTTCCCATTCACATTCTCCCTTCTGCTTTCATAACTGATATCATTCAGACTGGACACCGGTCAATTTGAATGATTTACTTCTTCGAATCATCTCCCAGGCGTCAGCCAGGATATTTGTTGGTCCATCTCTGAACCGCAGCAAAGAGTGGTTGGATTTAAGTGAGAAATTCGCAACAGACGTGATGATCGGAGGGGAGAAGCTCAAAGGCTGGAGGCCCATTCTCCGTCCAATTGCACAATACCTTATTCCGGAAGTTCGGCGGATTCAAGCCGATCATGAAGAAGCATATCAAATGCTGCGTCCTGTTCTGGAGGCAAGGGAAAAAGAGGAGGCTGAGAAGGGAGATCACTACGAGAGGCCAAATGACATGTTGGAATGGATCAGAACGAGAGCTACCAAGAACAACGACAAATCAGTGGACTATCGGGAGCAGGCAAAAATACAGTTGCTGACAGCGACCGCCGCTATTCACACAACCCGCCTCGCTACACTCCATGTCTTATTTGATTTGGCTGCCAGGCCGGAGTATATTGATCCTCTCCGTGAAGAACTGCAACAAGTTCTAGCCGAGACAGATGGGCCTTTAACAAAGCAGACGCTTACGCATTTGAAAAAACTCGATAGTTTTATGAAAGAGTCTCAACGGCACAATCCTCCATCACTCGGTATGTAAATTTAATCTTTAAGGAAGCTACTTCAGCTGCGTCCCCACGTCTATAAGTGTTTGTCAATTGTGTAGAGCATTCACTGACCGAGGCTTGGAATTGCAGCAACATTTCAGCGGAAAGTTCTTACCCCTGTCAAGCTCTCCAATGGTCTTGAACTACCCAGGGGCGTCATTGTACAATGCAATACTGGAGTTCTCGATGAAGTGCCTGAGAGTTGGGGTGATCCCCATGCCTTTGATGGATTTCGCTTCTATAAGTTAAGGAGCAAGCCAGAGGACGCGCATAAATATCAGTTTGCCAGCATTTCTCTCGAGTCTATGGAGTTTGGTCTCGGCAAGGACGCCTGTCCCGGACGTTTTTTTGCCACGAATCAAATCAAAATCATCCTTGCACACCTAATTCTTTACTATGATTTGGCTCTGGAGAAGCCTGATCTTGGACGGCCGAAGAATTTCATGTTTGAGGTCAATGTCCTAGCGGATCCTACAGCTAGGTTGCTGTTGAAACGAAGGGCTTGACCACTTAAGTGATTCAGGTATCGCAATTACCTAGGTACTAATATTATCTCAGGACTTGTCAAACCCGCATAAGGCACTCTAGTTCATCAGAGGACAATGGAGAGAAAGGTCTCGGAACTTTACGGTGAAGATGCAATCACCACCTAGTATCTTTCTCGTCTGCTCAATTTCGAATATCACTTCCTTATCGTATGTAGCGATATCTCTTTATCATAATGTTACATATTCAAATATATATACGCAATATTTGACCAACTTGGAAAACCTAAATCCCACTGCAACTCAGCTCGGTCGACTGCGACAGCGGCACCTAGCCGGCGTTGGTAAGGATATGTTCATGCCAAACTGAACTGAAGAACTATGATCAAGCTAACTTGGGAGGTCGATACGATAGATTTGCGGAAAAGTAACTTGGCCTGCAGAAGTTGGGTCTTTCATGTGATTTCGGAGTGGGCAAGCAACGAGAATTCCAAAACCCGGACGTACTATGCCCCAAAGTCAAACAAGTTGGACCCAAAATTCTGTACGTAAAACACTTTTTGACTTCTTGGCGGCGGACCGATGAGCCATGGCAGTCAATTGCCTATGAAGGGCATAGACAGATATGAGCTGGTATCCACTCTTCTTCAGTTACGTGTCTCAGTCCCTGAGACAGTTGTAGATGGTAGATAATTTAATACTTATCCAAGAAGGAAGCTACTATTAAGCTTCCTTCAAGGCCCATGAGCCTACCTAGGTACAGAATGGTTGTCATTTGATGGTAAACAGAAAACCACGTTCTGTAGAAGGTAGGATCATTATTCAGCGTCACCCAACTCGTCTATCCGTAATTCTATTTGCTAGTATCTAGCCGCCTCTTTGAGAACCCAACGATGCGGGATAAATAATAGCTGTGTCTGATTGGCTGTATATCGTATCAGTATATGGATTGATCGTTCCATCTCATGTCCTATCGCGGTCACGATTACTGATGTCTTTTCCCCAAGTGATGGTTACATCTGAAGTGGGCCGAGTGCTGTTATGCACAGTTCCTATTCTATCCTTGCGCCTCTTACATTGCATGGACAATGATATATGGATTAAAAATGCTACTAGTATTGGAAAGCTGTTTATTTAAACTTTGTAGAAGCCCCGTTTGACACTATCATCGATTTACGTATACAAAGCTATTGATTTTTTCCCGAAGATGTAGATTACCTAAAATACCAGATCAAGAAACCTAGCCATTTAAGGAGTGGCATTGGTATTGAGTGTTTGATAGTTGCTTTACTAGGGCTTATACAGTGGTTTGATATACAACTCTGCTTAGTAGCTTTTACCTAGGTGCGTTTGCTGACTGATGGTACGCCATATTGTAACAGTGAATTAGACAAGACGTGCAACTAGAATAACGCAAGTTTCAGCTGAATAAATAGTGTCTCCATAGTGATATAGATAGTGATAAATACCCGAGGTCTGACTTCAGTTTGATATCAACCTCTCCTGTCGTATCCAAAAACCAAACCCCTTCAAAGTACCACAAGATATGGCCCCGGATATTAACAGAGTGACAGAAGTGCTCACAGGGCAGCCTTCAAATATTCCTTCTACCTCTGTTGTCAAACAAACCCATAAAACGGAGCCAATATCTGAACTAGAAAAGAAGCAATTACTTTCCCGCCTCGAAGGAAAGAAACTTCTGGTCCCAGATTTGATATCACTTCTTCCGGGATGGAGATATGGCTTGCATCCAGATGTTGATCCCGTAAATGAGGAGCTTGATGAATGGCTGAAGACGTGACAAACCCAGCGAGTGACTACATCTCAAAGTTAACGCTCATTACTGATTAGACTCGTGTACAATGTAGGGTTAAAGTTGAGGAAGTAAAGAAAATTAAACATCGGGCTCGAGGTAACTATACTTGGCTTACGGCAACTTATTACTCGGATGCACCAAAGGAAAAGCTGCTCCTCCTATCTCAGTTTCTTTATTGGGTTCGTATTGTCGTACTCGATACATCTCTAATGCCAGCCATGATAACAATTTACAGATATTTTTCTGGGATGACGGTATGACTTCCTTTCTGGAACCCTAATCATCGTCAAATGTTGGACTCAGAGTATTGGATAAACTTCACTGTCACTTCGATGTTCTGACACATAACGTCCAACAAAGAGATCGATACCGGTGGTGAGCTCACCCAAGACCGTCAGGGTACAATAAAATGCTGTGAAGAGACAAATCAATGTGTTGAAGACTGCCTCGGGCCCAATCCTAAATTCACACCTCCTCCGGGATCTCGTCCCACAGTCGAGATGCTTTACCCTATTCTGGCGCAGTTTCGGCAGTCCATGGGAGCTGGTAAGCTTTCCATTTCATCACCGCTCCGGTCCTTCAGGCTCAAAACAAAAGATGCTGATTAATTATGGAACATGACATAGTATCAATTGAGAGGCTACGAAAAGAGCTACACGACTACATCAATGGCGTTTCGCGGGAACAATTTGTTCGACAAAAAGAAACTCTTCCAACACCTGCTGAACTTTTCAAAATGCGATGTGATGATGTGGGTGTCATTCCCAGTATCACGCAGAACGAGTATGTGAAGTCCCAATTGCACTCCTTGTAATGTAGACATACAGCCCTGAACATGCTTAATCTCAGATACGCAATGGACATTGAGCTGCCTCAATGGATACATGAACACGAAGCTATGCAGGAAGTGATCAAAGAGGTCACCCGTCTTACTATTTTGTAAGTGAATATGGATTTCAGTAACTCTGATAACGACCCACAGAATCTAATCATCCGTATGACAGGATCAATGACATCCTCTCTTTGCAAAAAGAATTCGTAAGTATTTCTCGGCCACTACAGTGAGGAACAGAAGAATCTAATTTCTTTTACCTTTCCCAGCGGGTCGGCCAACTTGAGAATATGGTAATACTTTACATGTACCATGAAGGCCTCACCCTTGAGGAAGCCCTTGATGTAATGCTTGAACTAATTCGCAAGCACTACGATCTCTGTACGGCTGCAGAGCAACATATACCCAAAACAGGGGATGCAAAACTTGATGCTGATGTGCAAACCTATGTTGTCGGTTGTCGTGATTTGGCAATTGGTACAGCTTATTGGAGGCAAGTCATAATATACTGTCTGTGACGGCGGTTTTGATGAAGCTATAGACTTGCTAACTCAATATGACAGCTACAACTGCGAACGATACTTCAAGTTCAACCAGGTCAATGAGAAGAGAGAGGTTCTACTTGATATGTCTTATGTTTAGATGCTAATACTTCAACTTCTTTCTACAATCTATCCCAATGATTCCGGATCGTAAACCCCATTAGGTGCTATCGTGATTACATATGTAAATCAAATTGAATTTATCTTCGCTGCTTATTCTCGAATTCAGTTACTACCAGTGATAACATCCATTTGCCGGCCAGTGTTCACCTAAGCATTTTGTCAGAGGATCGATTGTCTCGGATTTCAGGTATCCCTCTTCTCTGTGCGGGGTTCGACAATGATTGCGCGTGTGGGAGATAAGAGATTAATAATGGCCCGAGATCAGACAAATGTAACAGCTAAATGGTGCAGATAAATCCGTGGTAGAATCCCGAAGAGTCCGCATTCTACCTGAGTGAGCTCGGAACAGTTCCGAAGCCCATAAATCTGGCAGAGGCCCGAAGGTCACCACTGAAGCAAGGCCAATGCAATTATGGACACCATGACTAAAAAGCAATCAGCAGCTCAGTCCTTATGGCAGCAGGCTGCAAGAACGAAAAGAGACAGCGTCAACTCGCTGATTCCCGAAGCGTGGCGTCTTCCATCGATACCATCTTCAAATGACCAAAAGGACGTCACGGGCATCTATATATGGCAGTTTTTAAGTGCTAAGGAAATTGAAATCACTGAGACCGATGCGTGTGGTATTGTCTCACGCACGTCAAGCGGTGCATGGAAAGCGCGTGAAGTTGCTGAAGCGTTTTCTCATCGCGCAGCGCTCGCACATCAACTTGTATAACTAACTGATTCCTCCTAGTGGCTATGAGTAAAATAGACTGACGATCAGTTTCAGACCAATTGTCTTCATGAGATCTTCTTCGATGCGGCGTTAGACGAAGCTCAGGCTCAGGACGATTACTTCGCCATGCACAAGAGGCCGATTGGACCGCTTCATGGGCTTCCGGTCAGTCTTAAAGATCAGTTTCATGTAAAGGGTGTCGAGACGACCATGGGCTATGTAGGCTGGATAGGCACATTTGAAGGCCGCCGAGGCTCCGGTAACGAACTTATCTATGAATCAGAGATGGTGCGCGAACTACGCTCTCTCGGTGCTATCCTGTACTGCAAGACCTCAGTACCACATACACTAATGGCGGGTGAGACGGTCAACAATATCATCGGGTATACCTGGAATCCTAAGAACAGACTCTTGTCAGCCGGAGGTAGTTCTGGAGGAGAGGGTGCATTGATTGGTCTCAAAGGAAGCCCTGTAGGATTTGGCACTGACATTGGTGGTAGTATCAGAATTCCAGCTGCGTTCAATGGATTGTATGGGTTACGGCCCTCTGCCGGACGGTTGCCCTACGAGGGTATGGCAAATAGCATGGACGGTCAGAACTCAGTTCTATCTGTTGTTGGTCCCTTGGCCACGAGTGTTGCTTCTCTCAAACTGCTGGTCAAAAGTTTGCTGTCGCAAGAGCCGTGGTTACACGACCCATTGGTTCTAGAACTTCCCTGGAGAGATACATCCGATTTGAGCCAAAGCCAACTGACATTTGGCATCCTGAAAGATGATGGTGTAGTCAGGCCACATCCTCCAGTTATTCGCGCAATCGACATGGTTGTCGACGCTATCAAAAGAGCCGGTCACCAGGTTATTGAATGGAGTCCTCCGTCCCACACCGAGGGCACACGCCTAGTGGTATGTTCTTACCCGAGTGTCTTTTCTTCCTAGCAAATAACTAAAGGGATTGAGTCCGATAGGATGAAATTTATGTCTTAGATGGCGGCCACGATGTCCATTCGGCGTTTCGACTATCCGGAGAGATCATTGCTGATCAAGTCGCGGCCATGTATGGGAAAGAACCGGTCGCGGAGAAATCAGCTTCAAGCATAGCTGCGATCAATGTTAAGAAGAGAAACTATCAGAGAAAATATCTAGAATATTGGAACAGTACCTCTGGAATGACCGGTACCGGACGTCCGGTTGATGCATTCATCATGCCGGTGGCACCTTTTGCAGCTGCCAGGCCCAAGCTCTACAATTATTACGGTTCGTATCAATTCAGATGTCATTCTCAATCGCTACCTAGGCAGCCATTTCTTGCTCATATGATGGAATAGGATACTCAACAATCATCAATATTTTGGACTATGCAACATGTACTGTGCCAGTTACATTAGTCGATAAAGATATTGACAAATCTGATGCAAACTATGAACCACGGAACAAGGTGGATGAAATTGCCTGGAGAAGCTGTGAGATAACAAATCACCTATCACTTGATTGGCTGCCATTGACGATAAATAACTGCCTTTGACAGATGACCCTGAGATATACGATGGGGCGCACGTCAGCGTTCAGGTAGTTGCTAGGCGTCTTCAGGAAGAAAAGGTGCTAGCATTGACGGAGTCTATTGCTCATGCACTCCAAACATAGTTATGTCGCGTGAGATGGGGCTACCGACAAGCAGACACACAGATTATCTCATGGGATGAATTTGAAATTTGGAGAAACCGACGTGTGGACGTGAGACAAAAGCAGCTATGATACATAAAACGCTCCATATGTTTGTAGCAGGCAATAGAGAAACAAGGCCGTTTATTTCAACCGAGCCTCACCCTTTTCCATAATCGAAGGCATTCCAGCATATCAGTCGATGGGTTGCCATGTCCCGCTTCTGCATGATATACGACGGCGACAAGGGCCGACGCATAACAGAATGCAATTTTGTTCTTTATGAGAAGTTCCAATTGTACCTTTTGCATACCCCCAAATTGGCTCCACAGAGCCCATCTTTCCAGAATATTTCCTATAAGCTTGGCCGTGGTATTGTCAACCACCATGAGATATAACACGGCTAGGGCCAGTTCTTCAATGGTGTATCCTTCAGGGACCACCTTTTCTGCAATGAGGTATGTTAAAGTCGCTTGCGCGACCGTACTGTTCTCCAAGCGTGACGATTGGATGGCTTCAATTAGTCGTCTTTCCTCATATTCACGCAAAGCCCTTTGTCGAGCAACGTGCTGGCTATGATAATCATGAGCACTGCGCATCGTTCTGATGCGACGTGCTTCTGCAGCTTGTGCTGGCGGCATAGCATCTTCTAATCGCCGCTCGTACATGTCGCGTTGCATGCGATTGCCCACCTCCTCAGGGCTCTCTTGAAGAGAAGGGGGTGGAGACGACCAGGGGGGCACATCGTCGTCGGTGAGTATACCGAGAAGGACCATTACACCGCATGGGACAGACTTGCGCTTGACAAAACCTGCTATTTGATTTGGAATGGTGAAATTCCACAGCTCACAGTCAAGGCTTCGACTCAATGACGATGCAGAGCAAAGGAACCATAGGTTAGCCGTTTCTCCTGCACTATTCATTTCGCGTATCTCGCCTGTGGGCACTCCCTCGTCTTCAAATAGGATCCTCTGCACACGATCACCATCCGGCTTGAAGCGAAAGCTATCATTGGGAATTGTAGTGACGCGTCCTTTTCCTTCCTCGATTAACTGAATAAGCGACTGGGAGGAGGATGGTTCGTCTTCTAACGTTGCTTCATTGACAAGTGTACTGCCACGACTAATGTCTCCGGCTTGGGTTCCGTTGGGTTCTTTGGTCTCGAAAGGGTTGTCCTGGGAGTCCATTGTTTCAGGTTCTTCCACTGTTTCTTTCTCCTCGGACAAAAACTTCCCAGGACTGGGCTGCTTCAGCCTGGCCCAGAATGGTGGCAAGCTAAAAGAGCCCCTGCTATCCCATTCTGCTTTCCAATCGACCTGTAGGCTTAAAAGACCGTCCGCATTATCCGGCGTAGAGACCTTGAGGACTGTGCCGGGTATTCCTCGAGGGGGTAAAAGCAGCGCAGTACCGGCGGGAGTCCACAAACCTATTGACTTCAGCAGACGCCATCCTTTCGGGTCGGGAACGGCTCCGCGATCCAATAGAAAAGCAATCAGATCCTCGAAGTCAATATCGGCCTCAGGAACTCTGAGCTCGTCTTTATACTGACATCGAACAAGCTGTCTCCCGGTGACCAGCGTATTCCAGTTGAATACGGACCAACTGCCGCCCTTCAAGAATACCTGATGCGAGTTCAACTTCCAGTATTCGGGATCTTCGTCTCGGTTTAGCGGAGTAATGGTGCATCGTGGAAGTTCGACTTCTACGATACCTTCCATCAAACTGCCGCGCGTGATGGAGGATTCGAGTAAACCATGGCGGTAGAGAGTGCGGCGGATCGAGCGTTGAACTAGAATTGCACGAATGAAAGAATAGAGGATTGGAAGAACGCCGAGCACTGCGAGTGGTATACCGACATAGGTGATAATGTCGGTTGCTGAAGTCCCGTTATCCATTGATTGACTTTTTCACGCCTGGGTGCAATGAACGCCGGCTTGACTAGAGTAGATGCGAGTACAGCTTCATCATGAGAATGTTCTTGAGGTTCATGTCCCCTGACTATAAAGACGAGCAACCATAGATCTGAGTTCCAGCGAAAGATGGAGGCTGAGCGATTTTGGTTTCTGCCTCGCCTAAAACAGCGAATCACAGCGGATGCTTCGCAAACGTTAGCATTGCGCTAGGCGAGCAACTGGAGAAAACGTAGCCGGGCCATTATGCTGTTTAGAGGGATTAATTATCCGAGATGATACTGGATAGCAGTTCAATGTTTCTTTGATGAATGAGGGAAAAGAAGGGAAGAAGCATCTTCCATTCCCCAGGCCGACATTGGGTGACCGACGCACTAAGGATCCCTTTTGTTGATGCCTGAAGGATAAGGACACAACACGGTTGTCTCAATTAGGTATAGCGTCATAATACCGTAACCCTAGATCACTAGAGCCAGATTTCGATAGGAGAACATCTCATAAGCTGTTTCTGGCTTGATATTATTAGACATATCACTTGTTCGACGGCCAATTCGACAATTCGACAGTCGTTTCGACAACCAGCTGGGGATGGCGGACGCGATGGTGGAGGAGTCGGCAACAACAACGCGTTCGGGACGCGTGATAACACCCTCAACAAGGGCCCGAGAGGCCTCGGGCAGTGATAATATCAGCGCCGTTAGAACATCCAAGAAATCAATGACCCAAGTAGAATTAACAGCAGTAAAGAAAGCCGCTGGCCTTATTGAGGAAAAACAGAGCGGCAAAGATGGAAACAGGGACATGCTTAAAAAGATAGGCCAATACCTGGAAAGCACCTATCAAGAGGTCAAAGGACTAAAAGAAGTCCTTATTAAACAAGAGAAAATGATCAAGGAACAGTCTAAAATGATCCAGGAACAGAGCAGTACAATTCAAGCGCTGCAGACCCAAGTGGAAGCAATCCAAAGCCAATCTACGGAAGAATGCAAGCAACTCTAGGAGCAGCTGAACACTATCGCGAGTACTCCAGCCAAGGCAACATTCGCGGCTGTAGTAGATAGACAATCCAGTCATCAATAAGATATACCATTAGTCCTCCTAGCTCCGCCTACATTGGCTAATATGCTATACTGCACCATCAACACGTCTCGTGTCAGAGAAGGAGACAAAGCGAAAACCCAGATAGCTAATATCAGACAATAAATTGAGAAAGAGATGCAAGGGAGTGAGAAAATAAAAAATTGACGCTATGCAGCAGTGATCAAGAACCCAAAAAATGCAGACTGAGTCAAAGTGATTTACAGGCATGAAGATGAGATCCAGCAGGTTAAAGAAGCTGCCTAAAAGATTGAAATACCAGGAATAAGAGTCCTATGAGACCAGCTGTACCCAGTTAAAATCGACAACGCTAACCAAACTGTAATCCTGGATAGGGACAGCAATGTCCTACCAGGAGCAATTAAGACCCTAGGAAAAGAGAACAATGTTGATATTGCCAAGATTTCCTGGCTTAGCAAGAAGGACACCAACAAAGCATATGGATCTATGGTGGTATATGTCACTAAATGGACAGATGCCAAACACCTAATAGAAGGCAACTACTTCGATATAGGAGGGGAATCCGCATACACGCGAATCTTTAAACCATAGATGGGACCGGCTCAATGCTTCAACTATCAGGAGATGGGGCATAAGGCCTTCTCTTACAAGAAGACCCAGACATGTAGTAAATGTGCAGAGAAAGAATATCACCACAGCACCTACTAAGCGGTAGTCTTAAAATGCATTCCTTGTGGAGGACCTTATAAGTCATTTAGCAAAAACTGTCGAGTACACCTCATGCAATCTCATGCATAAATCACTCCGTGTACTACAACTCAATGTAGGCAAAAGAGATATGATACAATAGAGCTTAATGAACGATGATAAGATCAGAGACTACGGGGTGGTGGCAGTATCTAAACTATATGTACAGACAATCGAGAATGCCATGGTGACAAGCCTGATGGAACATAGTTACTGGACAAAGATGATACCTACAGAGAGATATGATGGAAGATGGCTAATTCGGAGTATGCTATGGGTCCGGAGCGACATCGAAGCTGAACAGATCCCAGTAGAATCATCAGATCTGACAGCTGCGATTCTGCGTCTCCCAGACCAGGTGGTGCTAGTGGTCTCAGTCTATGTGGAAGGAAATAATGAGGAGGCACTGATATCTACAATTAGGCTGCTACGCAGCTTAGTGGTAGACTACCAGGGAAGAGGAGAAATATGGATAGATGTCCTAATAATGGGAGACTTCAACCGGCATGATCAACTCTGGGGTGGAGATCATATATCTCCTATAAGACAAGGAGAGGCTGATGCTCTAATTGACTATATGGGTGAACACTCTCTCCACAGCCTCTTACCTAGAGGCACAAAAACATAGCAATTAGGAGATATGGAAATAACAATCGACTTGATATTAGCATCAACAGAACTAGCAGAAGAGATGGTTAGGTGTAGCATACACTACACAAACCATGGATCAGACCATCAGGCGATTAAAACAGAGTTTAATATATCAGTTCCAGATCAATCTGCCAATGAGAGACTGCTCTAGAAGAACGCGCCTTAGGCAGAAATCAGAGCTAGAGTCACTACCAGCTTGCAAACAGTTCCTTTAGATAGCTCAGTCTAGCTGCAGACAGATCGCCTCATGACAGTAGTCACAGAAGCAGTCTTCAAACTTACACCAAAGGCAAAGCCCTCATCTTATACCAAATAATGGTGGACAATAGATCTAACGCAGCTCCACCATACACACATCTACTGGAGAAATCAGGCCAGGTCACAGTAAAGAGCAGGACGTGCAGTCCCTGAGCTTGAACAACAAGTGCGAGAAGCAGCAAAAGAATATCATGACGCAATCTAAAAACAGAAGAAAGCCCACTGGGAGGATTTCCTTGCTGATGATACTAATATATAGTAAGCCACTAAATATCTAAAACCAGGGGGCAGCTCATTCAGCAACAAGATACCAGCATTAATAAAACCAGACGGCTCCTCTACTAAAGATAAAATAGAACAGGCTAAAGAGCTACTTGCCACATTCTTCCCACCTCTACCAGTAACGATTGAAGATGAAGGAATCAAACTACAAAGGGAACCAGTACACATGCTGGAGCTAACTATAGAGGAGATCGAACGGAAAGTCTTTAAGGCTAAACCATGGAAAGTACCTGGAGAAGATGGCCTTCCAGCAATGATATGGAGGCAGCTCTGGCCAGTGGTCAAAGAAAGAGTGTCCCTTATCTTTTAGACATCACTTCAAAATAGTGACCTTCCTTCCCAATGGAGAAAGGCTAAGATTATACCATTAAAGAAGCCAGCAAAAGATAACTACTCGCTAGTAAAATTATGGAGACTGATATTATTGCTCTCCACACTAGGCAAGATCCTGGAAGCAGTTATTACAGAAAGGATATCCTATGCAGTCGAAACATTTGGTCTATTGCCCATAAATCACTTTGGAGCAAGGAAGAGGCGTTCTGCAGAACAGGTACTTCTATTACTTCAAGAAGAAATCTATAAGGCTTGGAGAAACAGGAAGGTACTTAGCTTGGTCAGTTTTGATGTCCAAGGGGCATATAATGGAGTCTTTAAAGAGAGACTACTACAGAGACTCAAGGCAAGAGGAATACCGGACAAAATAGTCCAATGGATTGATACTTTCTACTCAAGACGCACAGCAACTATCTTGGTCAATGGATCTATAAGCGAACAACAGGAACTACCACAGGCAGGCTTACCACAAGGATCACCACTGTCCCCAATACTGTTTCTCTTCTTCAATGAAGATCTAGTGTAACACAAGATAAGCGCAGCAGGAGGATCAATTGCATTTGTGGATAATTACACAGCCTGGGTAATAGGTCCGACTGCCGAATCAAACCAACCTGGCATCCAGACTATAATTGATAAAGCTCTAGACTGGGAGAGACGGAGTGGAGCTACATTTGAAAGTGAAAAGACAGCCATTATGCACTTCACCCAGAATATAGATCGATTAAGCAGTACGCTATTCACAATTAGGGGGGAAATGGTCAAACCAAAGGATAGTGCAAAGATCCTAGGGGTAGTGATGGACTCCCAACTACGCTTCAAGAAACACATTACCAATGCTCCCACTAAAGGACTCACAGCAGCAATGGCACTAAGAAGACTAAAAATGATATCCCTACGAATAGCAAGACAATTGTTTATGGCAACAGTTGTACCAGTGGCAGACTATGCCTCTAATATCTGGAGACATGCCTGTAGAGCAAAAGGAACACAGTATTTAAACAGAATACAGAAACATGGAGCCATCACAGTCACAGGAGCTTTTCGGACAGTTGCAACCGCAGTAGCAGAAGCAGAAGCAGGAATCCGTCCCTTCCACAACCAACATACCGAGAAGCTACAAAATTGTGGATCGATATCCAGACCTTGCCTAAATCTAATCCACTAGTGAAGTTAAAAACAGACACAACCCAGAGGTTCACTTCCCCTTTATAGAAGATAGCTCAGGCACTGAAAGCAACAACAACGAAGCAGATAGAGACTATTCAGGCATTTACTGTCTCACCATGGACATACCAGATACAGACAATATGCGAAAGGGATAGCGCGAAGGCTACTGAGCTTGCCAGTAAGGCAGTAGGCATCCTAATAGCGACTAGTGCATCTGCTAGAGCAGGGCTCGTGGGCATGGGAGGATGCATGATAGACACCTAAGCAAATGGCAATAACAATATGATGCCCAGCTACTCTATAATACTAGGCAAAAGGACAGAACAAAACCCTTATACAGCAGAGTTAGAAGCAATAGTAGCAGCACTAGAACGCATCCCAGTCAGGACATGCAGCAGATGGATCACTGTTCTTAGCAGCAACAGATCTGCCCTTGCAGCAATCAGCTAACCTCGTCAACAGTCCGGCCAAAAGATCATCCAACAGATATACGAACTGGTTTAGACCCTGCAGCGCCAGGGAAACGCGATCAACGCAATCTGGGTCCCAGCTCACACAGACATGAACGTGAAACTTAGGGCAAAAACAGAAGCACAGAAATCAACGAAAACAGAATACCAACCAGAGATATAGCCATATCAAGCCAAATCAACTGCAATTAGACTTGCCATTGCTGAACAACGACAAGAATGGACCCTCCTAGAGAGCGTCAGAAAGTACTCAAAGGCTATTGACACTGCACTTCCAGGAAAGCACACCAGAAGTCTATATGATGGATTAAATCGGAAAGAAGCAAAAACTCTAGCTCAACTTCAGACAGGCATGACAAGGCTCAACAGCTATTTGAACAGGATAGGCGCAGCAGACTCTAATCATTGTGCCTGCGGCCAAGCAAGCGAGACTGTGGAACACTTTTTATTCCACTGCACGAAATGGACAACAATGAGAAAAGGCATAAATCAATGCACACAGACAAAACGAGGAAATCTATCCTTCTTCTTAGGCGGAAAATCACGCTCAAACTCCGATCGATGGCAACCGGATATGAAGGCCGTCCAGGCAACAATCAAGTACGCGATTGCAACAGGAAGATTGGAACAGGAACCCGAACCTGAGCCTCAAGCAACACAGTAAAGAATGAAGCAATCCACCTCTTACCCTATACCCTTTTCCTTCCTCTTTCCCTTTCCCGTACTAGGTAGATACAGCTGCAGCCGCCGAAGATAGGACACTGCACACTTGGAGAAGATAACCTTTAAGGCCATCTACTAGCCAACACCAAGGGAACCTCTATAACACCAACCGAAGACCCCAAACACCAAGCATATGTGATACGAGAACAAAATATGGGCTACTGCGAGTTCATGTCGGATCTGAGAGAAATGGATTATGTAATTAGTGCACTAGTGCCCTATAGGGTTAGTCCCTCCGGGCGTAATAAACATCATTCATTCATTCAGATTTCGATACATTCTATATGTCCCTCGTGGAAAATCACCTTCCCGGGGTGAGGGACGTCAGTAAGCGGGATTTCATGATCTAGCCGAAACTGAGAACTTTCCAAGTCGAAATGCCGGTGAAGACTTCTCATCGTTGGAGCGACTGACCAGGAGAGCTTTGAAAGACACGTCTACAACAACAATCACGTCGACGAGCTTTCTCATCGTTTACCACCTGCCACCAATTGATACTGTGTGCACGGAAATCCCCAGGTGTTGAGTATCAGCACCGGAATATTAGTTATTCCGTTTCACCTACTCAGCACACTGGGGATATCCCCTTTACTTGCATGTAATTATCCTTCTGCTTCCTATTTTTGAGAACCAGTCATAATATTCGAATAACATCGATATTGTCGGGCTCATGGGCTCTTTGGAATAACCATACTGCGTAATCCTGTGCTTCGTGTTATCAGGACGTAGTTAAACCAACAGATACTCACCGGATTTTGCTCACGATAACCCACCTGCCCTCCCGGTTCGGCCACATTTCGATTCGTCAGTCCTTCGTCAGCTATCTGGAGATGTCACTAGCGAGGCATTCAGTTACTTTGGGCGCTAACGTGAGAAGTACTCTTGGTAAATCACTACTACGGGAAGAGATTCACGAAACTACACCGAGAATGGACGCGTGGGAAATCCGGTGTCTAAGAGGGATGGGTCATCGCTGTTGGAGGAGTATGACTACAACGACAGAAAGCAAACGTTCAAGGCATAACGTATGGGCTAGAGGGGTTTTTGCAGCTGATACAGCTTTTCCTCTCGACATGAGACCATGACCACATTCTATGTAATGCAGGACAAATAGCGTATTGGAGCCCTTCAGGCTTGGTGCCTCTGACTACATCCTGTATTCACTAACTATTGTGGAATTTGGATCCGTCAGTGTTTGCTATGCATATGCTTGCTTTATCTAGTTTAGGTCGAAGGTATATCTAGTTACAAGTCAGCGCCTGACAACCTTGTCAGCTTAATGTCGCCGAAGAGAGCAGATCGTATCTTGACAGAACACCCCAGCACCCATGAAGTGACATTGTGGGAAGAGATGACGTTGAAATATACCGTTCGTGCTCCAAGGTCGTCTATATTCTGGGTTTCCAATGATGGCTACCTAGCTAGATTAGGTACCTAGGTACGTAGCCATGGATGACTGTAGGGTCCACTGCGATCTATATATCCACTAGGTATTGATCGGTCCTGAGCTACCTTGATACCTAGGCTGATCCATTAATTGAAATATTCCAAGCCCTCCATGGCTAGATCCAGTCCAATCATGGAAGATCTTGAGCTCGCAATTCCGAGGTCATCAAGGTTGGAAGAACTGCCTAAGTCCGCTGGAAAATACCTGGTTGGCCTAAAAGCTGATTCCCGATCCACGTGTGCACTCAAATAGCTAACCATCCATCCAGATGAGCCGACTGCATTTTGCATAGGTGTTCGCTGCTGAACTCGAAAATTCGAATTAGGGACGTTTCAGGACACCGGTTCTTTATCACATAGAATTCCTTACTGCGTGACAAAGTTGAAAGTTTATAGTTCGATATTTTCTGGTCAATTCGTTCACGGGGCCATATATCTGGATAGACATATTTACAGATTCTGCTACGGCAATTCTGTTTCGATTCTTATTTTTCCACGTCGCCATAGGTCGTCTCTTCATTGTGATCTATTATTATATAAGATTGGTTTGTACGTTCAAAATTATCTTGGTTGGGTAACTATAAATCGTGAAATGACATCAGGATGAACTAAATCTATTAGTTTAATGCAACTGGATCGATCACTTCAGGATTAATCCGTAGAACGTAACAGCTGATGGGAATAATAATCCCACCCAAATGAATCTAAAAATCATAACATCGCTCCAAGCAAGTAGACTTCCGGCGATTCTTGTAGACGTACCCCCTAGCACGCCCATCCACAAGACGAAAAACCCAAGATCATGCCATCGTTTCCATAGCTGGCTTTGGTTTTGCTTCGACATCTCGCCGTTCGAGCGCATAGTAGTACCCCATCCACCTTCGAGCACAGTGGCCATACTCCACACCTGAATAGCTGGAAGAGGTAGATTGTAGAAAAACAGAGCAGGTACGATCCATGCCCATCCGTTGGTTGGACCACGATCAGGATTGCGTAGCCAGTTGTAAAGAATGGTATAGCCTGCACGGAAGAACAGGTCCCACCAGCAAAAGTAAACAAAGGCATGACCGGTAATCAGATAGTAAAGAATTGAAAAGAACACGATTAAAGGACCAACTTCTCGTTTCATGGCGGCCCAAAAGAATACCGGGTGATTCAAAAGATAGACTTTGGGCTGTTGAAAGGTTTCTATATGGGTTGCTCGACCCCAGCGGACCTGTCTTGTATTAGTGTATTTGCTTGGTCAAATCACCAGCCGAATTAATAAGACTTACCTGCTGAAGAAGCCATCGACTCAAAGTAGTTGGTGTATCAGTTGCAGTCAAAGTATCCGAAACATAGGTGACAGTCCATCCACGGAGCAGAAGGTTGGTCGTCAGATGGCGGTCCTCGTTCACAATCTGCGTTTGAAGTTAATGCCGTGTGCGGATCAAGGCTAATAGATTCCTGTACTCGAGACTTACCATGCGTTTGCCCATCACCTTTTGCGTATACCAGCAGTACAGTATCCCAGGCAATGCAGATATCCTGAACACAGTACTCGGACCGCTCTGGCAATCACTCGTCCCTGATGACGCTGACGTCGATCTTGTCAAGTACAACTCGCACCAGTAGACTGCACTACCGAGTTTGGTCCACAAAGTATCGTGCTCGTTATGAACAATCAAACCGGAACTGGCTCCTCCGGCATTTTCATCTCCCGCGACAGTTGCGATGGTCTTTTGTAATGAATCAGGGAGTACAATGGTGTCGGAGTCCGAGGACCACATGAACTCTATGTCAAGAGCTTCGGCGATAACAATTGAGAAAATGAACGAGGTAAACATGATTGCCTTTTTGTGCATGTGTGGTTCGTAGATGCAAAGTTTACTTATTCCGCCACCGGGCTGAGTCTTGTCAAATCTGATATTGTGCTCACGCAAGATTTCTCGAGCAAGTTGACAGCAATGTGCGATGGTGAGTTCGTTACAATATTCGATGTCTTCTTTGGAGGACATATCCGGGTCGACAAGTTTGTTGTATGTTCGCATGGCAATCTCACCTAGCGGTTCATTTAGGTGGATTACTGCAGAGTCCTCTGGATAGACCTAGGAAAATTTTTAGGGATGTAAATTCAATACGATCGAGGCTCTTAGACCAGAGCAAGGGAAGCAACAAACCATCTGAAAGACACGAACCATATCCATGTCGGCAGCCTGGTCTCCATCGACTCCCACCAAGGTGAATTCGAGGCCATCTGTTGCTTTATAGCTTTCCAAAGCACGGTAAAACAGATCAGGATCTTCACGATAACCAACAATGGCAGCCATACATCTAGTCACCTCGCCAGGAGGAGTATTTGGCAAACTCAAGAGTGCTTTCTCGACATCTCCGGTGGGTGTTGAAGGAGGCGTCTCATACAGCCTCGATCTTCGGTTTTCATTTGCCCATCTGTTATACTCGGCCACGAAGATACTGATCATAAGATCAAGTGTCAAGGGAAATTTGGTACATCCCGTGATAAAATAGTACACAGGAATGATAAACAGACAACCAAGGAAATTCAAAAACTGTCGGATCTGAGAAACATAAGGACCCCGGCAATGAAATGAAGGTAGCCGGGACTGGGTATCGTCTGCTAGTATCATTGTAGGTGTCGATCACCTACAAGGCTACTCAGGTTATCGGGAATATGTTCCTTTTGATCTTTTGCTATGATATATAAACGAATGGACTCTCGACAGCGTCGAGGAAACGAGTGACTGAAGTTCTGCTGAGAACGTACTTCTACGTATTGGAAATCCGAAAGTAATTATACATCCTCCGTGTACGGACTATGAATGCCAACATTCTCTCAATTTTTATTATTGCGCGTACTCCGTAATTCAATTTTTCTTTCTCATGGGCCCCCTGTTAGGCTTCCACTAAGAATTGAGTCTCCATAAGGCGGCCCCGTATTATCCGCCTACAGTCGTAACGGTCCATCTATTGAAGACTATCATACTGCCTCATACGTACCACTAGTTACATTTGCTGTATTCAATCTAACCTAGGTTGGAGAGTGAAGACTGGTTTTCAGCCGTTGCCTCCGAGCATCGCCAAGGCTAGTATGAGTCAGTTTAAACATTTAATAAACAGTGGGCAGACCAAATGTTTAGTGGTATCGCGAAGGCCGGCCCATTCGTAAAAAGATATAAATGAAAATGCGTACAACGTACATGTCTGAGACAGAGGAGTAGATCGCGAATTTGTTGGTCCCGGCTGAGAACGCTAAGCGGGAAGAGATTTAACTAGTAAGTCGGCAACACGGAATCAACCCCCTTTTTGTCTCCTATTTCTCAGCAGTGGTGACGCTAAAAATGGATGACATTTCCTTGGTGTTTTTGCACAGCCCACTTGGCAGCCCGGAGAATAAATGAGCAGACTTGGCCTTGCTCCATTTGGCAGAGAAGCATGGAGTACGTGCCCGGAATTCGGGTATCGCAACGTAAGAAAATTTCAACGCCGGTGAATTCACTTTCACGCGCTCATGATTCATGCAGATTTCCAGAGCCAGATCCGTGATGAATTGTATCAGATGAAACTTGGCCTCAAGCCACAAGGAATTAAGTGCGACGCCACGAAGATTACATTGGTAGGCTATTTCTCCTGGTGAAAGTTTCGATTGAATACTTATGCATAAATGCAGAGTTAGTGGGTATCTTACCGTTAGAGCCTCATTCGCTCTGGAATCTTTCGACGAGAGGATTGATGCTAGAGGCTCCCTTCGTCCTTATTGACTGAATCGCACATTCAGCTGGCTCGCAAGAATCATGCATGTCTCACCGGCGAAAAGTGTGTAGTCGAATTATACTCTGATTCTCCTTATTTGCCTGCGATTGCGCTTGATGACTAGGATCATGTATCCGAAATTCCGAAAGAAAACTTGGAGTGCCCGAATTAATTTGGAATACAACCCACAAGTGGACCTGCTCCAGATCCTCAGTGGAAACATGAAAGTTTAAGGTCGTGCCTGAAAGTGTCCAACATAGTCCAGTATTACTTATGCAGAGAGATGTCTACTGCTGTTAGCTGCGTTTGAACAATAGTGAATGGTAGGTACAATTTCAGAACCTTTGCTCGACTAACCTCATAGCTGAAAAGTTTTGGAAGAGAGTCAAGAGACACATGCTCAGCCGTGGAGACCAACAATCCCGACTCTGTCTTTCAAGGTTATGGTATGGCGCTTGTATTGCTAGTCTGAGACCACTACGGGGCTGTACTTATTGCATTACCCAATCCGCATACAAATTTACCATAAGGTCTAAGTAGAGCCGCATCTCATTTCTCCCCTGGTTCAGAACATCAGTGGCAGGGTGGGATTCTGTTCCTGTAACGTCTCAACTGCTTACATTGTACTTGACAAATATCGACTTCGACCTGTTTGCCATGTTGAGGTAGACACCTTGAGATGGATAGTGGTAAAAGATAGGAATCTCCTACTTTCATTACTTACAGCTTTTCATTCTTTCTTGTCATTCGTTTGATAAATCCGGAGGAAGATCATCAAAATGCTTCCCAGGAAATTCTACAAAGACAATCGCAAGATTCCATTGGGATTTATGCTTTTGACCACCACCCTCTTTTTCTATTATCTGAGTCTCCACAAAGAGACTGTGAGCAACTTCGATATTCCTACAGAACAACATGATTATAAAGCAGAGGTTCCATCAGCAACATCCGAGTCGCTGCAAGCACAATTGCAGGCGCAACGAAATATTCAAATCGAAGAATATTACGCAAAATCAGAACACCAACCCGAGGCATCGTCTGATACCCCATCTGATTCCTCTTCTGCTCCCTTGTATACACCGCCAGCACCTGATTATGCCTCCCAGGGAGCACTAAAGACAAGCGAAATCACTCTTTTATTGAAGACAGGCGCTTCACTAGTATGGAAACGGCTACCAATACATCTGTTAACGAGCCTTGCGCCGGAACGCATCGCACCAGAGAACACAATTATCTATTCCGACGTCCCGGACGTGATCGGCTCACACCAACTGGTTGATGTTCTTGCAAATACCAGTTCACGAACTGTACTAGAGTCTCCTGATTTTCAACCATATTTGCTTCAAGAAGATTTCGATGATAAGCAAGGATGGATCGAAGGCGATATTGCAGGTCCAATTGGTGGGTGGAAATTGGACAAATACAAGTTTTTACCACTTATCAATCATGCCGGACACAGCCAGCCTGATGCAAAATGGTACATATATATGGAAGATGACGCTTTCATCTTCCTTCCAAACTTGTTGCAGCATCTTGCAACTTTTGACTGGCAGGATACTTGGTATGTCGGTAGTTTAGCGATTAAGCACGGCGAAATATTCGCTCATGGCGGTGCTGGATTTGCTTTGTCGCGAGGTGCTTGGGAAAAGTCATTTGGCGCCGATAAGAATATAATCGAGAAATACGAGAATTTCACCGAAGCGCATGGGTGTGGTGACCACGTTCTTGGCCACGTCTTGAAGGACTATGGAGTGACTTTTGGCGAGACTCATGAAGCAGAACAGTTTACCTTTGGTTTCAGTCCAGAATCTTACTGGAGCACGTGGTTTGGAGAAGCAAACTGGTGCAAGCCTATATTTAGCATGCATCATATGCACGCAAAAGATATCTCGAGGTCCTATAACATGGAGAAAGCTTGGGACCTTGCTCAGGTATGGCTATCCCCGTTTACATTTTCCAAGAAAGAAACGTGAATCTGACTAGGATTATAGAATGGTCTCATGCGGCATCGTGATATATATCGCACATTCATTGCCCCAGTCATTGGAAGACGCATAGAATGGTGGGATAACAGGTCATCTAGCCATGCCATCACTTCATCTGAAGCAAAAGCCGGTGAGAACATGTACGTGCCCGCTTCAGTCAAATCCAGGGACTCCTGGTTGAAGAGTTGGGAGTCAGTGGATAATTGCGAGGACGCTTGTTTGGCTTGGCCCGAGTGTGTTCAGTGGAGTTTTTATGAGGATCTTTGTAAAATGAGTGACCGTGTTGTCCTTGGGACTGGTTATACTGCGAAAGACCCAAGGAGGCTCACTGCGTTAAAGACGACCAGTGGATGGGTACCAAAGCGGATAGAGCGATGGACCTGTGATAACTAGAAGTCTAATCTAGCATCTATAGATCTTCGTAATAATATTCTATGGACAATTAGCTAGTAGCAAGCCCTAGTTCCTTAAGGCTTGTTCTAATACCCGTAGCAGAGCAGGTTGGCGCAAACTCTTTGTTACATGACAATAGCAATAATAATCAATAACAAGAATTAGCGAATGTTGAAAGTTCAGTCTGTCTTTCATGTTCGTAGCAAAGTACTGCACGAATTACCGATTAGCTGTAATTACTGCCTGATAAATAAGGGGTGGATTCAGCGGCGGCTTATAAGAGGGCGACTCCCGCACTTTTTTCTCGCTCTTAACTTTCCTCTAAGACAAGACTTTCAGCTGCGCGCTGGAACCGCCACTGTCTATTTTTCCCACCAGCATTTACGTACTCATTCTGAGATATATCATGGAAATCTTGTGAAAACACCAACAGCGATCTCAAAACTTTGTGGAAAACCTAAATATGGATCGAACAAAATGGCTGGATGGTCTCCGCGGCATTGCAGCCGCCATCGTCGCCATTGACCATTTTTTCATGGGCGATATTTGGCATCCATTCAAGTCATTTTGGGCCGATCCACCAGAAGAAAATAGGCGTTTAATACAGCTCCCTCCTATTCGTATTCTCTTCTCGGCACATGCGATGGTGACTCTTTTCATGGTTATTTCAGGATATGCAATTTCTATCAATCTCATAAGAGCTAGAGAACAGCAGAATCAGACACATCAACGGGGGCCGTCATTTTTCAATCGGCTCTCTTCTGCTGTGATGCGACGAATTTTTCGAATCTACCTGCCCGTCTTGGTCATCTCGATTATTAGTCAACTGCTGTTCTTTTTCAATCTTTACAATTGGACCTTTGACGAAGGCGTTCTAAGGGGGATCAAGCCCTGGACTTCACCATGGGCTCACTTCAAGTGGTTAATAATTTACATGATGGACAGCATGAATATGATAGCCTTTGAATACAATGGAGGTTTCAATGGGCAATTGTGGACAATGCCGGTTGAGTACCGGGGGTCGTGCGTTATTTATCTTTTTATCATCGGCCTGGCGAGCTGGAAACGAAATTTTAGACTATGGACATTGCCCACTCTGGCAGTCTATTTTCTCTGGTATGGAATCTGGGATATCTTTGGCTTCCTCTGGGGACTCTGGCTAGCGGAGAGGACGGTCGGTAGTAATGGCTTCGCAGATCATAGGACAGCCGAGCATGAAATGCACTCGCTGAATGAAATGAACGAAGTTACCGATGATTACTTCGAAGATTCCGAGAAGTTGCTGCCTTTATATCGGTTTCCTGCCCGTAATTACTGGCGACGTTTTGCCACGTCAAGTCGGATGGCTCTCGCATCCAACATACTGACTGCGGCCGCTTTCATGATGGGAATTCATCTTCTTTGCCTCGGGGACGACGGACACCTTACTCCAGGCTATCAATGGCTGGAAGCATTGAACTCTCACAAATGGAAAGACAACTGGCAAGTTTATCATTGGTGCTGGAAGTCCGTTGGTGCATCGCTACTTGTCTACGCTGTGAGCAATTCACGGATGCTGCAGAAACCGTTGAACACTCGCTTTGTCCAGTACTTGGGCAAAATCTCCTTTTCCTTATATCTGGTTCACCAGGCAATCTATCATTTATGGAGAGATCCGTTAAGGAATTGGATCTATTTGACAATAAGTGGAAGTCCTTATCCCGGCACTGCGGGTGCTGATCCAGTATCTTTCCACTTGACTTGGTGGATTTCGGGATTCATTCTCGGACCAATCGTGGCTATTGCAGCGCATTACTACACCATCTATGTGGATAATAGATGTGTGACGTTTACTAAGAGGTTAGAAAAATGGCTAACTACTTAATCTGCTACGTATCTAAGTCTTTTCGGTGCTATTTTCCTAATATGTTGATAACAGGGTTTCTTCCGCTTTGTGATTAGCATAGCAAGGATCCCAAACTTAATATTCATGATATTAATTATTATATTTAGCAATTTGAATTAAACGCACTCGTCCATTTGCCCGTTGCTTGATTTCTATCATCATCTCCCTGTGGGACGCGTACGAGTCCTCCGGGATATCTCATCGGAAAGCCTTCGTCTGCCAGGCCCTGATTTCAAAAGCGCCACGGATCGGGGATCGACAGATATTCTCTAGCAAAAGCGTCTAATGTTGCTTTGGCGATTTTACTGTTTTGCAAAATCTCAGATAGACCTCGTCATCAATCAGGGTTCTCGTGAAAGTATGCACTAAAGGGCCACCACACCGGAATTCTCACGTCCTCGCACTGATGAGACCTCCAGGGCGGTCGGTAAATGCGACGAGACCCTGTTCAAGGTGTGCCTGCCGTCAACTCATCACAATATCTTCATGAAGGCGTTGGTATTTGCATATTCGAGCAACAACAAGTATCTCTAGACCATCGGTAACCATTCAATACGGGCAATGATTGTCTGAGTTGAACGAAAAATGCGACACCGTGCGCTCGTTTAGCACCATCGTGCAGGAAGTTTCACTTTTTGGGAAAGTTTATCCGTTGCCAGAATTGAAGTGTATACTTCGGAGCAGAAGTCTTGACTATATCTCACTTTTACCACCAGAGATTTGATGTATCGACAGAGAGTTGCGGCCTGAGATCGAAGTTGTTCGGGAAATAGTAGAACTCTTGTTCAACAACAGTTCGCGCATTGGTATCAACAGGTTCCGTAAATACCTAAGTATATTTATGAATGATACTCATAGAATAGTCTATTGTTCGACTTAGCATTGATACTCATATTTCTAAAAGCAACAAACCGTTCTATTCTTATTAACACCTCTGAAGCTTGATCATGCGAACGCCTTCAAATAGAAACACTGTGACCAAGTTCGCTGAAGGTCCCTAATGTAATGACACCATTCGAAACCTCTTGATCCTTCAACAAACAGCCTTGCAAGTCCTCTAATTCAGATAAGAGGTAGGTGAATCTCATTCCCTTAGCTCTTTGCTCCTCTATTTCTGCAGCAAGTTCGCCGTTGCTGCTTTGAGCTGTTATTCTGTTCTGCAGCAATTCGTTTGCCTCCATACGGAGGCTATCATGTGGTGCAGTCAAATCTATTGGAGATGCATCGGAAGTTGTATTTGATAACAGCTCCGACGCAGAAAGCACGCGTTCTGGGGAAACAGTCATTCGTCCCTTCTTGAATACGCACTTGGAGATTGAAGTCGCAAACACCGACGATTCAAGTTCACCCTGAGATAGGGCTTTTATCATCCCACAATGTTTGCGAAGAACTTTTTCATTCGCCGTTTCTGTCGTTCTACTGTTTATAATTTCGGTGATGGAAGCTCGGGGTAGGATTTTGTCCTTGCGGACGAAATGGGTCACAATGTATAACCATTTGTGATCCCAGGTCAAAACTCGCGACCAAACTTCATAGGGATGACCCGTGGGTATCTCTCTCTTAAAATGTGTATAAGTAGAACCCAGCATGACTGTCATCACACCATTCTTCCCTTCGGCCGCGAGCTCCTTGTGGGTTTTGGACATTCCGTGGAAGACAAGAAATGAGAGAAGAATGGATCGACTCGAGTCCAGATCTGTAAAGTAAGTGCTGTTGGACTTGTGAAGATTAAAGTCGCCCTCTAGTATAGGTACTTTCGTCTTGGTAATAATCGGTAGAAACACCAGAGGTACTTCATCTTTTTGGCGCTGGACCATGGACTGAGTGATTGGTTTACGAAGGGCGGCTGCTATTATGGGAATGAAGAATCGATACTATGTGAAAATTGCTTGGTTAACAAGACGACTCATTCAGAATATTTAGACAGCAAAGAGAGAACCATAAATCACAACACATCGCTGCTAATTACTTACATGCCATACTAAGGGCAAACACTTGACGTTTAGAATTGCCAGAAGAAGCCAAAATAATCTCCCAGGGCGCAATCGTAGAAGAAGTTTCACTCTTCTCGAGTAGAAGCGATAAGGAAAAATTGACGACATGATAATCGTGCCAGTGTAGACGCATTTATGCTAGATTTTGTTTCCTCGCGGTTCATGAAGGGCAGGCTAGAAATCAGCAATTCATGCGAAGAGGAACAAGTTTACTTGGACTCAACAGTTATTGCGATGAGCCGAGGTTGTGGCCAAATGGGGTAATCCATATCACATGTACCCCCTCAACCCTAATGTCCTTTCTTCGTAGAGGATACTTGAAGTCAAGGGGGAGGTACGTAAGCGTTTTCGTAGTTGATTATTCGTCGAGATCATTGGAACTTTGCTCTCTACCTGTAGGATCAAAACAGCGAGATTGAGCTGTCCAACGAATGTATATAGCACCTCGAAGGTTGTCGGACGGTGGAAATTCTTCTATCGATCATTTTCGCCAATGATATAAAACTAGCTTCTACCTAGGAAGAGTTCTACATATTAAATCTCAAACTGATCCACCTCCAAAACTGCGGAGGTACAGTGGACGCCGAAACTAGAAACGACTTTCTGCTCAGAGATGACATTTAGGAGTTTATAGACCTGAAAAACTCCAGCTCTTCACATATTCTTCCGGTGTGGGTTTAAAAACAAAGAATATTCATAGGATCATCTCGAGCTCGTTTCGACATTTGTGGCGCGATTCCAATTTACTGAAAGTAGACGCATTCCGTGATATACTTGAATTTCGTGTGAACTAGGTGCGTGAAAACCAAGTCTACGGATGCTTGGATAGCATTTCAAAGCCGTTAGTACGTAGAAACGAAACATGTGACTAGAAATACGTTGCTGAAAGAGTTGTAGATTTGTTAATACGGACAGATCGGATGTACGATACGAATGCAATTGGATGCCCAAGGGTAAATTTAAGCACAGGTAAAGAATGTTGTAGGTCTAACCTTGTACTGGCGAGAATTCTATAAAGATGCTCCATACAAAAGAATCACCACTCTCTATCAACATATAGAATCCGCTGTGGTGTAGGAGATATGCTTCGGTGAAACATCAACAATAATGCGCCTTGAATTTCCCATGAATGAGGTTAGAGCCTCCGGAGCCAAAAGCTTAGTTGTGGTCTTAAGCTTAGATTCATGAATGACTGATGTCTGTTGAAACATATTATTCGCCAAGAGGGGAGGGAACGATACTCCGCAATTATAAACAAGCCCATCAATCGGAGTCTCCAGCAAGTTTCAATGTCTCATACCGAATCCTTGAATCCCGTGCGGCATGATTAGTTTTCTCGCCATTTGTTGCATGGATAAGCCATTTGAAGCCGGCCGCATGAAATTGTGTATATCAATCTGCGATGTAAGTTGATTTCTTATGCTACAGGGGCGCCGTCAACATAGGGCTGGGCTATATTTACTGGTCGTATAAATCTATTTTCTCCCCTTTTTCAAGAATACTGACAATAATTAGCAGAAGCCAAGACGGAGAAAAAAACCTCCTGTGTCAGGTTAATTTAACCGAGATACAATGTCGCCAATAAGTATAACTACTATCAAACTATACACCAACCGAAGTTAAAAGAAAAAAAAAAGTTACCCTGGAGTTCTGACGCTTCAGATGAGCTCGGAAATACCCAGATAGTGTCCGCCTCTTTCTCCGGATTGTTTGCTACAAATAAGCAGTAAAACACGATGCATATCCCAAGTGTCATTCTCGCGTTGAGTTGTTTCTCCGTTGCACTCGGCCAACTGGCAGATACGTCTGCTTACCCAGTCGGCCCTTTAACTTCAACCGCCCAAAAATGGGCAACAAAGGTCTGTGACATTACCAAATACGGAGCAGTAGCTGATGGCAAGACCGACGCTGGCCCAGCCATTCTTGCAGCCTTCAAGGCTTGTGCTTCGGGTGGTGTGGTTAATATTCCACTGGGAACTTTTGCTATGGAAACCTGGGTAACATTGAACGGAGGTAATGCGTGGGCCATTAACTTGGAGGGAACCATTGTCCGCACTGGTACTGCAGGAGGAAATATGATTTACATTGAACACAGTACCGACTTTGAAATTTATTCTTCCCGCGGTACTGGTGCGATCCAAGGATACGGGTATCAATTCCACGAGCAAGGACAGTACGGTCCGCGTCTTTTACGTCTTCATGATGGTAAGTGAATAAAAATCTCCAGGAAAAGCTTTAGCTAATATATATTAGTGACAAACTTCGCGATTCATGACATCGCACTTGTCGACTCACCGGCCTTTCACTTAACTCTTGACACTTGCAATCAAGGCGAAGTATACAATATGATCATTCGAGGCGGAAACAGAGGTGGCCTTGATGGTATAGACTTGTGGGGATTTGACATCTGGGTGCATGATGTAGAAGTCACCAACAAGGACGAATGTGTAACCGTGAAAAACCCGTCGAACCACATTCAGGTCGAAAATATCTACTGCAACTGGTCTGGCGGTTGTGGTATGGGCTCATTGGGCGCTGATACCAGTAAGTTAGTCTAAACCACAAGGAATAAAAGGAAGAACTAACAATAGGATCAAAGATATCTCCAAGGTTCTCTACAATAATATTTATACTGTGAATTCTAATCAGATGTTCATGTTCAAGTGAGTCTCCTCTTCAATATATTTCTGTAAATACAAGTCTAACTTTCACAAAAGGAGTAATGGCGGATCAGGAGAAGGTAAGCATATCACATAGTGGTTTTGTGTATCGCTATACCTAGGTGCTCCAACACAGGATCACTAATTTACCATTGCCACACAGTCAGTCAGGTCACACTCCAAAACTTCATTGGCCACCAGAACGCATACTCGCTTTACCTTAATTCATACTGGTCCGACCAGACCTCGGCAGGCGGAGACGGCATTCTCTACAACTCCATCACATTCAACAACTGGAAAGGAACATGTGCAAATGGCGCTCAGCGACCTCCACTGTATATCTTGTGCCCTTCGACAAACCCCTGCACCAATATAAATATTGAGAACTTCAACATGTGGACTGAGTCAGGCAATACCGAGTACTACAAGTGTGCTGATGCTTGGGGCTCGGGTTATTGTCTCCATGGAGGAACACAGCACACAAAGTATGGAACTGTCACTTCCACAGTCACGGCCGCCCCTCCAGGATACTCCGCTCCAACAATGCCTGGGCAGCTCAATGCTGGATTAGGAATTACCACGTCTATTGCGATCCCGACTGTTCCGAATTCCTTCTTCCCGGGTGCTACACCGGCCACACGCAGAGTGTATGGCAGCTAGACCAGTAACTGGGGTGGCTGGAAGTACTAATGGTGACTAGTACTGATAATCTCTGTATGTGTAAATATTAAGAGAAATATCCGACAGCCTATGTGATTCTTACGATTACTACTAATTAAAATCATATTATTGCAACTCACTATAATACAAGCAGAAGTTAATCCCATCGGAGCGTCCTGAGCTCTCTTCCTCCTGTCTGTCGAAAGTAAAGAACTCATGACTTGAATCAAGATAGAATGCTCAATATGTGCACCAGTCAAGCAAGAGGCCATTTGCTTATTCACTTTTCAAGGTCTAACAGAAACATGAACGCGGAGAAAGCCACTATCATAATACTGCTCAGACAAGATGTTGCTATCTGGGCACCACCTCCTGACGAATGAGTCTGGCTCAGCGTTGTTGTTGGGATTGCGGATGCAATAGAAGCTCTACTTGTAGGTTGCTGTGTTGAAGACTGTGTCGCCAATGCACTCTGGGGTACACTGGTGACTGTGCCACTCGAGATCCTCAAATTTGCAGAGGTTATGATGAAAACGGCATCAGCCACGAAGGAGCTAATGATTGATTGGTATACCAGTTGTTCGTGAATAACATCATTGACATAGGGGGTTGGAACGGCTGATAGCCAAACAGGGAGCGACTGTGTATTGATACCACCATATCTTGAACAATACAAAGAGGCGCTTACAGAGGAAGGAAAAAAATCCGCAGCTGATGAAAATGCAGCGTTCGTTATTGATAATGTGGAATTTTGATTGAAACTGTTGTAGACAGATAATATGGCTTGATTGAGCTCATCTGATTTTTCTGCTGAGATATGCGCAAGCCCATCCCGCAGAGGGCATGAGAATCTTATAGTACCATTAATTAGCATTCTCATTTTTTTTAATCGTTCGATGTAGAAGGGGCATACCCTAAAGATTGTGTCTGCGCATTTATGACGGCGGCAACGAAGAGCAGCTGGAGAAGAATGGGGACTAAATTCTTCATGACAACTCGTCGGTGATTTTCTAAAGGATGAATGCTTTTATTAGCAGAAAGGATGAGATTAGCCGTAGAAAGGTGAAGGATCTACATGAATGGAGCTTTTGAGCCTTGGTAAATTCAGGGACCTAGCTCTAATCGAACGAACAACGAGATCTTGGCACTTGAGGAGAATACGTACATGATGACTGGATGCAGTTGTGTGGTTGATTGGTGAAAACAATTGGGTTGCTTAAGTATACCTCGACTAGTGTGACTGTGAGGCTTAAGACTAACACCGTTTGAGACTCAAGGTTATATTTGACGTTTTCCGAAGCTGCGAACGGCGATAGTCTCGATTGGAGAGTAGTATCAGACCGTGGGTACACAGTACGTACCGGTACATATCTACGCCTGAATTGGGCAGAGGCGTTTCCCTTGTTTATCTGTAGGAACCTGGAATCTAAGCATGCTTCGATGTAGGCACGTAGTTCGGATGCACCTAGTGCCCCATGTCTGTCAACTTTCACACTAGGAATAAGACAGGAAAGGAAATGCTAGATTTACATGCAACTTCCAGATTGTATATGCGTATCAATGGCGCCAATAGATGTGCACATTTCATGGCCTATTGATACACATGCATATGAGCCGTGGTTCGATGAAATACAAGGAGAAGTTGAAGATATTTGATACATTAGAAAGTCTCGCTAGAACTTGATTACTCGCAAACTTGACTTCTCACATTTGTCCGACTGCTAACACGTGAAGACAGTGGTGGGTGGCCTGTTGCGAGTTGTTGACTGCGTTAGGTGCCATTGGGCTTTCGGTCTCCGTAAAACTCCCAGCGTGTTTGATCGGACACGAGGCTTCAAGCAAGGTAGGGTGGATATTTACACCTGGGAAGAATATATATTCGTACTCGGCAGGTCCCTAGACAGGTTTGGAATGGAACGGTTTGCCTTAGACATAGTAAGATCCTTTGTAAGTTTGATTTGATGGTCTTTAAATCTGACACCATTGGAGCATCACCATAAAAAATTCCATCGTTTCCACCAAACCTCCTTAAGTATCGGGACATTTTCCGGATCATTTTGTGCTTCATCTAAAGCTTGAGCAATGGGGATATCGCTCAAAGAGACATATTTTGTTCGCCGGATCAACTTGTAGCCAGCAAAAACCACAAGTACCAACGGTATGTCCCTATGTTAGGAGTCAACACAAGTGCATGACAGCATGAGGACAAGGTAGACTCACAAATAGCTTGACACAAAACTAGAAGGTTCCCAGTTTCCGGAGGTGAATACTGCAAAACCTCCTGTCAAGAGGATAATTATGCACGATACAAGTGCGAACCACGATCCATAAGCTAGAATCAATGCCAACTGTCAATATCCACCACGGCAATAACCATCAGAATACAAGGTTGTTCAAAACTTACGTGTCCATGAGTTGTGCCAGGGCAAGGCATGAAGGGGGTAACCCTGCTTTTTCAGTGCTTGGATCAGACGTATATGGTTTAAAGCGACCGTAATCCAACTGATCAGCACACCAGCTGCAGTCAAATCGACCAGCCAGAAGAAGACCGTTAGAGCGTCGTTAGACACGCACATGTAGGCCAAAAACGAGAAGGCCATCTGCACGGCCACACACATATAGGGGATTCCGTATCGCGTAGTCCGAAGGAAGAATTTTGGGGCATGTCCCTTGAGTGCAAGGCCATACAAGGTACGTGTTCCCGCAAGAATAGCTTGGTTTGACGCAGACCACGCAGATGTCAATACCACTGCATTGACAATGGATGGGATTGCTTTGATTCCAGCGTCGCTAGCTGCAATGACAAAGGGACTCTGCGCGGCTGTTCCCGATTCATTACTGAGTCGCTCATCATCACTGGATACTAGCATTCCAACGACTAGAATAGCAAGGATGTAAAATATGGTGACCCGAGCGAATACACGCTTGCAGGCTTTGGGAATATTGTGGCGCGGATTCCTGGTTTCGGCAGCGGCCATGGCCAGGGACTCGACACCTGCAAATGAGTAAACAGCGTTTGACATGACAGCCCAGAAGCCCAAGAACCGTCCCCATGAACCTTGGGCAATGTATTCGACGAACGGACCCGGTGTTTTCCAAAAGTGAAAGCCTAGTCTGGGCTTACCAGGAACACCGCCCAAATCAATGACGAGCCCCATGATCACGATACCGACAACGAGCAGGATCTTGAGAATGGCGAAGAAAAACTCTACCTCACCGTATACGCCAATAAAAATAATTGCCACCAAGATTGAGAGCACGATAAGTATCGTAACCCACACGGCTGGATTGATGGTGTCGTTCCAATACTGGATGAGAACAACGCCGGCTGAGATTTCGCTAGGAACGGACAAGAAATTCCCATACACGACATTCCATCCGATAGCAAAGGCCATAGCTGGGTCCACAAGAATCTCCGAATGGCGTACAAAGGATCCGGTGACAGGAAAGAGCGCGGTAACTTCTCCCAAGGCAAACTGAATGGCACACACGATAGCGCCGACGAAGAGATAGCCCAAAAGAGCCCCCAATGGTCCTCCCGTTGCGATCGAGCCACCTAGGCCAAGGAAAAGACCTGTTCCCTGGAAGCACACAGATATGTTAGGATTTCTAGATGTTTACAAATTGATGAGGGTGTCGTACAATAGCTCCGGCAATCGCAATCATCTGCACATGTCTCTGCTTCAACCCCCGCGCCAGATCTTTCCGTTCATGATCATCGACAAACCGCACATCTTCGTTGTAGACATGATGCGACGCAACGGTTGACGTTCCCCCGTACGCCAAGTTCTTGACATCGCCGAACTCTGCCATTATGGCAGCTGGTAGATGTCGTTTCAATCTCTGAGAAGCAAAGATGGAACGCTGAGCATATCACAAGAGAAAAAGAGCCATGGCGAGACATCTCCAGAGTTCGTACTATAGAAAGATAAGAAGTGGATCACCGACAAAAGGTTACACCCTCTTCTCTCTGGAGGCAAAAAAAAAGTAAAGAGAAAATCACGCCATTATCGCGCTCCCGCTTGTAATTCCCTCTACCGGCTTAGAGTATTTTTGTTGTCTTTTAATCTAATTGATTTCCGTGCATTTTCCTACTCCGTATTTCAACATCTCAAGGAACCAATACCGATGAGGTTATCCACAAAACTCAGCCACCAGTGAATTAATCATCTTTTCGGTCTTACGAATACTCTCCACATCCACCCACTCCTCAGCACCGTGAGCCCCTTGGCCGATCGGACCAAAGACAACTGTGGGAATCCCATTTGCAGCGAGTAACGCTGCATCGCACCAGAATGCGAGTCCTGTAGGGGTCACGATTTCCTCACAGGCGGTTTGGGCTGCTTTTACGGCTAAGCGCTCGAAGGGGTGCCCACTATCCAGCTTGTAAGCCGGCCGAGAGAAAGCCACGCGAGGCCTGTTAAATCTGAACTGTGGCTCTTTCTCTGCAATTTCTGCCAACAAGCGATCTATGTCTATGGTTATAGATTCAACGCTTTGTCCAGGCACAGTGCGAAACTCGATTTGAAGACTGCAGGTCTCCGGATACGTGGAAAGCTCTAGACCCCCTTTGATTATCCCACAGTGGAGCGATGCTGGCCCAAGAAACTCATCAGATGGAAGTGTTTTGCTGTAGCCGCGTAACGCCTTTAACAACAAACCAGTATTGAGGATGGCGTCCACTCCATTTGCGGTATCTGACCCATGAGCGGCATGGCCGAGCACTTCTATCTCCAGCCATAAAAACCCTTTGTGCCCTGTACCGAGTGCGCCGAGTGGCAACATCGTGCATTCCATCACAATAGCTCCATCAACACGCAGTCCGGCGGCAAGAACCTCCTCGGTACCCTTAGACCGATCTTCCTCGTCAGCGACAGCGGCCAAAATGACGCTTCCCTTCAGAGTCAATCTGGAAGCCTTTAAGAGGGCGGTCATGGCGGCGGCCAGCCCAGATTTCATGTCAAGGCACCCCCTGCCGGTTATTACTTCTCGACCATCTCTAATAACGAGATCACCGCTTAATGGCCTTAAGGAATAACTCGATAGGCCGACAGTATCCATATGACCATTAAGCATCAGGTTCGAGCCTCCCCCTCGCCCTGAGGCAATTCCAACAACTGAAGGACGACCCGGGGTCGATTCAAAACGGCGGGTTTCTATATCCCTGTGCTGTAACCAGGCTTCAATGAAATTCGCTATCTGGGTTTCGCCAGTACCTTTAGAAGACGACAGAGTAGGATTGGTTGACTCGATTCGGGTCAGTAAACGAGTCAATTCTACGGGATCATCGGTTGAAACATCGAGGGGAAAGTTATATGGACGCTCGCCCTCGGTATTCAAAAGGACAATTACCGATTCAAGATTGAGCCCAAGCTTTGCCCGGTCCTCCAGATTTAGACGTCGCAACGCTGCCACTCCAGTGGCACCGCATGGGCCGGAAGATACACCGTGGAACCTTAGATATTGAACAGCTCGGTGAACTTCATAATCTGAAACTGTCAAACTCGCGTCAACAAGGTGAATTAGATCTTGCCATGCGGCATGAGACACCGTCCCACAGTTCATTCCAGTCATAATGGTGTTTGAGGTTGATATCTTTTCTGCATTCTTAGTTTGGAAGCTCTTGTAGAAGCAAGCAGCTGTGTCTGGCTCCACGGTGACAACTTTTGTCGCATCAGTTGTACTTGATGTCTTATAATGCTGTACACACGCATGGGCTAGCGACCCGACGCCTACTGGGCTTACGACGACGCTGCCGCTCAGTCCGAGAAGTTGCAAGTCGTGGTCAATCTCTTCAAATATTGTTGAATAACCTTGTGTGATAGCAGCTGGAATATTCTCATACCCCGGGAAAGAGGTATCTTGAATGAGAACTCCATTTGTGGTAGCCTTGGCTGCTTTCGCAGCTGCTTGTACTGCACCGTCGTAATCACCGTCATATATAATTATTCGAGCTCCTTCATTGCATATCAACTGCTTCGCATGGTTTTCTATGTTTAATGGGACATAGACGCATGCTTGTAATGATAGCAGTTGGGCCATGCGTGCCACTGCTCGTCCATGATTACCATCTGTAGCAGCAAAAAGCTTCAAATTGCATTTTGCCGCCTCTTTTGACACATATTCAAGGCTAGAGTCTTCCGGAAGATTCAATACTGATCGTATCGCGGTGAAGGTGCCCCATGACGCTCCCAGTATCTTGAACGACGGAAGACCAAACCGACTACTCTCGTCTTTAACCAGTACATTCTTCACGTTGAGTTCTCGAGCCAAGCCAGGTAGATCTATGAGTCTGGTTGGTGCATAATTTGGAAGACGGCCGTGAAACTCTTTCACTCTGCTCGGATTAAGATGTGCTGGCCTCTTCGAAATGGTACTCTCTTGGAAGAGGACGGGCCTTCGATTAGCAGACATTGGGAGTTTATCGTAGAGAAATATTGTTCTCTCCCAGTAATCATTTAACACACGCAAACTCAGAACCAATAGAACTCAGAGCTTGATATATGTTGTGATTTGACGCTGCTTCTCATCTAAGCCGCGAGCTGTAATGGGAGGGCGCACATCTTGTCGGATTGGTGGGTTAACTCCAGTCCAACCCTGAAAAATTGTTTACAAGAATGGTAAAATAAGAAGTGACTAGCAAGATTGTGTCTGTCTCCCTTCTGCCCGTACATCAGGTTCCAAAGCCAGGTTTATATAGATATGTTTGCCAAGATGTGTAACAACTAACAGACTTGGGGTTCTCACTGTTCCAAGGAATACAGCCATGACGTTTCAAGTCGAGTTTGAGGTGCACCAGGTGAAGTTTTATATGTTTGAGGATGGCCTATGGATTCTATACCTTGTTGGAAATCCAGATTATCTGACACATCTATCTACACAACCCTAACCCTGAGAAGTTACAATATGGTTGCATGTGGAGTTGTGGAATGAGTCATAGAATGGAAATCTCTCCCTCCTCTATTTTCTATCTTATCAATTCATAGAATTGGAAGATGACAGCATACTTTTGCATTTGCTTGTACCCAATCTTGGAGTCCGATTTTCCTGCCAGGTGCTGAGATACGAAAGCTTTACCAATTCAAAATCTTCAGAAGTCGCTACATCCAAATGTCTGTTGCAATCCAAAAGCAATTCTATGGCACTAACTCCCCATGGGAGCTCAGTATCGGCCATTATCGAGCAGTTCGCCATGGCCAATTGATCTACGTTTCTGGCTCTACAGCAGCTGATCCTGATTCATCCCCAAATGCACCGGGAGTTCTCTTCCCTGGCGACGCACGAAAACAGGCCCTTTATACATTCGGAAAAATTATTGACGCCATCAAAGCATTAGGAGGTAGAGGTGCAGAAAGTATTGTGCGCACTAGGATGTTCGTCCGGCGACAGGAAGATTGTTCTCCTGTCTCGGAGGCTTTCAGAGATATTCTTGGGAGAGATAATGGGAGTGGTATTGGTACAGCGGCAACGATGGTGATTGTCGCCGGGTTCTGCGATCCAAACATGCTTGTGGAGATTGAATGTGATGCGGTCGCGGATGCTGAATGACGACTGGTTGTCGGATATTTGTTAGTTTGGGGTTTCTGTATGAGTGGCTATAAGAACTTCCCAAACGTGTTATCCAACATATAAAGTAACCCCTTCCCTATATGTTATACGATTACTGGACAATATATTCTTTGAACCAAAATTCCAACGTGCTTTGTGCATCCGCAAAGTAGTCAGATCGAGCAGAGGGCAGTATAGCGCGTTTCAATGACTGCGTCGTAGCCGCATCAAATCCCCAATCTCCCATCCATTGATTCATTTGAGAGCCTTCCTTGAAATGACGCACTAAATGATCCGTACGTTGGTTCCATGTGGTGAATGTTTCGGCGCAAAAGCCGCACCGACTGTTAAGAGTTGTTCGGCGAGTACGACGAAGGTGGAGACTTTGACCAGCCCAACTATCGCAGCTGTGGAACTTCTTCAAGTGCTGCCATAAGTGATCTTTGCGAGCAAACATCCTCTCTCCAAGTGGTCGTTCAAAGCACGATTCGAAATCGTGTGAAGCGATGTGTTCTTCTGAGGGAAGGTCAACCCCACAGTAATTGCACTGCTGGTTGATAGAGCCAAATTTCCACACTGTAGCATTCTGCGGCTCGCAGACCCACGTATCAAGTTGAATGTGAATAGATACCTCATGCCGACTCCAGTCAGACTTTCTTTTGAAGGAACTCGTACAGAAGGTACACTGATACCTCGGAGAAGCGGACCGATCGGAAAATTTCGTTCTTGTCGGGATCTTACTAGGAGTCGAACCGGGTCTTATTACTTCGTGACTGTCCGCGGATAAGAAAGTGTCAACAGATGAGATAGACTCTGATGAATCCGAGTACGCGATCGAGGATGCGAAAGTAGAAGAAGAATGGCTGTCATATGAGTTGGAAATTTTCTGTCGATCAGTATTTGGACTGGACGAAGAAATATAGGATATCTTTGGCTGTGAGATTGCTGCCTGTTTGATCAACTCGAGGGGTGCATGGTCATCTTCAGGAGGTGAGCTGCGCCATCGTTGAAAAGGGGTCAAACCTGACAAGACTGATTGAGGCATCGGCGAGCCGGACCGGTGAATAGTAGACTTGCGACTTTTATCAGCGATCCTTTGTCGCCTTCTCGCGTTGATAAACCAGTTTTGTGTTTGCGTCCTTGTAAGACCGGACTCGCGTGCTAACTCGTTTTTTTCTTCCTCTGTGGGGTAAGGATGATCTGAATGGGCGAAAAACCATTGTCGCAAGGCCTTTGTCTGGCCTCGCATGCGAGAGCTTGTTCTTTTAGGAAGCAGAGAATATTGCTTTGCTGATTGCTGGCATTGACTTGCATCTTCCGGCTTGTTGACTAGATCTGAAGACATTTGCAAGGATCTAGCACTGGCGAGATCCGCTTCGGTTATACCATGAAGACCCCCGACGACTGGATGGTGTGTTTCAAAGTCACAAGGATGTCGTTTGATTCTCTCTGCTAAACTGCAACTCCTAAATAACGCAACGCAACTAGAACATGCGGCGATTGGATTAGGGTTTGCTTTTGTAGTACGAATGACCAAACATTGTAGGCGATGCTTTTTGCAGTACTCGCACGGCACAGGAGGTCGATATCCGTTCGTTCTCAGATCTAGAGTGTGGCTGTCCAAAAATTCGTTATTTGGCTCCACGATGGCTTCTTGATTGTGAGGTGCGTTCTGATGAGTGATGGAGTGTAACGCTTCCGGACAGACATCCAGAGAGTCCATGGGGAGTATCTCATTAGTACTAGGTATTGTAGTGCTTGAGAATTCCATATCGTTCACAAAGACCATGTCATTTTCCAATCCAGCATCACCTGGAGGCCAATCATTGATATCATCTCTCTGAATGCCGGACGGATGAGCGGAGTATATTGAGAGGTCCTGCGTCCAATCGAAACTTTCTAGGTCGAGGAATCCGGAGATATCGCCCACCGACATAGCTAACCACGGCCAAACTCCCGTAGAATAAGTGATCCCGAATATGTGTTTATCGTGCTGTTCAGAAGCGAAGGTTGAGCGGGAGGAATGACGAGGTGGGATCGGAGACAGGAAATCACGCTAAGCCGTTTAAGGTCTAGCCTAATTTAACTGACCAATGATATGAATGTCCTCATCCATCCAATCATATCCCTGCAACATGACCTAGCCCTAACAGACTCATATACGAAAGGAGACATAATTTGGATGTGAAAGAAAGACATCAACGCCTACTCAATGAGCCAGAGATCTGATTGCATGCCTAAAGCTCTATGCTATACTGAAGGAGTCAGCAGCCCAGAAGAATGAATAGAGATAAACTAATCATTCCAATTCTCGTGCAGAGTTGCAATGTCAATTTTCCCAACTTCCTTGAGATAACTCGTCAGCGAATCTTTGCCGCCAGACTTCTCACGCTCTGTGTATCCATTTCCAAAGTACTCAAATCTATTCCTCTTTCCTCCTTCAGATCTTTCAAAGACAAAATCCTCCCATCGCGGATCGCGGCTGATATCAAATCGGTGATGGCCTGTTCCAGGCCATGAAACCAAAGGTCGGGACTTTCCAAATCCACTTTTCCACCAGCCATCACATTGGTCGCCAATCACCTTGTCGTCAAAGAATGCAGTTATAATTTCGTTGAAGTCGTCTGTTGCCTCTTGCGATGGGTATATAGCCCGGTATCCTTGACCCTGAACTTTGCGGATAACCTTGGAAATATACGTAGCAGAAATCTCCGTTTGCAGAGGAAATGTACCTCCCAGGCCATTAGTATTCGCCTTTGATGTAGTCAGCACTCGTTAGTCATAAATAAGTATCATAGGAAGATCTATATGCACGAACCTGGACGACTGCAAAGTAGTTCGGAAAGTTGGGTGCCATGATACCAAAGTATGTCTCTGGATATCCGATCGGGCCATCCTCAGCCCACCGTTTGCCCAAATCTATCCCATTCTTCCCGATTGTGGGAAATAAAGGGAGAAAGCCATTGCGGAAGCCAGTAGCTACAATGACAATATCGACAGGTCTCTCTTTTCCGTCGTCTGTCACCAGCCCTGTCTCTGTAGCATGTGTGATTGTCGTACTGTCTATGTAGTCCACCTTTGGATGGCGGATTGCATCGAGATACCCTGCTGAAGGGATTGGTCGCTTACATCCTGGTGCAAAGTCAGGGACCAGGCGATTGTACCAGGACTTATCTCCTCCGAGTCGTGCCAATAATTCCTCCTCGTATTTCTGGCGTATCTGGTCATTTTCCTTACTGCCGGAAATCATTCCCTCGTATCTGCCGTGGAAATATCCCTCTATTGTCCGGCGATACTCTTGGTATGCCTTGGGATCCTTGTCAAAGTTCGTCTTCTCTTCGTCAGTGAATACATGCGCCCCTGGCAAGCCAATTTTGGGAGCGATGAGGTTTGGATTGAACGCCGAAACGATCCATTGCCTGGACCTGACATATTGGTCAATATGTGCGGTGTCGTCAAGTATGTCGACAAAGATCTGTTGCCCGCTGGCCCCATTGCCTATCACCGCGACACGTTTACCTTTCAGCTTCTTGGTAAGGTCGTCTGTCCACTCTGCGGTATGAGCCACAATCCCTTTGTAAACTGTCTCGAGACCGGGTATCTTTGGATATTTAGGAACATTCAATCTACCAGCAGCAGATATAAAAAAATCCGATGTTTCCGTGAAAATATCTCCAGTGGTTAAATTCTGGACTTTGACCACCCACTGCTTTATATCATCTGACCAAATAGTAGACAAGACCTCGTGTTTGAGGTACAGGTGGTCATCAACTCCAAACTCCTTCACAAGCCTTTCGTAGTACTGGCGGATCTCGGCTCCCGAAGAATAATATTCAGACCAGTGAGTGTTTGGGGCAAAGGTGAGTTCTAGAATTGGCATGGTGATCTTGTTAGTCACTGACAACAGACAGTATTTTCTAATCCGCACTCGACAGCGGGACACTTACGATAACTGTGGGATGGAATGTCACACCTCACACCAGGATAGCGATTCTGTGCCCAAGTACCACCCTACAGTTATATTATCAGACTTGGGAATTTTGTTTAGTCAAAATCAGGAATTCAGACTTACGACCGCATCTTGTCTTTCAAAAACCTTGTAGGATAGATTGGCGACTTTCCGAGGAATCAATATAGAAGCAGAGACACCAGCAATCCCTGCACCGACGATGATCGCCTGACCGTTTAATCAACCAACACATTCTATGTACATGGATATGTAGCTGTTTCTCACCTTGACTGAAGGTGCCGAGTCAAAAGGCCGATCTCTGGGTTTCCAGAGCTCCTTTGGAGTCTCTTTGACTATATCGCCGCTCTGAACAATAGGTTGTGGTGATATGGTTTCTTGAATCTGTTTCAATCTCTCGATAGCTCGTGCCATCGCTATAATGTACTATCGTCGGTTGGGTAAATCTTGGTGTTTGAGTTTACCAATGTCGAGTTTTGGTCTTTGGTTTAGAGATATTCAAGCGATGTGAAGTTTTCAATCCATAAATTCTATGAATGAATCACAGTCAAGAAATAATAATCGACTCCATGTAAGGTCGGAGTCATTTCCGAGTCCAATAAAATATCATGTTCACCAAATCACGCAATATATACGGAACCCGTCATGGTCTTCTTTTAGGCCGAATGGCGTCTTAGATAAGGAATACTCATCAACGTGACAACTGCTTTCAGTGTCATGTTACCCTTTAGTTAAATGGATATCAAAAATTGAATACTCTGTATTCAGCGGACAAACATGGTTTTCCGGACTTTAGCCTTCGATTTCTGATTACGCAATATTAGACACTGCTGATGACAACGAGTGAATTAACGAATTAACCTCGAGATATACTGGTGGTGCATAACTTGTATTTTCCTGTAATGGTTTTGCTTGATTTCAAGGTGGGAGTATCATTGAAGCTTGGACATGGCAAGTAACTTGTGTAATCTCCCGGAATGATCAGACACAGAATACCAGGAACTGCGGTGGAAATGTGTGCCTATACGAGTCGGGTAACTGCTCCATTTACTGAAAAAAGCGAAGTTGCTTTGCATAGCTATTAGACAGAGGAAGCCTTCTCCAGGTATCGATAATTACTCGAACAGGTATGAAATCTAGGAAAGTCAGACATCCCGCCGTTGCAAGGTCGGCACGCGATAATAACCCTAAGAGTGACTAGATAGTTATGTTGCGATATGCATTAAGTAAAAGGAGAACGGCGGTGTTCAGCCTTTTTACGAATGTCGTGACCAGCACGCCAGATTAGGCAGTCATCGCCTCAACAGAAGGAGGAACCATCAATGAAGGCCGTGATGGCCAAGATATTCAAGAATATATAATACATCGTGTTTCTGTGGCTACTCAGCTACGAACCACTTTCTCCTCCATCACTCAGCGATATTCCAAACCGAGAAAAATGGCCGAGAAACGTAAGAAGAGAATTCATCTCAATGGATTTGACATGTTTACTGTCAGTCATCTGTCCTTCGGACAATGGCGAAACCCTAAAGACAGGTCTAAAACAAAGCGTCGTGATCTTTCATACTGGACGGATCTAGCGAAGACTCTAGAAAAAGGAGAATTCACAGCCTTGTTTCTCGCTGATACTTATGGAATATACGATACTTATAAAGGCAGCGCGGAACCTGCAATCCGGTATGGTGCTCAAGTACCGATGGGGGATCCTTCCATTGTAAATGTTATCGATTATTGCCCACTGTGCTCGTACTAATATTGGTGAAGCCGATCACTGCAATGGCCTCGGTAACCAAAAACCTGTCTTTTGCAATTACGACCTCCACGTCTTATGAGGCGCCTTATGTCGTTGCAAAGCGATTCTCGACCCTAGATCACCTGACCCAGGGTCGATTCGGATGGAATATTGTTACGTCTTGGAAGGCGTCAGCGTCGAAAGCCGTAAGTCTCAATACCTTTTCTCTGATCTGGCGCGATACTGAATTGTTACAGCTTGGACTAGCTCTAGTCGAGCACGATAAGCGATATCAAATCGCGGACGAATATTTACGGGTTTTATATAAGTGCGATTATGCCTCTGAGAATCTCAACTGGTACTTGCTATGCAACTTACTAATCCCGTTGTGACTGTAGATTGTGGGAAGGCAGTTGGGCAAATGATGCTTTGAAGGAAGATGTTGAAACCGCAGAATATGCCGATCCTGATCGTATTAAATATGTTCACCACCATGGGGAGCATTTCAATCTTGATGGAATACATATCCTGGACCCCTCCCCACAAAGAACGCCATTTTTATTTCAAGCAGGGACTTCACCTGCAGGAATTGCGTTCGGCACTACTCACGCTGAAGCAATATTTGTGGCAGGGATCAGTCCAGAAGCTCTGGCTCCTAAGGTGAAACAGATTCGTGCTGAGGCTGCTAGAAGAGGCCGTGACCCGAATTCTGTAAAGATATTCCCAATGATAACACCCATCATTGGCCGGACAGAGGAGGAAGCCAAGGAGAAATATGAAGAGGCTCTGAAATATGCCAATTATGAAGCTGGTCTCGCTTTCTGGTCAGGAGGGAGTGGCATTGATCTCAGCCAATTTGATCTGGATCAGGAAATCAAATCAACCGATGTCCATGTGGATGCACGTGTGCATACAACTCTCAGCCATCTTCAAAATACCAGCCCTGATATTCCGGCATGGACACCGAGGAATATCGGAAAATGGATTGCTCTTGGTGCGAATGGACCGATTCCAGTTGGGACACCTGAAAAAGTAGCAGATGTATTCGAAGAGTGGGTCAAGATAGCAGATGTGGATGGCTTTAATATCGGCTATGTTATTTCACCAGGGTCATTTGAAGATGTGACTGAGCTATTAGTGCCAGAATTGAGGAGAAGGGGATTGTATGACCCTCTGCCAGGAAGCACTCTCAGGGAAAAGATATACGGTGAAGGTCAGAAATCTTTGAGAGACGATCATGCTGGGAGCCAGTACAAATATGGGGTCTATGGTGGAAATTAGAGAGGAATACTAGAATCAGGCAGCGGATTTTATGATTTATTTCACCGTTGGTTTATATGCCTGTTGTATATTACCACATCTACACTAACCAGAAGAGACAGTGTTCGCTGCTTAATATGCAGGACCAACAACTTTGGAACGTTAGTACCTGTCGGTTTATCTACGTCTAGGTCGCTAGCACTAGTCACGTAGAACAGCTATTCCGACGAGCTGACGAGCCTGATCAATATGGTATGGAATTCCTGATATTGATGACTGCCCCCCAAGAGTAAGGGGGACGGGGAGTGGCTAACTACATATATACGTGTCGGAACGTTGGTTTACTAGAGCGATGACTAAGCGAAGGCGAGCACTAAACAATACGTATAAGGAACTAGGTCTATTTTCCGGCACTCCTCTAAAACCCCTATCTAGGAGTATTGAACCTGTTTTTATATACAAGATTCCATAGAAGTGATATCACCAAAAGTCGACACTTGTGCAAATCGAACTTTCTAGAGATAGGCTGTAAAGTTGATTTGTAATGTTCAATATCGCGTCGGAATGTGATGCCAATTCTCGAAATTTCTTGATACGCAAATCTTGTCCTATTCCCAAATTGGTTTAGTTCATTCTGAGTTCCAACAATACGCGGCACGCACGTGCCGCGTTAGACTAACTGATATCCAGTGCCGAAACGCGCTAGGTTTGATATTCACGTTCCGACAGTACCATATATTAAATCTAATTGATTCTAATAATTGCATTCACAGGCTGAAGATTCTGAGAGAGGACTCATGGAGGTCTCAGCTGAGTAACAAATTGAGGTGATCTTGATGGCCATCACAACTAACAACATAACTTAACGTACCGAGCTTCTCAAAATTTTGCTTTCACTTTCAAAATTGGGTAACATTAACAAGCAATCTTTAGAAGCTTTAATAATCATATGTTGGGAATATCACCTCACATCACATATCACCTTTGCCAGCTATTTACATCCATACTAGATCATCTAGTATGCGCGCAGCTTTTTGGTCTAGTTGGTCAAAAGCCCAACATCATATCACTGCTTACCAAGGTGCTCTACTTTAGGGCATGGGGGCCAATTCCGCGCCGCGCAGCTCTGCTTACCCAGAACACAATCGGAAAAAGGTACTAGTGGTGCCTGGAGAGACGAATGGAGACTCCTAGGTTCTAGTCTCAAATTCGAGACTTGAAAAAAAGTTGAGAACTTGTCAGTATACGGTCATTATACATTGATAATCGAAGTTATCTATCTGCAAACGTTCAGAAAAGTGAACAATAGCTAGTTCGGTAAAGTCTACTTGACGGTTCCATTGGTAAGTAAATGAGTAATTCATTTACTTAATAAAGGCACCCCACGGGAAGTTACATATTCGTCTTCGAATGGTTGATGATTACTGATATATGTAAACTATGACAGGCAAGGGGCCAAAATGTGGTAGTCCGTAGCAAAAGACATGGTAAGACATGGTAAATTACCTCAATTAGAAGGGTGGGACCGCTCTTGTCAGTATTAAGCACAATACTACAATAAAAGTCGCTAAATGATTTAGTCTGCACAATTCAATGTGGGATTTGAATTTGTGAAGCATGCTATGCCTGCATAGCCTAGGCTCACACCTATGGCCAGTTTGTCAAGCTTTGGTGCCATACCGAATCTTCGGCCAGGTTAATTACGACCTCCAGGTTCTTTAGTATCTGCTCCTTCTCTGTCTGACTGTTTTATTCTATCACCTATAAATGATGTAGTAGACGCAGAATTTGTGGGCAATGCTAAGGTGCAGACAGTATGTGACATCGCTCCAAGTGTCTTTCTGAGAGAACATTATAGATGCAACATTAATTCCCAGGGTGCAGCTATTTTTTGACTCTCCTACCTTCGATATCCATATATAACTTGGAACGTGTCATTCCCTAGGGCTAGGCCATCTACTAAGGTATGGAACTCAATCAATCGCCCTCCATTCCTTAGCATATTGCCATAAGACACTCTTTTTATCTTGGTTGAAGTTCTATTACATCATTCTTTTCATTCTCTTCAGTCACCCAGACACTGTCAATAACGGCCTAGGATTAGGACTAGAGCTATGTTTTCTTCAAAAAGTGGAGCAAAGCTCCTGGCTCTGTCCACATGTCTTTTTCCGGTCATCGAAGGAACGAGGTTTACCAACTCGTCATCTCCGTTCATTCCAGGGAGGTACCTTGTTGAATATTACGATAGTTCTGTTGTAAGTACATTTGAAGCATGTCACTACAGGAATAGAATGAGGGATCATTCCACTAATACATTGTCGCCAGACCTCACATTCATTCTTCTCGACACTTGCTGACAATTCTATTGCGGCTACACCGGTCATTACCTTTGACTTTTCTTTGTTTAAAGGCGCCTCATTTAACCTCGACGATGAGATGGATGAAAAGACTGATATACAGAGAATATTGTCTCTACCTTCCGTGAAGAGTGTGCATCCAGTGCGTGCATACTCACTGCCAGAAACATCTGGATATACAGCTGGGTCATCTTTCCCACTACCTCAAACTGTAGATTCAAAGTTAATAAAGACTACTCCTGACACTTTCAGTCCACATGTCATGACCGGTGTTGATAAACTCCGCGCTGAGGGCTTCCTCGGCGATGGGATCAAAATTGCAATTGTGGACACGGGAATCGATTACAACCACCCAGCTCTTGGTGGATGTTTTGGCGACGGATGTAAGATCGCCTTTGGAACAGATCTTGTTGGCGATGATTATACGGGAGAGAATACACCGGTGCCGAATGATGATCCTATGGACTGTGCTGGCCATGGCACCCATGTCGCGGGAATCATTGCTGCAGAATCAGTTAACCCGGAATTTACAGGCGTCGCCCCTAATGCGACAATCGGTATATATCGTGTCTTTGGTTGCACTGGCAGCACTAGCGACGATGTCCTAATTCAGGCATTCTTGATGGCTTACGAGGCAGGCGCTGATATTATCACCGCTTCAGTTGGGGGTAATTCAGGATGGAGTGAAGATCCATGGGCTGTTGTTGTCTCTCGAATTGTGGATGCCGGAGTTCCTTGTACACTTGCGATCGGTAATGATGGAGGAACTGGTGTTTTTGTCGCATCTTCTGCCGCTACAGGACGTGGAGTTACTGCAGTGGCATCAGTGGACAACGTTGTCACTCCGCTACTGGTCAAGAATGCTACCTGGTCTACTAACAATTCAACAGCTCAAACATTCGGGTGGATACCATATACTCCTTCCAATATTCCCAATGGCACTTATCCCCTCTATGATATTTTGAATGGTAGTAATGATACTACGCTTCCCTGCAATGACAACTTCACTCTTCCGGATATTACTGGAAAAATTGCTCTGATACCCTATGATACGTACTGTACTGACGGATCTGGAATGGTTGGGAAAGTCACGGATGCTGGAGGCAAGTATATACTGTGGTACTCTGCCAGGGCTGGTGAGATATACCCTATCAATGGCACTGGATATGGCATTGACTCATTCGGGATGGTAACCATCGACGTGGGAACCCAATGGACTGGAATTATGGCCACCGGATCTCCAGTTTCTGTCAATATGATTACTCCAGTCTACGAGCCTTACTCTGTCCAGTTGACAGTGAACAATGTCACGGGTGGTCTTATGAGTTATTTCAGTAGTTGGGGCCCAACATTCGAGGCCGAGGTCAAACCACAAATTGCTGCACCAGGAGGATCGATTTTGTCGACATACCCACTCAAACAGGGTGGTTACAAGGTAGATACTGGTACATCCATGGCCACCCCGTTTGTCGCAGGCTCGATTGCTCTAGTCATAGAGGCTCGCGGAAAGACAGATCCAGCTACGATCAATAACATCCTATCATCGAGCGCTAACCCTAAAGCCTTCAATGACGGCGAGTCCACTTATCCATACCTTGGCCCGGTTGTACAGCAAGGCGGTGGTCTGCTGAATGTCTACAATGCAGCACATACTGTAGGTGTGCTGAACATATCAAGCATATCATTTAATGATACTGCGAATCTGGTCAAATCAGCGTGGTTCCAAGTCATGAACACCGGCAGTGAAAGTGTCACTTATGATATCAGCTACACTCCCAGTGGAACTGTATATACATTGCCATCGGATGGTAGCGTTGTGCCATCAACATTCAGTGTTGGGTCCGCCCCAGAGATTGTGCCGTCTAGTGCGCAGTTATCTGTGAGTCCTAATACCGTAACCATTGCTTCGGGGCAATCTGCCTCTATAGAGGTTACAGTGTCTCTCCCAAGTGATTTGACGGCCTCTCGTATCCCTGTATACAGTGGCTACATCACTCTCAATGGAACTAATGATGAATCTCTCTCATTGCCTTATATGGGGGTGGCGTCAAGTCTCAAGGACGCCGTTATACTCGATAGTGCCGATAAGTTGACGTATTTGTCTCGATACTTCAATGTCTCGGCTGTACCAGACGGATTTGCTTTCACGCTACCACCTCAGAATAGTACTGACGAGGAGAAGAAACAATACGATTTCCCAGTTCCAGTTTCACCTGACTCCTTTGGAACCCGGATACTTCGTGTTGACCTGGTTCCAGCCCATTCCAACAGTACTGTAAAGACCACCGAGGTTCTTGGTGTGAACATCGCCGGCTCGATAGTCAACTTTCCAGCCTACGAGCAAGGCAGAGGTTCTTGGCATGTCTTTTGGTATGGCCAATTGAGTGATGGAAGTTTCGCACCTCCCGGAGAATACTACCTCCTCTTCCGCGGTCTCAAGATTTTCGGTGACGAAAATTCAGGGAATGATTATGAATCTGTTAAGAGTGTAACATTCTCTCTCACATATGCTTCGCCCAAAACAACCGATGTTTTGGCATGATCGATTTACCAAGCGGGATATACATACTTAGGTAGCAGTATGAATATATGTAAGCATATCTGGTGAATATAGAAAGAAAAGGAGCATAGTCTTTCCAATTTCTAAACCCTTTACAAGCATCTCTGTCTCTAAGCAACTGGGTGAGACAATACCGTTGGTCTCTGACTGGCATACAAAAAATCACCTGATGAATCCTTCACCTTGGAAGTCACAATCTAAGTTCTACCCGTATTCACTTCATCTCGACCTTTCCAGCCGATACGTGAATATGCTAGAGCTTCCCATGGTACGTATTGCATGTAGATATCAATGTGCGAAAACAAAGTCTAATCTCTTGTTTCCTTGGTCGGTTGTTGCTTTAACGTAGTTGACCTTCTCCTGTTTTCATGTCTCAGTTTCGATTTGGATATCGCTAGGTATACGAAATGAGGTACCTCTTCACTCATGGCAGCCAGTCTCTTAGCTTTCCACTTATTCCTCGTGATATAATAAACTTTGGTCAGGACGAACAGCATGATGACAAGGGCATTTATGATTATAAGACTCGTGTTCCCCTTGTGATAGAGCGGTGCGTCGTCAGCTCGATAAATATTCGATGATATTACTCCTCCTAATTGGACCATCACTAAGTAATTTTGTTAGCACCTGGATTGCAAAAGGAGGAAGGAAAAATAGAAAAAGGAAAGGGGAAATACTATTGTATACAGCCGCAGAGACGGAGCGTGTTCGTACAGATCCAGAGTTTTTCGAGCACCATGCCCTAATGATTTCCAGGACGTTAGCAACATCAAATTCATATAAAAAGAAGGGAATTACAAAACCACAACTTACACCAGGATAGCATGACAATATGGATAACTTAATAGAACAGTGATTAACGCAAAGGTACCCCATGGGCCCTGTAACTCTCCAGGCCAGAATCTCAAGGCGATAATGCACGGCAGTGTCCAAATTGACTGCATCATGCTGATAAATGTCCTCTCACGGAATCTTTCACTGAGCCATGTTATCCCGAGCAACGTGATAATTCCAGCAACTGTGGCAGGTATAGTGAGAAGATTTGTTTGAAACTACAAGAGATTAGTTCTCCAGAAAAGATAGGTAGAGCGAATTCCATAGAGTACTTACGGCATTGAATCCAATATGTCGCAGAGATAAAGTTAAGTAGTACGCTACTGGTCCCTGGGGAACATATGCGATTAACCCAAGTGCGTAAATCTAGAAAATATCAATCATGTACCTAAAGATTCATGCAGGAAGTTGAGTTGGAGTCAAAACTCACCGGCCATAGGTCGTAGTCGGTCAGCGACAACCATAGCCTTTTCGGAGTTATGGCCATGCGGTTGTGCATGTCACCTGGTGAAAGCTTGCATTCAGAATATGCGCTTCTGGCTAATATAAATGATATGATATGATAGGAGGAGGAATACCTTTGCTTGGATCGTCTCTCAGAATTCGATTCACAACAATGCTTAATTCCCGATCACTAAACCAGCCCTTGGGACGAAACCAGGTATTTGTTTGCACAGCCGAAGCGGGCATTAGAAAGAAAGACGCTATACCAACACCTAGAGTGATTAAACCTTCGATAAGGAAAAGATATCTGCAAAGGTGGATTTAGTTATCGGAAGGTCTGCTAGTCGTCAAATAGATTGTTTACCTCCATCCTGAGATTCCATGGATCCCATCCAGATGAAAAATGGCAAATGCCAATAAAGATGTTAGCATTCCAGTAATACTCAGTGAGGTCCAGAAGAAACTGCCTAGGGTTAGCGTTTGGTCATTCCCGTGAATCTGGTATAAAACCTCAGCCGAATGGGAAGTTCATGACTTGTATAAAAGTATGATAGCCATAGAACGACATCTGGAATAAATCCGCCCTATCATTTCCCGTTATGAGAGTTAGCTTGTGATCATGGCCACTTGTGTCCACCAGTATGATATCATTGTTGGTTCTTACCTCGAGAACTCCGAGCAGGGCTCGTGTGGCGTAGAATGTACTTCTGCTATTCAGGGCAACTTGACTAATTGCCACTATGGACCAAAGAGTCATTTGCATTGGTATCCATCGATCTGGGCCGAGCTTCTTTGAAACTAGTTGAGAAGGAAGTTCGGCTAATAAAAAAGAAACTAAGAATATTGTGTTTCCTGTAGTCACAGTGAGCACAGCACTTCCCCTCCAAGCGCGATTGACTTCCTCACCATAGTTATAATCTGATACACGATTGTCAGCAGGTTTGCCCAGTTGCTCCACGTACCTAGGTATCGAAAGGGTACCACAAACCATTCGTAGATAGCTTTAGATCTTGTAACATGTTGTCTGATATGGCCTGTTTAAGATTGCCTCTATCCACCTGAAGGGCAAAAAACATAGTACACTGGGAAAGGATTAGTACTTATCATTGGTTGATGAAATGGTAGGTACATACTGCCCATAGACAGACATGCCAGTCCAACTTTCGTACCAATTTCCGTTCCTCTTTTCGCGTCCACTCGAGACTAGGATCTAGCAAATGGCGGCATTCATAGTTCGCTTTCTCGTACAATTCTGTATAGTACTCGAGAATCTTGGGGTTAGAAAATATATTATGAGGAGTGTTGATGTCGCCACCAGCACTCTTTGTACTTTCCACCGGAGATGCTTCAGGACTCCATGTACTTATGGCGGTCTTCTGAACAGCTGCTTCGCTATCAATTTCACTTCCCATTTTCAAAGGTATTCAGAGTCTTGATTACTATGGGAGCAGATATAAAGTCTTGTCAATGTTAAGCTGGATCCTGATCTCTATATATTCCTGGACTATATTTGTGATATATCCGTGGTATCCTAATTACTTGCACCACTTCGTTCAGATGCCCTTTGATTATATGGAAGATGGAATTTTGGCTGTCTGTTGCGTGATCTATGTTATAGTGGTCTATCAGACGTTGGTCACTGCTAGCAATCTAACGAGCGTAGAGGGTGATAACGGCGAGCGCAACAGTTTCAAATTGAATTGAACGTCTTCCTCGGACCTTTATTTTGATTTTCATATAGATAAGGAGCGATGCAAGTTCCTCAAATGAGAAGGTGGCTTGAATGCATGATATTTGAAGTATCTCCAGCCACAACCAATGGACAGGTGTATCTGGCATGGCGAGTAGTCAACCAAAAGGCTAGCTACCCACGAGCTGCATGAATAGTACGAATAGTGTCGACGAAATTATCTGATATAGAAGCTAGATGACGTTTGAATCTTGATTCGTTTGATGCACAAGCTATAGTTTGGCAGCACGCCTTCTCACGGGATTAATTCGCAAAGTCTCTGGACCTGTTTGATGATGGATGATTTGAAGGTTATATCTCGTTATTCGGAGATGGCTTCTATCTCCGTAACTTTTACTGCCCAGGTATCATACAGCGTTGATAAGACCATGGAGGTGCGTGCGGGGTCGGGGTAATGACATCGAAAATAAGGTACCTGACGTGCTGCTCTACAACAACACATGTTAACAGCATCCGTTGTGATCGATTGGAAGAAATAAGTTCCTCAATGATGATATCAAAGCATAGAAGCACCTCATATCTTAAGTTATCGGCTTCCTGGTCTACACCGTTGCTGTCCGTGAGCATTTGGTGTTTTTTCAACTGTAAACGCCATTAGCGCAGGCCATGATGACCTATAAACTTGGATAGACACAACTTATGTGCTGGAAGACTCACATATGGATATATTAATCAAAACGAAAACTTTTTTTTATTTTTATTATTTTTTCCCCCCCGATAGAGACGAGTCCCGATTGCTTTAATTGGACTTCCAGGACAACAAAATTGCAATGATTTGGTATATCGCACGCAATCCAATCCCAGCAAATGAGCATGCAATGAATGCACATCCCACGCGGACAGTCAATGGAAGCAGTGGAAAGACATAATGCGATATTTGTGCCGAGTAGCCGGGAGGTGATATCCTCCAATGTGCATAACAGTACAGGGATGGTGTGTCCATTGTCGGCAACGAACCCGGAAAAAGTATATATAGAGCGAAGAATCTCATCTTACATCCACCCATGCTACACTGCTACACAGAGCCATTATTCACTTGAAAGAATTCCAAAGTTCCCGAGGCCATCTACTCTGCCAAGCTCACTATTCAGTAACGCAAGAGACCAGTCAACATGGCTCCCTCTGTGGCCGTGATCCTTGAAAAGCAGGAGACATCTTCTCTAGTAGTACCTACCAAGGCTACATCTGGAAATGATGAAACATCTCCTAAGATTAGGAGAATCGTTGACGAGGAAGATGGCAAGACTCCGGCCAGTGTAAGCGTCCTGTCATAAAAGTGTTCGAGCGTATAAATTGACGTAAGTCATGGGCATTCTCGATAGTACCCTCACTACCTGCCTACATGGGACCATGGCGAAAAATACCCACCTCTTGAGCCTTTTGTCCATGTCGAACATGGTAAAGACGCGGATCCAACTTTCAAGGACCTCCTACCAGAGGGCTCTTCTATCCGCAAACTTACACCAACAACTGGATCTGAAGTTCGTGGAGTTCAATTGAGTAAACTATCAGCTGCTGGAAAGGATCAATTAGCCCTACTAGTTGCCCAACGAAAAGTTGTCGCCTTCCGGGATCAAGATCTCGCGGACCTTCCAATTGAAGAAGCTCTAGAATTTGGTGGTTATTTTGGCCGCCATCACATTCATCCTACGAGCGGTGCTCCCGAAGGACACCCGGAACTCCACATTGTTTATCGCAATGGCTCAGATGGTGAGGTGGAAGCTTACTTTGCCAACCGCAACAGCAGCGTACAATGGCACTCGGATGTTTCCTACGAGCAGCAACCACCAGGAACGACTTTTCTCTATATCCTCGACTCCCCTGAAGTCGGTGGTGACACTGCGTTTGTGAACCAGGTGGAAGCGTACAACCGCCTATCTCCAGCCATTCAAGAAAGACTCCATGGACTAACAGCAATACATTCTGGTGTTGAACAAGCAGAGTTTAGCAGAGGTCGGGGGGGTGTTGTGAGACGCGAGCCAGTTACAAACGAACATCCTATCGTGCGGACTCACCCCGCAACCGGTGAAAAGGCTCTGTACGTCAATGGTGGCTGTAAGTAACTTCCACTACTCTTTAAACTTATATTGTCTGATTTTTTTCAAGTCACTCGTAGCATTGTTGGGCTTAAGAAAGAGGAGAGCGAATCCTTGTTATCATTCCTGCTCAGTCATATAAGTCGTGGAATCGACTACCAAGCTCGTGTCCGATGGGAGCCTAAGACTGTTGTTGTGTGGGATGTAAGTTTGACAAGAATTATCCCTATCACAGCATGCCGATTATTGACATGATGCCCAGAATCGAGTCACTGCACACTCGGCTATCTTCGATTGGACTACTGGTGAACGTCGTCATTTGGCCAGAATTACACCACAAGCAGAAAGGCCGTATGAAACACCGTACAAATCATGAACATAATATATGGAAAATATAATGAATATAAATTGATGCCTCGAGGTAAAAGGCATCCTTGATTGTGTGCTTACCTAGATATCTAGTATACTATTGCAGTCTACTTAGGTACAGAATAAATCTAACTATAACGCGGACCAAATTTGCCCGGGAATCTGCCACTTTTAGTAGGTATCTGTATCCTGAGGTCAGGGAGCTGAATTTGTATTCCGCGTGCCTAGAACGATAATTGCACAATGCAGTATCAAGGAATATACTGTACCGACACATCTCCCTAGATAGGTAGAAACAGTACGGCGTTTTGGACATACAATAACTCGAGTTTACATTGTATGTATTTACTCCACCTAGGTACCAAGGTAACGGCTATAAAACCGGCAAAAATATATGTGAGGAACACTCAAACTCAGATATAGGTTCTGTGGAGGCACTTAGGCTAAAATACGCGTCTGAACAGCTGGGTCTTCTAGTCTCTCAGTATCGTGGATGCTGTCGGGCCGGGAAATATGATATCGTAATCGTCACTAATCTCGTTCGCGGTGTATTCCTTTATAAAATATGTTATTGGATGACCAAAGAACAATAACAGCTTTTTAGACGTTGTACGCAGCCATTTATAGGACGGGCTGGTCGTCATGAGACGTCAAACTTTTATCAGAGATGTGGTACCGGATATGAGTTCATGGGCTCATTTGACTTGGAGGAACAGTTTGATGATTGGTGTCTTGAGCGCGTGCCGTCATCCTGGTCTCGAGCACTTTCGAGACGCCTTCTCTCAAAGATAAGATTTAGTTTTGACTTATTGCGACCTTTCCGCACGCAACATTATGATGGAGGATGGCACAGTAACAGCTATCTTGGATTGGGAGCATAGCGGATTTTTCCCAAAGTACATGGAATATGTGACTGCAATAGAAATTTGTGATGGACACGAAGACTAGTAGAGACCAGTTCTAAAGGGGATCCTTGAGCCTTGCGGGTACCTGAGGCAGAGATTCCTAGCCCAAATCAAGAATCGAGGATGGTAAGTAGGGACTGGCACTAATGAAGAACTGTGATACATTTCCCGGTCCATTTTTAACGTCTATAAGTGTCCATATCCAGAACGATTCGTGATTTTTCTGAGTCCCCACCACGTCTTCTACCTGGAAAGCATTCCAAGGTCTTTACCTTTACATGGCTCAAACAAATCCAATCGAGCGGCATTTCCCCCAGAATGATTACTGGAATATCATCCGTGTTTGCAAGGTGCATGTGTACAATGCAGCGCCTAGTCAGCTATTCTCCTGGTTCAAACCAACCAAATATCGGGTACCTGGGTATGCGGATAAGAGTAACTCCCTTGTTTGGCGTAACAAATTGTCATAATTTGACGAGAGATTCAACCGAAGGATATCCTTGGCGGTAGCATTCTCCAAAAGAGGTATCACGGTTTGCACGCTAAAATGAATGTCAGTTTCATCCATGTTATGACATCTAAACTTGGATACTTACTAGCTCCAAAGAATGGGATCCGGGTCTAATTGCTCCGAAACAAACACCGATATCATATTGTTAGCCGCCATCAACGTATCCTGTAATTTTATCCAACTTTGCATGGTCAAGTGGTCAGTATGTTGAGCAAGCGCATCTTTAACCAGGGTACCATGTAATGATATCTTTGTAAACCAATATAGGAGCTTCAATCTGCTTGCGTTCTGAGCCAGGGTGCCCTGACCAGGCTTCGGCGACCAGTCCAGAAATACCGGAATTCCGGTTGACCAGTTGTACAGCTGGCATTCGAGTTCCTCAATGACTGGGTTTTTTGAATCAAAAGAGTGGTATTTCTCCGTAGTTATGCTTGCTTTTCGAATTCTTGCCAGTATAGCCTTCAGGCTGGTCTCTGCTAGAAAAAATGTGTAAATTGTTCGTGTCGTGATAGGCAGATATGTGGTCGTGGACTCTTCGCAACCGAGTGGAAGAGCAAGTATATCCTGGAAGTCCGTCAATGATGTTTTTGGAAGCCCATGGACGCAATTTATGATGTCTCTATGGGTACATTAGCGAGTTATCTCAACTGACAATAAGAGAGTCTTCGAATACCGTTCCAAGTTCAAAGAAATCCAATACAAGCGAAGAATGGTATTTCTCTCTGTATCTTCTCTTTGTGGTTTATGTTCTAGGTCCCTTTGATACTTAGTCAGCTACGTATCTTTCACCGTTTCTTCCACTTTTTAAGAGATGATTGCAACTGGGTTTGACTTACCTCTGAATTAAGACGTATAGTGTCGTACAACCTGCGTGTATGTGCTTCCAGGCTTCCATGAGCTTGAATTGACGATACAGATAAATACCAGCAAGAATTTCAGTTTGCACAAATTCCAGACTAAAGTCACAGTGCACACGAGCGAGGATTGACAGTGCGTATTGAAAATCGCCCCTTCCAGAGCCGAGGGTGGAGGTATCACACTCTTTGACAATTGCCACAAGAAGTAAAGCGAGACAAGTTTCAATATTATCTCCATAGCCATGCGAAATCACAGAGGAGACAATTGTCATCGCAGCGAGGTCACAGATGATAGGAAATAAGGGGCATATTTTATCGAAGAACTTTTGCACTGAAGAACTTAATTGTAACACTTCTGATGAAGTGAAGAACTGCGTTGCGCTTGGTGACTGAGCTAGCGAGGATCTAATCTTTGAAGTGGTATTTTGGTCGAATTTGGGGCTGACAGGACGCGATATTCTCTGCTCGTCGGAGATGCAGTAGGACAACTCATGCCTATTGAATTGCAACAAGGCAACAGCCGCGGAGTCTAGTGAAAGACTACTTTCTGCAGATGGAGATGTCCCCTGTTCGGCTAGAACACGAGATATAATTGAATCATGCCGTTGCGTTATTGAAGAAAGGTGCTGAATCGATTCTTGTATACTATTCATTTGCTCGGTGAGATTGTTCAATTGAATAGCCACACTATTTTGACCCGTTAGCTGCCTATATGACCAGGCTCGTTTACTCGTGTGATATGACTTGACTCATACCGTGATTCGGTTGTCGCGTGGTAGTTGCATCGATAGCCATGCTGGACACAGAAGCCACATACAGGACGTCCTTCATTGCAGCGAACTTTCTTTTGACGACATGTATCACACGCCTCGTGATTTTGTCAATTCCAAGCTAATGCTGTAGAGACTTCCCGAGTACTTACGGAAGAGGCTCGGGACGCTCGCCGCGAATACGCGGAAGACTCCCTGATACTGGACTTGAGAGCTAAAGTGTTTCCTTCATGGCTGTTGTGGCCCTCTTTCTCTCTTAGTCCTTCCCGGTATCGACGTGATTGGCTTGGCTGTAAACGTTTAAGATGCCTATTATATGAAGTGGCCTCGCTCCTCGTCCATACTGATGAGTCTGCCATGATCTGAAGTCATATGAGAATATATCATCCCTTAAATAACCTGATCTGGAAGTCACAGGGCGATGCTAGGCTCTGACGGAATATGAGGCCAATGTTATGCAGTCGCGAGGTCGGCTTAAATGTCGACTGCGTCGATTTCAGTGCGAAAACTTGGAACAAAGGCAAGGTCCCATATAACTAATCTTGATAAGAGACATCTTCGGATATATGGCTTTGTAAGTCAGGTTAGCACCGGATCTATCATACCGTTGAAATCAGTGCGAGGAGCAAAATATCCATTCCATTCCAAGGCTTGCCAGGGCGAATGCTGCGATATAGGTACAGACCCACTTAAGCCCTAACTAAAATGGCGAATTTGCTACTGGTGAGCACGCACTTTTTTCCTTGGGAATAAACATCCTGCGATTGGCTGGGAACGGAAGATATCCGACTGTTTAAGCAAGCCAGAGGAGTCTCAATTACGGATCACGTTGTGTATTTCGGCCTTGGATGATAGTAAATGGAAATTTAAATGTTGGAACGAAGTACTCTATGTCTATCGCTTTTTAAGCGCTTCGAGCTACGAAAGCTTTTTTTTTCCTTTTGACGTTTGTACATGTCTCACTAGATGGTCACCACCAGGATCAACTGCGAATAGTGATAGAATGTTGGACAAGATTCGTGTAGCGATCATTGGTGCCGGGCCTGCTGGTCTGGGTGCGGCAATCGAATTCCAAAAACTGCCATTCGTTGATCTCAAAATCTACGACCAGGCAAGGGCTCTTCGTGAAATAGGAACTGGAATTAGCATCCAGAAGAATACATGGCGCATGTTGGATGTAATGGGAGCATCGAAGAACATAAACCCCAATGAAATATTCCGTCCGGCCGACGGCCACGCACTACAACACCGGTAGGAAAGAGTAGTCTCAAATAACGGCAATCGCTATAGAATCTAACATATTTATAGGAACGGACGAACCGGAGAACTTCTCCTTACAATTGAGCAGAATGGTTGTTATCTCTAGTGTGTTATTACCCTTCAATGGCTGACAATCCCCAGATGGTCCTCCCGAGCATTTTCATGCGCGTGCATTCCGCTCAGTTCTACAAAAAGCTCTTCTATCCAACGTTGACAAGTCACGACTCCGCTTAGCTTCTCGTCTTGAGAGGGTTGTGGGAACACCCACCAAGACATTACAACTTCACTTCCAAGATGGCCATGTAGATGAAGTTGATTTACTGGTTGGTGCTGACGGTGTCCGGTCTGTCAGTTAACCCAATCACGGAAACAAAATGTATGGGACGAGTTACTGATGTCTCAACTTCCAGGTTGTCAGAAGTTTTGCATTCCCGGATCATAAAATCGCATACACTGGAAGAACTGCATACCGTGGACTTGTTCCAACGGAGAAGATACTCAGTATACCTAACTTTCCAGATGCAGTCACCTTTTGGCACGGACCTTCGGATTGGGTGTATACTTGCAACTTGAACGGAGGAATATACGAGATTACGGTCAATGCCAACGAATCCGCAGATGTGGCCCGTGTAAGCTGGGGGGAACAGGCTACTCTTGAAGAGTTTAGAAGGCCATGGAAAGTGAGTGTTTAATGCTTACCATACACATTTATGGTGAAGCTGACGAGATAGGAATTTGCACCCATTATACAAGAAGTTCTCAATAAAGTGACAGACGTCCAGAAGTTTGCTCTCTTCGCAGGTCCTAGACTTGATTCAGTTGTATCTCGCGGATCTATTGCTCTGATTGGAGATGCCTCTCATCGTAAGCCCACTCGTCAAACCTTGGTGCATGTACACTAATAACTTTGAACAGCGTTATCAGGTGCATTTGGTAAGTTTATCTTGATAGCTGTTTTGCGTTCTTAGCTGACATCGAGATTCAGGCGCCGGTGCAGGTTTCGCCCTAGAGGATGCTTTCGCGCTGGCAAAATCAGTCGCCTGGGCAAGAAGTCGTGGATATCAACTGGGAGACGCTCTCGATTTGTATGATCAAGTACGGTCTCCACATTATCAGTCAATGGTTAGTTGGAAATTGAAAGCTTACCACAGTTTCAAACCCTCAAAACTGACATTTTGTTTTCGTGAAGTATGATATTTTGGATGGTTTCAAGGCATCGGACCGAATTTTAGAAGTAGGAAACTTTTCATTCGACGAGGGAGTAGCTCACACAGTCCGCAACAAATGGAGCAGACAACACAAATGGCTGTTCGACTACGATGTATGTCATCATCCTGTTCAATCCCTAGATAATTCATTTATTGACAATCTCTGTCTTGTAGGTACAAGCAGTTTGGAAAGAGGCAGCCGCACTGGAGGATTCGAAGAGAAGGCATAAACGAAGCGTAGAATTAGGAGCTCATCTGTGAACAGTTACAGGTCAGATAGAAATTTCTACAAAATCCATTGAAAGTATCATGGATAGAATTTCACATATTTAAGCGACATGATCCTGTTTCGTGGCATGTTGGCGAGGGCGAAAGAACAACTCAATCCAGTAAAATATTTCAGCAAATAAACCCAATTGAATTTTTAAGATACTGCAACGCACTTAGGTACCTATTTTCCTCGGCTAACTTTGTACTGAGAGACTGAAATACCCTAACATCCATAGCAATTAGGGATTCGACGGATCGACCTTTGTACCTTTTAAATAGTACTTCGCAAGCGATACTTATAATCACGTCAATTCGCACACCGAAGTAATGTCACCAATCATGAGCCTTGGAGACGGAATACCATCCGGAACTATTTTGAATATGAATCGATACCCACAAACTCTGCAAACTTTCATGGTCTGATATGCGTGCTGGGAGGGTTTAAGAAGACGTTGAATCTCCTTCAAGATAATGTAGAGACATTAGCTCAGGCACCATTTGAACTTCTACCTTATTTTCTGTAGTATCTGCGTCACGTCTATCCAGAATGCGACACATCTATCTTCATCCTTGGTATTGATCTTGCTCTTGGACCGCATCTGAAAGCTATTCTTTCTACTTTCGGCAACTAACCTCTGGTCAACTTGAAACAGGTACAGCGTGATCGTTGTCGCATGGACGGCGTTCTGTCACCCTGGCATGTTTTCTGCCCTAAATGTAGGTTGTCTTGTCAACTTGACCTGGTGCGCAACATTGAAGTGACCATGCCGTTTATCTAGGGCCTCGGCGTAAGCTATTTCTGCTGACCCCGAATCGCTCCATATTCACAGGGGTTTAGGCTGCCGGCGAAGAGTCACCAACATTGTCAAATATTGCTAATGCGGTTGTTTTTGGGACCATGACCGTTTTAGGCTTTATATCAGGCCTGGTGTGCAACAGAATTGGTGTCCGCTGGACTCTGGTCATTGGAACTCTAGGATACGCGCCGTATGCAGGTAGGGTTCATTCCTATTCTTACTGAGTTGTATGCTAGCTGACCATTGTTAGCGGCCCTCTACACGAACGCAGCCTTTGGGAACACGTAGGTGCATGATATAATGACGCGTACTCAGAGACTAACAAATTACGCAGGTGGTTCCCAATTTTAGGAGCTGCGACATGCGGTATTAGCGCTGTGTTTTTGTGGACAGCATCAGGTGCAATCAACCTTGTGGGTGTGTACTCCATATTCTTCATAGCTGAGGTCGACTGGTCAGTCAGCTCATAATATAAACCTACAGTACCCTTTGTCCATCATCGTGGACGCGCAGTGGCTACGAAATTTGCTTTTCAGAATGTTGGCGGGTTCATTGGTGGTGCAATATCCCTTGGTTTGAACATAAATCAAAACCGCGCCGGCAGAGTTTCAGATGGTAGGTGATTGCCCATATCAGCGCGCCAATAAATCATATTCACTAATAAACCCCTTTTTAGCAACTTATTTTGCGTTCATCTCAATCATGTGTCTTGGATTGCCTCTCGCAGCTACCATTCCTCGTCCATCACGAGTCAAGCGGAGCGATGGATCGCGTGTCGTTGAACATCGTTTCAAATCATGGAACGAGGAACTATTGAGCCTAAAGAGTGTTCTCTCGCTGAAAGGTTTTCTTTTACTGGTTCCATTCGCTTTGTACTGCGTACGAAGTACACTGTCAAGATATAAGATGCGACGGTGGCTAACGAAGCAATAGCAATGGGATCTATCCTACATGTGGGGTTGGAATGCAGTCTATCATACAGTTAGAGCTCGTGCATTGCTGAGTACTCTATTCTACCTAGGTAGGGGTTCCGTGTTCTTATTTGCCATGTACACCACTCCCAACTGACATTTGTTCAGTCGGTCCTACTATTCTTGGCCCAGTACAGGGATGGCTCATGGATAGGAAACGGTGGAGTCGTCGCACACGAGCACGTTACGGGATGACTATATACACAATAGTGACTGCATTAACTTGTGAGTAGCGCCGATTAACCAATGACAGAATCATTGCTGATTGAAACCAGGGGTCTACGGCTTAATCGTACAATACCAGTACGACAAAAGGGAGGCGGCCACGGCTATTGATATTGTCGATCCTGTCTTTGTCAAATCATGCCTACTTTTCATCCTATATGGACTCATTGAAAACTCGGGAATGATGGTTATTTACTGGCTCATTGGATCACTTGGGTTGGACCCTGGGAAAGTCGCATCCATTGTAGGCCTGGTGTGAGTATCCAAGCAGTCACATGGAAAATGACAGTTTGCTGACACTATCTTACTCTCAGGACGGGCATCGGTTCTTTCGGTTCAACTATGGCGTTTGTTCTGGGGGCCTGCAACGTTTCCTTGAAGTGGCAATTGTGGGCAAATGTTATTGCCTTTCTTGCCAGTCTTCCAGGTTTACTCTACGTGAGCTGGACGATGATAACCGAGGATGATAAACTCGAGGAAGCTACGACGGCCAATTATTCGATCACTTCTCTGGAGGACTCCGTCGAACAAAACATACCAGAAGTGTATACGAAACGTGGCGAGACTTCTAGCGGTATCTAAGTTCAATACTAACCTTTAACCCCGGACTATACCTAGGTATCTGGTTTTGCATGATATCAAGGATCCAAAGGTCTAATTGTACCGCCACACGTTGAAGAAATTATACCATACCGTAATTATCGCGACTCGGTCTGATAGCCTCATCAGCTCGACAGGATCAGTGTTGAAGAGGTGGGCTGCTACCTAGTTACTGAGGCAATATTACTTGAATTGAAAAGGATCACACATAATCTACAATGACTTCCTGTGACTTATACAGAAAATTGCAGAGAGAATGAGTGGCTATATAGAGAACTAAACGAGCTGAAACCCCCCCTATCACGAGAGACGAGAATTGAAAGAACAACCTACACCGTAGACGAATCTTAGGTGGACAAAGTAATCTTCTGGTGTACCCAGCAGTGGATTTGTATGTACAAACGCTATCCCAAGCGGCGTGTTCCTCCATCAACCCTCAATCTTCGTTGGGTCGGCGTCCGCAAATGTGCTGCCAATGCCAACACTATCAATCCAGATTTCCCGCGTGTTCTGGGTTCCGAGATTCTTCTTTTGGTCATGCCACCCGTTTGCATAGATGCCGATATGAAAATCAAAGGGGCGTGCGTCATCTATCATGGTGGCTAGGTTGAGTTCGTTGACCACTTTCTCACCATCGTACCACATTTTATAGAAGCCAGTACTATCGCTTTGCCAGTTTGCCTGGATAACGATTGTGTGCCATTCTCCAGGTGTCACTGTTTTCAGGCCCTTCCATTCCTGAATCTGCTGATTACAGATACTGCCATACTTGACCCTCGTTGCAAGCTGGTCCCCAATAACCCACACCATACTTGACGGCATCCAATCATCACAACCAGTGTCTGTGAAATCCGCGATGAACTGTGCAATATTGTAAGATTGAGCCGGGGAAGCTTGCCAGTTTTCCTGTAATCTGAATGCAAAGCCGTAGAACCCTTGGTCTCCGAGTTTGTACACTTGCGTCTCAATTTTTTCGGAGTGATAGCGTTGGTGGTAGTTCGAGTCGTAGACCTGAGTGAATTTGAGAGCCGATGTGCCATTGTAGACTACGTTGGTGACTTGTTCAATGCTGCCATTGTGTTCGATGTTTTGGGTTGACCAGCCGCTAAGAGTCCCAGTGTTGACAAAGCTCTGGTTTGACAGAACCGGAGATGCGAGGCTCAGAGCTGCAATGGTAGCGGCGGCAATGGATGGAATATACATTTTGATGTCTACCTTAGAGGGTAATATCTCTTCCAAAGTTATCGATGGAGTGGAAAAGAGCTTCTGTACAAAGGCTACCGGCCTACCTGAGCGGTGGTCGCGCAGCATTTTATAACCCGGCGAGCTGACGCTGTACGCATTTGGATCAACTCAAGCTCGGCTTTTTTCTTAGTGTGTAGTAATATGAAACATTACCCAACGCCGACCATGATTGAGTCAGAAAAAAAAAGGTATGTGAATGCAATGTTGCATCGCAGTTTGCCCATCTCCGAGCTTAGGGGCCATTTTCCATTTCCGGAAATAGCGAGGTCGCCATGCTGCTCTCTAGTGATGAGTTGAAATCATGCCGGTACGTTCCATATCAAGTAAACAGAGATTATTTAAGACATGCAGTAGTCTCAACCGTCGACGTCAGTTTTGGAGGATTCGAAATGTGTGCTTTGTTAGATGTAACATATGATGGCACCTTAGCTAGAGTTGATCTATCTACCCAACCTGGAAAATGCCTCCCTAGACATAAGCTTTGTCAGCAGGTAACATGTTTGCAATGCACATACATGTACTTGCTACTACCAGAGGATACTAGTAACACCGACTCCTTATGTAAGTTTGCTAGAGGAAACTACATGCTGGTACTGCGTGGCTACTGTTCCCATGAGTATATGTGTTCATATGTATTCATATGGTATTTTATATGTTCTAATGCGTATCAAGTAATGTACATTTGGGAGCGCTGAGTATTCACAATTTCAGACATGGAAAATAACTGTGCGTCCTTCAATTGGTTGTGGATTTTAAAGCGTATGCAGAATGTATCTCGGTCCAGACTGAATCATCAAGCTCAAGCAGGATGTGCATAGCGTCGTTTGTGGGGAAGTAAAATTGCTATGATAACATACACTAGCCAGACAATGCCTGCAACCACACCATATGCAATCACTGCCCCGACCGGTGCGATGGAACTCCCAATACCAGTAACCCGAAAGCCCAGTCCCGCATTTATAATACCAAGTGTTAGCATAGAACGGCCAAACCAGCGATGCAAATAAGCAAATATGCTCTTCTTTCCAGTGCTGCGGAAATAACGGTGCTGCAGGAGACCCATGGCAGGTTGGAAAAGGATTAAGGATGATACAACGATAATACCAATAATTGAATGGTACGACGTTGTTAACTGAAGAGTGGTGGCTAGCGAGATTCCAATTCCAGCACCAGCAGTAGTCAACGCGAGAGTAAGCACTTGCGACCAAGCATGAAGAACGACAATCCAGGAGGATGAAACCAAGTGAAGCGCGATCGCGAATGAAGGGAACAAAACGACCATTGCAATAATCATTATAACAGCATGTGCAGTCCGTTTTCTATCAACAGATTGAGAGCCAGAAGTCGTCACAGCTGTCGAGGAACTCGAATTAGAGGGATTTAGGAGAGTCAAAAAGGGATTTTCAGAATCACTGCCCGTCGCTTGTTTAAGATTCAATGTCGCAAGGCCGGCAATGTCATGTTGTTGGATGGTGGCCGAAACACTTTCTGACTGGAGTAAATCTCCGGACTTCACTGCCCATATCCAGGGACTAGAAGAGCTCGTCACGTCCGCTTGCCCACCAGGCCAAGTGATGCAGCTATCGCATCTGATGTTTGCAGTGATAACTCCATTGCTAATCCCACTACCATTTAGGACGGAAAACCGAGCCTGCGAGTAGTACAAAGGTTCGACATGTGGTCCTCCAAGCCTCGGCGACACTGTAACATTATTCCCGGAGCCGTAAACAACAAAGATATGTGACCCTTGCATCTGGGTTCCTTGACCTAGTGCAAACCATTGCAGACCGACCGTAGATTTCATTTGGATGAAGATTGGCCCCGACCCAGACGTAGCAGTCCGTTGAGGAATGTTGACGGTGTATGAGATCCCATTCTGCCCTGGGGGAGTGAATGTTTGATATTGGGCAAAGGCGACTCCGGAGAAAGCGAGAGCCAAAGCACTAACTGCATAGAATTCTGATACTCGCCCCATCATATTGTAAATTGGACACTTAAATTGTCGGAGACTATCGTATTTGATCGAAAGTTCCTGGCGAAAAAGCAGTGACAAAATATCTAATAACAAGCAAGCATTCTTATGCATCAGGAGTGGTCAACGAGAGTTTTCGTAGTGCCTTTTATAATAATTCACAAATGAATAATTCATGGATCCGCCTATAGCAAGGGTGAAGTGCAGTTGCGGCAGCAGTGTCGTCAATGCTCTATTTTTGGCGTTTCAGAAGTCAATCAACTTTCGCAAGAAGGTAAGTACTTATTCAGCGTCACGGTTCGAATCAGAGTTTTGCGATATTTCGACTCTGTACCTTCTGATCTGTAGACAAGTAGCTGTAGCTGAAAGAGACTTCCTCAGTTATTCTCGAGATTCCTAATTGAGATATTCGAACTGCCTTATTTAGACGCTCGAACTGCCACATTTAGACTCCCAGGCTATCTTATTGGCTCACCGTTCAATCAATATACGCTGTCATATACACGGGTGCAGACACCCATAGTTCCTAGGTCCCACACTTTGCAAAAGAAATCCGCTGACTCGTCGGTCTGCTAAATATGTATGGGGGATAGCTACCAGCCGAAATCCGGGAACTCGGACGGTGTGGCGGAGTCAAGTCTTAAATTTCAGCTTGGACCATTTGATTTGAGGCTTTAACCCTAAAGATAACAAACCAGCTGTATCAGCCATCAACGTCTCTCTCCGTGTTCTAGGAGTATAAAAATGAGCCAGAGGGAACCATCACCTTCGAATGGCAGCTCCAAGAGCATTCCTTTGGTCTTCTATTGAATGACTATCCCCCCAAGCACTCTTGACATCTTGCGAATATGGTCCAAATTCTTAGGTCTATCTCCATCCTTTGCTGGGTTGCTTTGGTCAGTGCTCAATACGGAAACCCAGGTACTACCGCAAAAAGCGCTACAACAACGTCTGTTGTGCCTTCCTCCACTTCAAGTTCAACTGCAGTCCAAACGATCGCTGTCGGCAAGAATGGATTCACTTTTGACCCAGATACGCTCACAGTTTCTCCAGGAGGGAAGGTTGAGTTCCATTTTTACCCGGGACCCCATTCAGTAGCACGAGCCTCTTTTGAGAATCCGTGTCACCCTACTATCCAGACAGGGATTTTCAGCGGGTCTGTACCTGGCTCTAATGGAGGATCAGTAAGTCCGACAAATCATATCAATGTACACAATTTGATAGGCAATGTCTGATGTATCTCTCGGATAGTCGACGGTATTAACTCTGACAATAAATGATACAAACCCAATATGGTACTACTGTGGTGAACCTGGCCATTGCCAGGCCGGTATGGTTGGTGTCATCAATCCTCCGTAAGTCAATCCAGTGCTCGTAGGGCAACAAAGCCCCTGCTAGGTGACTAACTTCATTACCAGATCGAACGGTTCGAATACCATTACTGCGTTCAAGGCGTCAGCAGCGAATGCGAATGGCAGCACAGTGCCAGCTTCTGTGGCGGGTGGTGTTTGGGGGGCATCCACCAGTGGACTTCCAACCAGTAGTCAGGCTGCAAGCGGTATATCATCAAGCAGTCCAACTCCAACAGGCGAAGCGAGAACCTTGCATGCATGGACCGATATGAGCACCATTCTCATCTTTTCTGTACTTGTAGCGCTGTGCATGATGTGAGGCTGTACCCAGACTGGTCTGCTTACTGATGCACTTTCATTACACCATCGCAATCAAAGATGTACCACATTTACCCAGATCGAACACTATTCTCACTAAACGAGTGGAAGTCTCTCTTTTCCCTTGTGTTATCGACATGGTTCACTCTGTAAATACTATTACCGGATACTGTACCGTACAGTATCCCTTATTAATCAAATGCTAATTTTCGCTCCAAATTACTGTCCAAATCATGTCAGATAATCTGGACTACAAATGAGGCAGAGAGATTCGATGTTCGATCTTACAGGTCTAAAAAGGCACCTTAGGTCATATATCTGGGCACCAAGATTTCAGCCCAATGTTTTCCCCTCATGATAGCTCACAAATCACCCCGCCAAAGATGTTTATAAATACCCAGCTTTGAAACTTGATCAACAGAGACAGAGAACTCAACACATACAATCTTGCTAGTCACTTCTTTTCTTTTCATCCTAGTAAAACACTCTTCAGGATTGGCCTGGAATAAACCGACAAATCCGACAAATCCCACTGGGCCAAAAAGGATGCGCTATAACTAAGGCGGTGATACACCCCCGTTGGATCTACACGAATGCGATGCCACCAAAGAGGGAGTCTTCGCTTTTTGTGACATCGCGGAGAGTACAATCCACTGCCTCAAAGATATAGCGGCTTGTCATAGGAACTTTGTCCCAGACAATGAGATTAGCTTGGCGGAGCTGTTGGGCTAGCTGGGACTGCACTTTGATATCGCAAACTGAATGTTCCTTGGTATCTAGAGGAATCCGGAACTGAGAATGTGCTATACAACCATTAGGTAGGAGAAGCGCTGCAATGCCGGATGACGCAATACAAAAGACGGTCTTGCCACGACCGACAAAGTACAAATATAGCGCACGGTATAAGAAAGTCTTGCCTATGCCACCAGGACCTTGAATATAGAAATTACTATAGTTCGAACCGGGATTCTCTAGACTGGTGACAATCCTGTCAAAGGCCGCACGTTGATCGTCATTAAATGACTGGCGCATCCTTTCAGCCATCTCCTGGAGATCCTCACGGGCTGTAAGTTCGTCTACAGCGGAGTCTACCGTGGCAAAGATTAGTCCTTAGTCTGTTTCTAGCTGCGGGAGACCGCAAATATATGCTGGTTCTGAAAATGCCTGCCTCTTCAAAAGTTCGAATTCATTCCTGGTCGTCCTCCAAGAGGCCTATTGCTTGACATGCTGCCCGAAAAGTTGGATACAGATGCCCATCAACTGTGAGGAGATCCTCAAAATTGGTTGGACCTTCTTTGACGGTCAACAATAACCATACCCGTGCCGCCAAGCCCGCATTCCGCAAGATATACCATTTTGGACGCCGAACAATCCACAACAGAAAATTGAATGGATTGGAGCAATACTGGGCGTTTCTGGTCTTCTGCTTCTCAATGTATC